ATGCTCATGTGAATGATGGTAAACCTGTGGATTTTGTGGAACCTCATTTGGAATATAAAACAATGTTTCGTCCCATAGCCTACGGAGTTCTGAAATGTGTTTAACATAGCCATGGAACATCACCCATTCATGGGATGATTTATTTATATACCTATCAAACATGGTGATTTTCGAGCTCGCAAACTATTACAGGAAGTTATTTGAAGATAGTAAACCTTTGAAACCTTTCTTGTGCCGCTGATGTATTCAACCACCAGGTGATTAGAAGCTCAGCTGGGAAACATCTACCAGCATGGAGCATAAAATCACATGTTACCTCCATGGATTAATCCAACGCTTTCATCAACGATGGCTCCTGCAATGTGTCAATCCATGCTGTTGGATATTTTTTATCTACAATAAGATAGTAATCTGATTGTATAAACCATGGAAAAATGGGTGAATACTATTTCAATCTATTTCACCAATGGATAATTCAATGTGCTGGTCCATGTATTAGTTATATAATGTTATATAAACCATGGTAATTTTAGAACCTACCCCCTGGTAAATTTTCACAGGGTGACCTTTGGGGACCTAGGTGCCTCGACAAGAATGATCACCTGACGGCTCAGTGCTGGGATGAGGTGGGAAATGTCCACTGGGACCATGGTGGGGAAGACCATAAGCTCCAAAAAAAGATTGATCTTAACTGAAGATCAACTTACAAAGAATAGTCATCAGAGAATTTCGGGGGGGCTACTCTAGAGTAAACATATGTTTTGTTTTCTTTATATTATTTACTTCAAGGATCAACTTGTTGGGTTGGATCATCGACATCTACAGGAAGAAATGATGCTTTGCTATACATAAATTACAGATGTACTACATGAAAGGTCTGTAAATAAATAAATAAATAAATATATATATAATACGATATATAGCGTATTTACATTACATACCCATAATACAAACGTATAAGGATATAGTAATATATGTATACGTACACATATATATATACAGTATACATACACATACACACTTATAATGCACATATGGGATCAATCAGTTCACTTGTTGCCACAAGATGAGTGGTCTGGATTCTTCAGTACCTTTCAGAACTTGGTTGGGAAACTCACCAGACAGTAGGATAGACCAGCGCTACGACTATGTTTTAAGGAACCTATTGGAGGTACCTAAAAAGTGTCTATTTTTTAGGCCTATGTAATTTGAGCCCCAAAATGGCCGTTGGTGATGGTATGATTAATCGGACTCCAAGGATAAAACTCACCACAAGACACCAGTCCCTTCGCCAATCCCAAAACGTGCCTGGTGATGGTCAGGTGGTGGAAATGTGGAAGAACCGTGAGGCAGTGTTGAAGAAGCCCCTTGGCAGCATTATTTTATATTATTTTGGGTTTCGAGGTGACCTAGCCAGGACTCGTAAGTGGGACTGAACCCCAGCTATCTCAGTGGATTGGTCCAGTTATAAATGGGGTGAACTAATTAATCCAGATACGATTCCTGTGATGAACGTTGATCAACCACCAAGTATAGAGTTTATCAATTGAAAATGGTGAGTTGAGTCTGAAGTCTGGGAAGAGTCTTTTCATCAAACCTTGGCTCAGTACTAAAACCAATGGATCATCGGCGGGAAAGATGGGATACGGTTCATGATTCATGAGCATATTCTTGGGACGGGTTGGAACATGTTGAAACCCCGAACCAGGAGAGATGCAAACCTCCTACTACAATAAGGATCATGTTGTATGGCGCTGAACCCCTGCCCAACCCTCTTTCGCCGGGTGACCTTATTTCCTGGCTTGAACAAGAGATTTGATTTTTGTTGTTGACATGTGAGAATGGCAGACAATTATTCACACATTTTCCTGACATATGACAAAATGGCTGGTTGCTGTAAATTTTGCATATTTCCATGACATTTCCATGACATCCACAGCTGTCCTTTCCAATTGCGGTTGGATCCAGCATTCTGCTCTGGGCGTTTCCGCCGAGGATCCGAGATGGGTAGTGGAGGACTTAGATCAACGGGGTGACAAATCTGAGATTTCGCCAACAAATCTGGGCCGTTGCAGTTGTTTGAAAAACCACATTTGGGATGATCCGAATGATCCGCGCGTTTTTTAATGGGCATTGCAACCAATCAGCTTAATTCATGGGGTACAAATGTGGTGGTTTGGAACATGTTTTTATTTTTCCATATATATATACATACATATGGAAATAAACTCATATTGGGAATAAATATGAGTCATTTTTGGTATTGGGAATTTCATCATCCCAACTGACGAACTCCATCATTTTTCAGAGGGGGTGGGCTCGAGCACCAACGACGCCTGGCGGTGGTGACTTGGGCACCAAGTTGCACCGGCTCCTGGATGTGAATTTTTGTTGGCTGTGATGTGCATCAAGAAAGAACATGCACATATACATAGTTATAGTATTTTTATTTAATAATGTATACATTTAATAACATAATATATGATATATGATATATAATATATGATATATAAAATATGATATATGATATATAATATATAATAATATATAATATAATATATAATATATAATATATGATATATGAAATATGATATATGGTATATGATATATAATATATAATATACGATATTTGATATGTAATATATAATATATAATTTATAATATATCATATATATAATAAATCATATATGATATATAATATATAATATATAATATATGATATATAATTTAATATATAATATATAATATATGATATATAATATAATATATAATATATGATATATAATATATAATATATAATATGTAATATTTAATATTTAATACATGATATTTATATATTTACAATTTAATATATGATATATAATATATAATATATAATATATGATATATGATATATAATATATAATATATATTATACTCTATATATGAGAAACCGACAAATTAGTGTAATACTAATTTAGGCTTGCTTCGCCTTGGCCTTTCCGAGGTTGCGCAAAACCTTCATAACCGATAGGGGACGACCCTATACCGATACCCCATTTGTGATACCTCCGGAAATACTGAAATCCTCACAACCGATAGGGGACGATCCTAATTTGTGCATGGCATTCAATTTAACTTACAATTTTGTTTGCTACTCATATGTATATTTCCGTATATATATACACATTATATTATATTATATACATCTATTATCAATTTTGCTTGAGACAATCAACCTCAACCCCAGGTTTCCACTGAATTCAGCTCAGGCCGGATCGATTGTGCATAGCAAATGACCGGAGCAAAGTTGTTTTCTTTTTTCAGTTGCTTCGGCGAGAGTAGGCACCGTGCCAGCCTACTAAGTAGGTTTGTGATGGTGAAACAAGGATGCAGGGATGTGAAATTCTGTTTAGTCACCATACCTTAGAACAAGGCATCTTGAGATGCTTTGAGATTTTTTTTTAGCTGTACAACCCTGCCACAAAAAAACAAAAACACGGCAGTTTTTAGAGGGGAGGCGCCTGCAGGGGATACGAGGACAAAACCTCCCATGACTGGGGATGGTTTATATATCCCACCCATTTCTTGTTTTATTGGCGATGATTTATGACGGTGAATCCATAAGATTTTTCAAAAAATTGGTGATTTACAAGAGTACAACCTGGGCCAAAGATAAAAAATCATGAGTGAATTTTATTTGTTTGGTTGCAGATAAGTTTAACCAACATCCGTGCCAGTTCCCAGGTAGCCCCTTCCCATGCCAGTCCCCAGGTAGCCCCTTCCCCTTGATATTAGATATCCTCCTAGAAACCTTGGTTTGGTATTGGATCTATTCAATCATAAGGGGAAGGTATTAATTCATGTTGTTTTTTTTGTAACCCAAGGGTGACCCTCCCAACAATAAGTACTGTAAGGCTTTAACAACCATGTTTATCCGGGCGACTCTTAACCAGCTATCATTGGCTGGCTTGAATCCTCATGGCAATTCAGATACTCATACCCTCCGGTGTCATCAAACGTGGCAAGGAACATCTTCCATTTATAGTTGTTTTTCCCGATTTTCTCTATGTTTGATGACCGGGCCAACAGAATCCTTGCGGGAAGGGAGGCGCCTCCTTGATGCCGAGCTTCTCAAGGTACCAGACTTTTTGTACAGTGAAGTATGTGTGTGTGTGTGAAACATAAGATTGAACACAATGATTCCTATGCATATCGAAATATTATAATATATATATATATATATTGATATATATATATAATATTATATATATTATATAATATATATATATTATATATATATTATTATATATATATCGATATATATATGATAATGTATATTTATATATAATTATATATATACATATATACATATATTAGTATAATATGTTGGCATACATATGTAATTTATATATGCGTATGCATGACTGATTATGACTGTACAGGGCCACACACTCGATTCCACATATGATTCTATACACCTTTCAGAGGGATCGGTGTTTAAATCTACGATCTCTGAAATCGGCAGATTTACATCAAATCCATGCTGTTTATGGGTCCATGTATCATTACCTGTTTGACCCACACCAGACAGACAGACAGACAGACAGACAGACAGATAGATAGATAGATTAATACATCTCTGCCAACAAATATGATAGAAAAACGATTGAGCGAGGAACCTTGAAGACTTGCGTTCAAAGCGCCGAAAATCCAGTACGCCCTCAGTGTTGCTGGTAGCCTGACCTGTAAATACAGCTCGGACTGATTTGCATCCACCGCATGCACAAGGAAAAACAAACCAATGGCTATTTCATTTCTGGAATCTAGATGGGATTAGAATGTAAGGGGATATACCTCCAAAATATAGCCTTATATTGTACAGTACCTCCAGTTTAGGTACCTGAAATGGCCATTGAAAACAACATGATGCGGACGACTGCGCGGGGTGGATGTGACTTCCCTGAAGTTCACGGCTGCATTTCAATCTCTAACTAGCTCAGATTTGGCACCCCAAAAATATGGATGGTTGCAGAAGTTGCAGATCCTAAGAGGGGCCAAACATTTGTGGTTCTGGATTCTAGACTAGTCCCCCGAAGGTGATCTTTTGTCGTTGAAGCCCACGTCCCCGTGCTGGTTGAGTCCCCGCTGGCTGGTAAAATTACCACATATTTTCTTGGTTAAATCATGCGTGTTCTTTCTGTAAATCACCATTTTCCTTGGGAAAAAATCACAATTTTGATTGGTTAAATATGGTCAAATTACCCCTTTGGGTCAACGCGGCGTTTTCCATGGTGAACACATGGGTCGCCCACGCAGGGAAGCAGCATCAACCGATGCCGCGGATTGTGGTCCAACTCTACACCTACCAGGTCAGATGGGTCATGTTCACCTGGGAAATTTCCAGGAAAACATGGAGAAATCATGGGATCTAATACCCTCTGGTAAACATACAAAAAACATCAAAAAACTATTGAAAATGGCCCAGTCGAAATAGTTGATTTACCCATTGAAAATGGTGATTTTCCATAGTTTTTTGTAAACGTTTACCAGAGGGTACCCGTTTACTACTGGGATGAAAACCGCCAGAAAATCAGGGAAATGATGTTGGAAAATCCGTGTTTTTTTTTGGGGGGGGTTTGTAATTGTTGGATAAAAAATAGGGAATGATATGGGAAAATCATGGAAATCAACAGATAATTATGGAAAATCATGGGAACATGATATGGGATGGGATGATTGTGGTGTAAAACCGCGAAAAAAATGAAAAACCGTTGAATGATAATGGGATATGATAGCCAATTATATGGGAAAACATGTTGGATTCACTGAATATGCAAATATTTCCGGGAAAACAATGTTTGGACAAAAGATAGGACATAATATGGGAGAATCTTAGTTTGGGGGTTTCTTGTAGTCCGGTAGTCCCTTTTAGAGGCATCAAAGTCATGGACCTCTGAATGATCCCAGCTCGGGTATCTGAGATTGAACCGCAAACAGCTGAGCTAATTTTCGGCACCATTTTTGGACTTACAACAGATAAGATCGCATTCGCCAACGAAACTAATTGATGTTTTGAGATATTTATATAAGCAACAAAGATGTCGATTTGAATAGCAAACATGGTGATATATGCAACCAACCACTTTTATGGTCCTGAAAAACCAGTGGACTGGGGGATCCCCAGTCGTCACCGGTTTCAATACGACTTGGATGATCAGGGGGTACCCCCATTTTATGTAACCTCCATATGGTATATACTTGGTGTCTCACCCCAGTTCATAATTAAGTGAATTATAACTCCAGTTGATTCAGTAGAGTAGGTAGGGGCAATGTCCAGTTACAACTGGGCTGAACTACTCCATTTCCGATTCCAGGGGTGCGCCACCAAGTATATACTTATACATAATTTTACAATGAGCAGTTTCTATTTCAACTTTGTTTTTAGGGGTTGAACCTTTAGCTAGTGAAGTCTAGAAGAGATATTAAAAGAACAATGGAAGAGACTTCCAGACTTGCAAATGCATGTCATTATTTTGGATGTCAACCATTAAAGTCTGCCCTTACATTCAGCTGCCAACAGCCTCGATGTGATGTGGTGGGATGGACCTTTGTCCTTCCCCTTGCCGCCAAACAAAGCTGAGCGTATGCTGCTCATTCTGAAACAGTGGTAAACCCATGTAAACCCAATAAGAAAGTAATAAACCGTCCTAATATTGCTATAAATGCTTTGTAGATGTTTGTATAAACCATCTCCAAGTGCCACATACTGTAGCAGGTTTATCATGGGGTTTACCGGGTTTACCACATTACATGATTTTTTCTGGTTTCCGATAAATGTGAGCTCTATAACTTTTTGAATGTGAGCAACCAACGCTACTGTATTATACTGTATTGAAAGTCACGCTACCGAAATTTGGGATGCGCAGAACCATGAGAATTCACCAGCTGCACAACCAAAAGGAACCCCTTTTGGGCCCTAAATCCTTTTATTTTCAGGGCCAAATTGTAGGAGTTACAACCCAACTTCCCAGGGTGCACCATATTTACCCAAAGAATCTCTCCATGGTTGGCCATGGCTAGTCCCTATTATGCCATCAAAATCCCAGTAAAATCGTAACCATAAATAAATGGGTTTGTCTGAAAATAGGGTATATTCCCAATTATAGCCATTTAATAGGGATAATGATCATTAACCATTGGGTTTAGGGGTACACTATTTTCAGACACACCCAAATATTAGTTTGCCATAAATACCCCCAACTGCTCCATCCGAGTCCCCGACATTTCTTCACCACCGCCACAAGGCGTGCCGTGCTTTGGCGCACCTTCACGCCTCGGCAGTGGTGCATCGGGACATCAAGTCACTCGATTTAAGCACCGCAATGAAGATTGGCCAACGGCGTATGGGCTTTTAAGCCTGAACATTCATAAGTGGATAAACAATGATAAACATATATAAAAAACATGGATGATGCACAAAATCAAAACATATGTTAAAACCACTTGGAGAAGTCTCATGGATTGGATCATCCAAGCGAGGTTTACCACAAGCGATAGAGGGTGGGCGATAGCCATGGGTAGCTTGGAGGGTTTAAGGGTGTTATGCGTCCAAATTTTAAGGGCCAGGGGACCACATGGGTCATGGTGTACCCTGAGGAAACATTCACAATAAGAGGCATAGTCTCGCTTATAATTATACAAGTGCTGGTGCAAAATACAGTACACAGCGAAGAAATAAAAATGCAAACAATGCTCATGTCATACATATATATATATATATTCATATATTCACAATATCACAATATATATATTCATATAATATATACACATGCATGAATATGTGTACGTGAATATGGCCATCAACATTGGCCTACTCCCACCTTTCACCTCCTTGTCACAAAGGCCACAGAATTTGTTGGTGGATGCTTCCCGCGGTCATTTGCTGAAGCTTTGCCTCTTGGCGACGATGATTCGCTGGAAGTCCAAGGGTCCAACGAAACTGGTGGGAAGAGAAAACAGCCAACAACAAAAGAACTCAGATTTATTAAGAATCACATGAATGAACATTAAATGAACATATATTGAACATGTTCATGCTGTTTTTCTCCACAAATTGGAGTGTCGTCTAAAAAGCAAGGGTTTGGGCTCCCCAATTTCATGGGATTTTGGGGCGCCCAGTGGCTGCAGCTTCTGCTGTTGGGGACCTCTTGGTTGATGATTGACGTGGAGATCGCTTGGCAGACAGTAGTCTGATGTTTGATTTACCCGGTAGTTTAACATATGGAAACTCACCATGATTTGCTTACTGGTGCTTAGGAGGGAATGGATGGGAATGGGGGAATGGGATGATTATTGATAGTTATTTATGGATCATTCCCTCATTCCCGACGTTTAGCACCAGTATGTTTGTTCAAGTAAATCATTATCACTACATGGTCCATGGCTTCCAGATGGTCATTGGATGAGTTTCCTAACAGGGATACGATTGGGTCGTTTCAAAGGGAACCCTTATAGACTGGTGCATATTCGAACAATTTGAATCTCGTACATATTCGACATCGACTTTGTATATTATATATATATTGAACCTTTTTGTGTAGCTTATAAGCCAATTCTAGTAGAAATCTTCGGGGTCTCAGTCTCTTAGGAGTATTCGATAGTAAGATTTTGTACAAATATATATATATATATACATATAGGGAACCATTTCAATTACATTTTTTAGGGATGTTAACATGTCATAACATTTCCCTATACAATGTTGATATTAGATTATACAGGATATGTATGTACAGTATATAATATATATTTATTATATTATATTATATTGTATTGTATTGTATTATATATTATATTATATATTATATTATATTATATTATCAATTTATATTATATTAAATTATATATTATATTATATTATATTTTATTTTATTTTATATATTATATTATATTATATTATATATTATATATTATATTATATTATCAATTTATATTATTTTAAATTATATATTATATTATATTATATATTATATTATATTATATATTATATATTATATTATATTATAAATTATATTTTAAATTATATTATAAAATATATTATATTGTATTATATATTATATTATATTATATTATATGATATTATATATTATATATTATATTATATTATAATGTAATATACTATATTATATTATAAAATATATTATATATTATATGGTATATTATATTAATTTGTATATTATATTATAATATAATATTATATATTATATTATATATTATATTATACATTATATTATATTTTATATTATATTTTATATTATATATTATATTATGTATTATTTTATAGTTTATATTATATATTATTTTATATTATATATTATATATTGTATATATATATTATATTATATTATTATATTATAAATTTATATTATATTATATTATATATTATATTATATTACATTTTTTTATAAGCAATATATTATATTATATTATATTGTATTATATTTTAATCTATTATATTTTATTATATTATATATTATATATTATATATTATATTATATATTATATTTTTATATTTTATATTTTATATATTATATAACATATCTATATATAGCTATATGTTATGCATATATATATATATTATGTATATATAGGGAACATGAATTAAACAATGGCTCTGTAGTGACTGGGTCGGCCTTCAAGGCGACTTTGGCTCGGCCGCACGGCTGAGTCAAGGACGCCCCGCCTTGGTCCGGGCGCCCGATCGCCCTAGAAGCCAAGGAACCTGGTTACCCATCGTTTCCCTGTATAACTAACCATAGATCATTGGGTACATCATCTATCTATTTAATCTAATCTAAATCCAAATCTAATCTAATCTAAGTCTAAGTCTAAATCTAATCTAAATCTAATCTAAATCTAATCTAAATCTAAATCTAAATCTAAATCTAAATCTAAATCTAATCTAATCTAAATCTAATCTAATCTAAATCTAATCTAATCTAATCTAATCTAAATCTATCTATCTATCTATCTACCTATCTATCTATCTATCTATAGGTAAGTCATCTACTAATAGGTCATGTAGACTAACATACTAGTAGCTATTGAAAGCAAACCATTGATGATTTATAGATGATTTACCTATTGAAAGAGTGATTTTGACGATGTTAGTCTACCAGAGGGTAGCAAACATTTGCAGTTCACCAAGAAAAATGATGATTTGATGAACACAAGTTAACAGTCAACAATCAACAATAGGAAGTTAATCAACAATAACGAGGATTTGATCATCAACAAACATGAACATGTGTATTCTACCGTGAAAGACCTGGACTAAGCAGCAAAAGACGAAAGTCAACCAAGAAAAAATGGATACAATCAGATCTGATTATCTAGACTGTATGTCACTTGTAGAGTTCGTTCCCTAGAGAATTTGTTGAATATGGTTTAATGGGCAAAACACAGGAAACTCTTGTATTCGCGGGTAAGAACCATTGGTTTGCTGGATTTTCTTTTCAATCAATCCATTGATAGTTGATAAAGTAGCAGCTAATATTCGTAGAATTGGATGGGAACATCAACAGCTTTCACACCAATTTCAGCATTAAAAAAAAACAAACCTTGGTTTCAACTTATGTTTCAACCCTTGTTTTCCCAGGTTTTTCCCAGAGTTTTCCCGAAGTTTCAACACGTCAGGTGGCCTACATTTGTTCGCGCTACTATCGCGCGCCTGAACTGATCTTCGGGGCCACCAACTAGTGACTTGGCGAAGGAAAGTTGATCCGGAAATCCCATGGGAAAACCACAGGTGTTGAAAATAACCACCTTTTTGAAGCCGTGTTTGATGGATTTCAATGATCTTAGGGATTTGTTCATTTGTTATTAGATGATTATTGATGATTCTTTGTTGTTCCAAATTAGACAGACCATCATTTTTACATGATGAATTTTGGGTAACTGCATGGAACGTTCGGGAATTTCGCTTGTCCGCCACGATTCGTGGTGTCACTGGGTCAACTGGATGGATTCGCCGCTGTCCTGAGGCAGTTCTGAAACACATAAAGCCTCCATAAATCTGAAATCATAAACCCAATCAAGTCACAAAAAACATCAGGGTTTCAAACTGGTTACACCAATGAAAATCAATGAAAACAGTTCCCCACATTTGGTTTTTTCAACTACCATCCAATGGCTGGTTTCGAGGTGGTTCTGTTTGTTGTTGCCCCAACAGTATCCGTGAAATATCGTATCAAATATTGTTGGTTATGCAGATATGTACATATCCTATTACATTCCCATAAAATCATGTAAATGCTTTGATTAGCTACCACCATTCACATGAGACCCAACCAAAAAACCCAATGAAATTCATGGATTTCCATGGATTTCCTGCCATTTACCATGGAGTTTCTCGACCCAATCGATCGCCCTTGTTGCCGTTGGCGTTTCGCTCAGTAGCACTGCGGTGGATCTTTGGTCCATGGGCTGCGTACTGGCTGAGATGCTACGAGGAGCCCATGTAAACACTTGGGGATGGATGACTTTGGAAACCACCAATGGTGGGAATAAATATCCTCTGGTAATTTAACATAGCTATGGAAAATGGATCATTTATAGATGTTTTACCTATTAAAAATGGTGATTTTCTATAGCTATGTCAAATTACCAGAGGGTAAATATTCACTAGTTTTCTTAGGGTACATGACCAATGGCTGTTGCTTGGGATAGTTATCCAGTTATCCATCATAACTCCATATATATATATAATTCCCATGGATTTTTCGAAAGATGGATGTTATGCGGACAATTCAGTTGGAAGAATGGGATAGTAGTGTCAGACCTTCCAACGAATTTGCAAAGATCGTCTACTTTTTATGGATATCATGGGATATCAATGTGGCTGATATATGATAAGCTTCCGAAGCAGCCATTATATCTCCCCATCAACTAGGGATGATGAACAACGGGAAACACATCCTGTAGAACCTGCAGAGTTTCCCTTGAAGAATGGGGAGAAAAAAGCAGCAGAAATGGGTGATTTGCCCAGAAAAAATGGGGATTTAACCAAGAACAATGGGGAACAAACATGGTTAGTTAGTTAGAACAACATAGAGATTGAACAAACAATAGTAGGGATTTTCCAAATCCTCAAATAGATAGCATTATCCGAATCATTATCCCCTAACATAATTAAACACCAAGGAATTTTGGTCTGTGTTTCTTTTGCTGTGTATCCAAATTAGCCATGATAGATAGTGCTGGAAATCATCCCCAACAATCTTTAGGTGATTAGATACACTCTCTATATATATAATTATATATAATATTGATAAATGGAAAGTAAACCTCCGATTTCGGATGCTTTATACCACCCATGCCTGCGAAAATTGGGATGGTTCATCATTGGGTCCCACACATATGGAGAAGTCCTACTATCTAAGATCAAGCATGATAGGGGATAAAGATAGGACATATAGTATGAATACATAGAGACATAGACAGAGATAGACAAATTCCATCGAAGCCCAGTGTGGACTCTTTTTGAGAATAAACTTTCGAATAAGATGCTAGAGAAAGTGAAGATTTGCGCAGCAAGGGAAACGGGACGTGGAAATTGGCTTGGCAACAATTGCACTGTACCGACTATACCCAACGAATATAGCGTTTTAATGTGTTTTGCTAGAAAACAGAACAATGGGAGATAAAGGCAAACAACATACCCAAGAGCAATGGCGATCTAATTGAAAGTGAGCATGGGATCAAATGGGACAACTAATGGATATTTTCCATGGCAGCATTGCACAGGATGACTCAACATCAGAGAATCACAAAACTGTTAACACTATAGGAGCCGTCACATGTGAAAATACTTAAGACTTAGGATTCGCGCAACAGGTGAACACAACTTTCGGTGCTGCCGCAGAAATTGATGCCCTTTTTGTGAACTGCTTGGCCTTTTTTGGGTGGGATCTGACAGTGTAGTGGGTTGCCATTTTCACTGCCAGGGTTGGATTAGCCAGACAGCGCAGATTTGTGGGGAAAACACACATAGGAAATGTACTGATAATTAGATGTCCAGCTAAAACATGGAAAGGCGACCATTAGTAGTTTCATGTTTGTTATGGGGCCCCAATCTTGACAAATCTGATGATAAATCCAATGACAATTTGCGACTTCCCAGCAGCGAATGGCTGGAAAGGAGGTTGCCAAGAAGTTTACACAGTACAGTATGGAGAATCCCAACAGACTGCCATGATGTTTTTGGAGGGGGAGGCCTTGTACTGACCGTGTATGATTTTGGATAATTCCTAAAGCCATCATATGAGATTGCTAACCTGAGTCTCAAATCATTTTGTAAGCAACTTGGACAAAATGCCAACAGCATGTTTGAATCTTTTGATGCAAGTCGCAACATTGCAAAAGTACAATAAATGACACAAAGGAGGCCTGGATGCTCCGTGCAGGGCGACATCTAAGGGCCCATTGCTGAAGGAAGGTGCAAGAGACAATCGTAGACATTCTTTGGGAATCGGAATGTATTGTATAGAAAAACCACCCTCTGAATTGAACATAGACTAGAAATCACCACATCAAAGCAAGTAATAAATTTCGGAACATATAGTCAACTCTAATTTGCTTCAAGATGCTTCAAGTCTATACAATCAACATTAATCACCTCTAAGTTGTTTCAAGGTCGCAGCCCTGAGGACGGCCGCTGTTTCCTGGGGAGAATGGGGTGGACCAGCTGGTCGAAATCGTGAAGGCGGCGGTCCTTCGGTCCCCTTCGGTCCCCTTCGGTCCTGCCATCGATAGGGATTAATTGGGATTTAACCATGAACAACAGGATTGTTTAAAGATTTTTCATAGGGATATGATGGGATATGATGGGATATGATGGGATGAAAACTGATTTAAGTCCATCAACAATAGGAAGTTAATGCGATTTAATGTGAATATAATGGGCATTCATGGATTAATGGAATATATATATATATATTACATATATTAATATACATAATACACAACCAACCAAGAACGATATTGGTGATGTTTGAAACTTGAGATACCTTAAAATTAAAATAGCAATTTGTTCATGGGAAAATTATCACCATCAAACTCTGGGCCCTATTTTCAGTCAAACCCATCTCGGGATGTTTGAAGTATCTAGTGATTCTAAACGAACAAAGGAGGGAATTGTACCCGAGTTTCCCAACACAAATGGGATTGAAATAGCAACCCTTGGGCATCCTGGTAGTATACCCATCAGCAATGGTGATATCATATGATATCATCAGCAGCAGAACTGGTTGGCAGTTTCACTGGATGACGGGGTTGAAAGCAGCAACCAATCATGATGGCCTTGAACATACAAGAGAAAATTGCGCAATGTAAGGGACTTCCAGCTTATCCAGACGCTCCATGTACTCTATATTTGACCTGGATGCATGTTCAGCCACCAACATGTAATGTTTAACACAGTTCCAAACTTCCGAGACATAAACAAACAATGTGTTTGAAGAACTGGGTCACATGATTTCAGCGTGTGGTTGCAGGCAACCTGCATCCCTGGAAAAGATACTCTCCGGCAATCAAACGCAGCAACGAAACATTACCCAATTCTGAATTCTGCATGACGAATTACATTCTTAAGATTTCTGAAGTATTAAGAAGCATTGCTCGCATCACTGTCTATTGCTAGGTTGTATAGATTAGCGGAGAGGCGGAGAGGCACCACTGTTCTAATATGTTCTAATCATGTGACATCAACGCTGATGGCTTTACTCATAGATACTCATATGATCTCATAGTGTATTCCCAATGTTCGCAAGTACGTGCAATCATAAATCATCTGAAACCATCAGAAACCATCAGAAACAATCAGAAACCATCAGAAACCATAATAAATCATCAGAAATCATCTAGAGCCGATGTTTGCTGACTCACTGAATTGGGAGCGTGCCAGGTCCTGGGTTCACCCTCCCGTCGGCAAGTCCTGGCCATGAACCCGCAGTGCGCGTTCGGCTGAAGCGAGTTGTGGGGGAAGCACCGGTGGATTGACCCTGCAAAATTGTTTTTGAACCAAGAAAGATGCAGATTATGAAGATATTATGAAGATATTATGAAGATTATGAAGATTCTAGATGATATGAATATGATATGAGATGAAGATTATGAAGATTATGAAGATTATGAAGATTCTAGATGATATGAATATGATATGAACTGTTCAAGAATGGGAATTTAATGGGTCATTTCCTCCCACCCATCAATTTTAAGCGCATATTCCACATCAAAAATGGATCGTAAAAATCCGGCGGGATCCATCGGAGTCCGCGAGCTGCAGGTATTTCAGCTTCGCATTTCCCACTGTGGCAGCATGCAATTGGAGTGTGGAAGCCCGGAAGGAAGGTATAACCAAGAATTTTTGGAAAGAAGAACTAGCTACATGAGTATATCATTGGGCAACTGCACTATATATAATCACTACGCACTATTGTTTATTCCTCCTGGATTACTGTAGCATAGTGATGCACTTGTTTCCACGTACAGCATGTTAGAGTGGTTGTATCGGGAGAGTCTAAATGGTGTTCATGTTTCCAAAGAAGAACGGTGAATAACGACTGAACACATCTCAACACTAACAAAGTGTGTAGTTTCCCATGTGTTTCAGTCATTTCGTTTTGCAATTGACCCTTCATTGGATTGATTTTTGGGAACTACTGTAATATCTACTGTAATATGTGCAGTAAAACCTTAAATATAGGGTGTCAACATGTGTAAACATGATTTGGTTCCTCTAAATATGTCAACACAACATAAGTCAATCCATTAATGGATACGTGCCTGCACCTTTTTTTTTGTCAAGGTCCTTGTGGCTGCAAAGTCACACATCAATCAATCAATCAATGACTGTACAATTTTGACTGTCCACTTGTAGGGTGCTTGGGGGCCCAACTTGGAGCTGAGGTACTGTGTTTCGGAAGACGGTGGGCCCTGAGTGCAGGGCTCAGAGACGCCAATGTTTATTCTTGTTTTTTCTACCAACAAAACACTTGGGAGCTCAAACATTGGAATGTAATTGTTTTATTACTTGTTTACCAGCAAAAAATATAAGCCACATTTGTCTTTTTTTTCAATGAACTTACATATTCAACAAACAAATCAAGCATAAAAGGGGATAGTCAAAACATGTCAAACATGAGATCTGTCAGGAAAGGTGTCAACCATGAGATGTCACTGCTTGGTGTCTTAAATGGTTTCGTTTCCCAATGGGATGATCAAATGGTGTTTGGCATGACATGGCCAGGAAAGGAAATACATCATATATGGGTTTGTCTGAAAATGTTGGGTATATTCCCCAATGAAATAGCCATTTAATAGGGATATAGGGATAATGATCATTAACATTCATTAACCAATGATTTGACATGTTACAGATTCACTTGTTCAAGTAGACTCCGATACTCCGATACTCCTAAATTGTGCTGAAAGCACAAGCAACAACGTGTATCAATGCGTCTTGATATGTGTGCTGGTTTTATCACCAGTTTCAAAATCTTGTTGAAACCTGGGGTCGATCTTTCTCGTTGTTGCACCCCAGGAATCGTAAGTGGGTAGAGTCAACCGAATTACAACCGGACGATTACTCTACTTGCCCTACTGAATTAACTGAGGTGAACCAACTCACTAATACAATTCCTGGTGTAATAATAACAAGCAAGTCGTAGATATATCCCTTTCAAACCCATTTTGAACACATTTTGGCAATATTTAACCTGCCTTTTCTCCAACTTACCTATCGTTTCGGGGCCCAGAAATCTGTAACAACCAGTGGTTTTTGGTCCCAGGTTCACCACACTTCTCAGTGAGTTCCTGCAGTGGGCTGGCTGAGAATCGGTGAATCTTCCTGGGTGACACCTGGCATGCCGAGACACATAACCTGAATGAACTATGTATAAAAATATATATATATGTATATGTATACATATATAATATGTTACAATATGATATAATATGATATAATATAATATAGTATGATATAATATGATATTAATGATATAATTTTTAACATACAATGTGGTAAGCCCAATGCCAGAACCCCCCCAAAAAATCACCAATTCAATGGATGGCTGGCTGAAGCCATCTCCAGTAGTTAGAAATGGCATCAAGGGTTGCCCACATTGGACATCATCCCCTGAAATGGCCGAAAATAAAAATATCTGCTTTAGGAAATGATAGTTGAAGGTTTAACCAATGATAGTTGAAGGATGTTTTTCAACTATCATTTCAACTATTAGTTGAACATATCTGGTTGGGATATTAGTTGAACCTGTGTTTTTTCAACTGGACCATCCACCGTTTGGGGAATCGATGGTTGTTTCTTTTTTCTGTGGACCCCAGCAACTCCAAGGATGGAATCGCTGAGCGAGTCATTGTGTTTTCGTTCAGTAGTCATGCGTCCAAGAACTCAGTATCTAGGGGTTATGGTAGATATATTGCACTAGTTACCCTCTGGTAAATTAACATAGACCCTGAAAATCACCAATTTTTAGTGGAAACTAATCTTCCAACCCCTATCTGCCAGGGTCTATGTTAATTTACTGGGGGTATATATATATGAATATACTGTTTTTAAAACCAACAAACAGAACTGCAGGGCACCTGGTACTGTAGCTGGACCCGGATGGTAAGTTTACCATTTCCCACATGAACAGTTTCATCCTGAGAATGACCTATTTTAGGAGCAAGGTAGTCTTCCAATCCTCGGCAGGGTCCATGTTAGCTGGGATGATGGTACGTTTTGAAATACATGTTTCGAATTGTAACACAAAGGGGCAATATTTATCACCCCAAAACATACACTGTATCCTTTTTTTTGCAGGCTATGGTATTAAGATTAACTGTGAAATTATGATGCAATTAAAACATAACAGGTGGATGAAACGCACCATAAAACTCTGGAGTTGACCGTCAAAGTTGCGATGCAACATATCATCAATAGAAGCAGACATGAGTGGCAACTGCTTCCGTAAGAGAGGAAGCTCTGTAACGAAGAATGTAGGTGGATAATGGTGGATATCTCTGACCATGTGAATCAAATGCATAAATGCAAGATCAAGAGCTGGGACCATCGATGTGGATCCCGTGAGATTGGACATAGCCAGCATCCGCCACCACTGGAAGCCTCCAAAGAGCCCAGGTACGACCCCGAGACCCGCATTAAGCCATTGGAGGTGGGAGATGGAGCAGATACGCCATCGGAAACATGGGGGGGGTATCATTTTTTTCAAATCAAGTAACAATGATTTTGTTGACCTTTATCTGATTTTTATCTCTGAAACATGTTGTTTTACCATTCAAGATAGGGGTTTCCGGTATATAATGTTTCCATTGTTCCGTCACACCAATTCTGGCAAGGCATGAAATGCGGATTTGAATCTAGAAAAGGCATTCCCACCATATTGCACCATGATTCTAAAACCATATTTCAGCATATTTGATCGAACATGAACAGCCCACTGGTTGATTGATAGAGGGATCGCCGACTTTTTAATACACATCTGAGGTGAATGATGATAAACGGTACTGTATCCATCACCCGCCCAGAAAAACTTTCCCAAAAGAACATTGTTGGGAAATCATCAACCATGAACCAAGCATCATTTATCAATCCTATCCCCATCTATTTGGATGTTTGAAAATCCCGAATTAAATGATGGAATAAGGCCACTCACCCCAAATTCAGGGGTTAGACCACCCATTAATGATGATTAACTTCGAAGTCCCAATGGGTTTGCTTGAAAATTAGGTTGCCCCCTTCCATCCTGTAATAATTTTCCCTGTCAGACTGCCATAAGTTGTAGGTATACCCGATTTTCAGACACACCCAATAAATCATATTACTGTATTTGAATTTATGTGGTTGCATCCTCAGTATATTCTCATGAAATCTTCATGAAATATCCCAATGCCAATGAAATATCCCTGTTCGTTCCTCCCCACGTTTGCTGGTGAAATTCCCACCTTCAGACAGACCACAATCCCAGCAATTCTTGGAGTTATGGGGCACCGCCTAGCAACCAATCCAACATATTACAGTCTTGATGATGTTTCGCCATAATATAAACTGTATATCTATATATATATAGATAGACATTATGCATATGTGTATAATATGTATATAAGTAATATGTGTATATATAATTGTACTGTATAATACTGTATATATATATATGTGAAAAACCATATTCTATGGACCTATGACCTATGGATACTTATGGTACAATCTAATGCACTTATCAGTAGATTTCTGGATTAAATATCTACACGAGGTTATTCACTATCCATACATAATATATATAACTATCTATCAATATTCATTATATCGAATCTATATCGGCAAAGTCTCTATGGATATTTTCTCAATATCTATAATATTCTATAATTATGCGGAATATTCCATAATATATATATATATTATCATTAGCATGTGTATTTGTTTAAATAATATTATCCACATAATACCATTATTTGGATATCCATAGTCTATTTATCGTACAACATTTTATTCATCCATGATCTCGTACAAATTTATTATCTGGATATCCATAGAGTAATATATTTCCATTACATCATAGGCCAATATTCCCATTCCCCCATTCCTTACATTTAGCACCAGTAAGAATATTATCTATTGTACGAAAAAAATATTGGATATCTGTCGGATATCTATGGATATCTGTCGGATTATCTACCCTCCATTTCTCCAAGGCCTGTGCTCACAGCTGCTTCGACGCCCTCCGCGACGAGCGCGCGCGCTGCTCCGACGGCCAACCCCTGCCGCCGGAGCGGGGAGCGGGCCATGGAGGTTTCCTAATTAGTCGTCATGGGGGATCCCCAAGTCACTGTAGTTTCAAAACTATGGTCGGTCATTCATGACTTGGATGATTTTGGGGAGTGCCCCTATGGATTGGAAACCCCCAGATAATAATAATACGGATATAACACAGATGTAACTGAAAAAACATGGGATATATCACTGCATATCATGGGATATCAAGATGACTATGCATGGGGATATGGTGGGATGATAATTGGAACACGTGATTTTTGGATTTCACTGTGATGTCACTGGAAGTGAGGGTAACGGGAATCATCCCCATGGCTGACCTCATAAGTGGTAACTGGGTTGTAACTCACTAATGATAGCCAGTTAAAAGGGAACTTCACATCCCCTGGTTCTGGACGTGCCTGAGAGCTGTATAATTATATATATATGTATATATATATATATACATATGGGAGCCGTCCGTAAATGCAGATAACAAATTTATGAATTGATGCGTTTACTCTGCTTTGCGCGATTGCCAAAACCTGCATCGCGATAGGCTGAGCGATTGGTTGGCGATTATACGGCTACAACTACTACGACTACTACGACTACTACGACTACTACGACTACTACGACTACTACTACTACTACTTCTACTACTACTACTACTTCTACTTCTACTTCTACTACTACTACTACTACTTCTACTACTACTACTACTTCTACTACTACTACTACTTCTACTTCTTCTACTACTACTACTACTCCTACTCCTACTACTACTACTACTACTACTACTACTCACTACTACTACTACTACTACTACTACTACTACTACTACTACTACTACTACTACTACTACTACTACTACTACTACTACTCACTACTACTACTACTCACTACTAACTACTAACTACTAACTACTACTACTACTTCTACTACTACTACTCCTGCTACTGCTACTACTACTACTACTACTACTATAACTATAAGTAGCTCCTGCCGATCACTTTAAGCGGTTCCACCAACAGAAGCGGGTGTACCCCGGACCGGACGTATTCTTGGGGGGAGCGATCCAGGGCCCTGCGCAACTTAATGCATACCCTAAAGGAATGTGTCGAAAACAGAACGGGGCTGGTGATCGGTAAGGAGGATGGTAAGATATCCGAAGCTATTACAAGATATATAGTGGCATTATACTGGCAGTCTTCACTATTACATTTGAAAGTTATGCCTTTGCTTTTTTTCCAAATGACAAATGTCCCACTGAGGGGTCAGAAATCAGTCAGAAACCAGTCAGAAACCGGCCAAACGCAATCTCTCTCCCTTGCCTATTCCCTCACCCTCCTACCAGAAATCCTACGCCTACTCCTATTCCAATTTCCACTACCACTACTGCTACTGCTACTGCTAGTGCTGCTGGTACTACTGTGAGTTTTCCGGACCGTTTCCGGACCGCGCAAGCTTATTTTGCTCCCAAGTTTGAAACAATGCGTTCACGCATGGATCCTTACTCTCCTTACTAGACTTGCTACTACTCTTAGTACTACCACCACACCCGCTGCTACTGCACCACCACTACCACTAGTACACCTAGGAATTTCTGCCTTTGCTTTTAAATCTAATTGACACGAATCCCGCTGAAGGGTCAGAAACCAGTCAGAAACCCGTCAGAAACCGGCCACTACTACTACTACTACTACTGCTACTACTACTACTACTACTCCTCCTACTCCTACTCCTACTCCTACTACTGGTATTACTGTGAGTTTTCCGGACCGTGCAATTTTCTTTTCTTCTCAAATATGAAAACGAATGCGTTCATGGGCAGATCCTTCTACTAGTGTTGCTACTACTCTCAGTATTACCACTAGCGCCGCTACCACTGCAACGCCGCTACCACTACTACACCGAGGAATTTTTGCCTTTGCTTTTCTCCACTTGACAAAACTTCCATGGAAGGGTCAGAAATCAGTCAGAAACCTGTCAGAAACCGGCCAAGCGCGAGTATCTGATTCTTTCCCTCGCTCTCTCTCCCTTTCTTTTGCTCCCCCCCCTCCTTTGTCACGATTCATTATATAATACATAACTTATATTTTATGTATATGATCTGATCAAAGAAGAACAAACCCTTCCGCGATTGCTCACTGTGGTACCGCGGTTGCTACGCGATTGGCTGAGCGATTGAGGGCTGTCCGGGAAAAGGTATTTTGGACAACCCCCATATATATATATACATATATATACATATATATATATATATACATATATATATATATACATATATATACATATGCATATTGCACGCATACGCGTGTGAATATTCCCCCAGGGACCGGCCAAAAAGGACCTCTTCAACCTGACTCAGCGGGAGCTGCGCACCTGTTCCGCTTCCTTGCACGATCGCTTGGTGCCAGTCACTGGGCAGGGCGAGTTCACCAGCAAACATGGTGATTTTACCAGCAAAAAGTGTGACTTCACCGGCAAACATCGTGGTACAATGCCATAATGGAGATATGTTTGGAAGATGAATTGCATTTAATCATCAATATAGTGAGATTGAATTGGAATACTGTATTATATATGGTGTAATGGGGATATAAAACCACCAATGGTTAGGATTTGATGGAACCTATTGGAGAAAGGGAATGATGATTTGCTTCATTACATTAATCTACAATCTATAATCACATGTTTGATAACAATATTTAGAATAAATCACAGGTTTTACTGGTTGAAACACAACCAAAATCTTGGTTATCTCCCAAAGGGTTTCCTGGGTGAAAAAACCCTATTTCTCCTGGTGAACCCACCATTTTAAGCCTCGATTCCGAGGCTTGGCATGCAGCTAGGTGTCCTGGCAGTCCTCCGCAGCCTCAGGCTCGGTGTCCTGGAACCCGTGGAACCCAGCCGCCTGACCTGTCGGGTGATGGGTTTACTGGGCCAACAACAGGGATGCTAGGATTTACCCAGGATTTACCCAAGGATTTACCCAGGATTTACCCAGGATTTACCCAAGGATTTACCCAGGATTTACCCAGGATTTACCCAAGGATTTACCCAGGATTTACCCAGGATTTACCCAAGGATTTACCCAGGATTTACCCAGGATTTACCCAAGGATTTACCCAGGATTTACCCAGGATTTACCCAAGGATTTACCCAAGGATTTACCGAAGGATTTACCCAGGATTTACCCAGGATTTACCCAAGGATTTACCCAGGATTTACCCAGGATTTACCCAGGATTTACCCAGGATTTACCCAGGATTTACCCAAGGATTTACCCAGGATTTACCCAAGGGATTTACCCAGGATTTACCCAAGGATTTACCCAGGATTTACCCAGGATTTACCCAAGGATTTTATTTACCCAGGATTTACCCAGGATTTACCCAAGGATTTACCCAAGGATTTACCCAGGATTTACCCAGGATTTACCCAGGATTTACCCAGGATTACCCAAGGATTACCCCCAGGATTTACCCAAGGATTTACCCAGGATTTACCCAAGGGTTTACCCAAGGATTTACCCAGGATTTACCCAAGGATTTACCCAGGATTTACCCAGGATTTACCCAAGGATACCCCGGATTTACCCAGGATTTACCCAGGATTTACCCAAGGATTTACCCAGGATTTACCCAGGATTTACCCAAGGATTTACCCAGGATTTACCCAGGATTTACCCAAGGATTTACCCAGGATTTACCCAGGATTTACCCAGGATTTACCCAGGATTTACCCAGGATTTACCCAAGGATTTACCCAGGATTTACCCAAGGGATTTACCCAGGATTTACCCAAGGATTTACCCAGGATTTACCCAGGATTTACCCAAGGATTTACCCAGGATTTACCCAGGATTTACCAACAGAAAATAGGATAAAGTGATTAAGTGATGAGATTTGTTGGGATTTAGCCTCGAATCTAACGTGGCTTGCTGGAAAAGCTCCCATTTAGCTTAGTGATGTTCCCAGCTATCAACCTCCATTTACAGTAGTTATATTGAGTTTAGGAAATTTCCAATTAAGTGCTATGTTTGATTGCTCGAGGGTAGTGATTTAACCATCAACGATGGTGACTTCACCGGACTTGACCAACAAACATGGTCTGTAACATGGTGGTATAATGGGGATGCAATGGGGATAGTGATCATATTCTGGTCATCGATATAAAGGGCTCAGTGGAATATGACATGGCCACGTTGAGACTCACGAGCGTGACACAATGGGCATATCATATCAGCTGACAAACAAATATGACTGGTTGGTGGTGTGGAACATTTTTTATTTTCCATAATAGTTGGGATGATGATCCAATCTCACTAATTAATATTTTTCAGAGGGGTTGAAACCACCAACCAGATGAGGTTATTATAGATATTTCAAAATCATACAGTGTTTTTTTGTTTTTAATAGCAGACAATGTCTGGGGTTTACCCAACACAGATGCTGATTTACAGTAAGCAAAAATTACAATTAAACCAGCAACAATTGGAACATAATATATATATAGTATTATATAGTATGGAAATGTATGGAACCAATAAAAGTAGCTTCTGCGTTTCTGCTTACTTCACACGTTCCAAATGATTCCATACGAAGCTGGTCATTTTTGACCCTGCATCCATGCATTTGTGAAAGGCGATCCCGATTGAGGGACTTGGAAAGGGCCAACGGACAGGCTTCTCCTCATCCTGACAAACATCATTATATACCATTTGATAATTTAACATGGCTATGGAAAATGGCCCAGTCACAGACAAATAATACCTATTGAACATGTTGACTTTCCATATCTACCTATATACGTTAGTTTACTGGCTGCCTATATATAGGTTAGTTTACTGGAGGGTACAGTATGCAACGTCTTTGGACACCCCATTGCGACGCGACGACTTGCATGCTTTGATGCGGCAACTTGCCGCTGATGCGCACAGGCAGCCGGCTGAAACTGCGGCAGCCGTGTGACTCCGAAGCGAAGCAGTGGCACAACTCCAAAGATTGGTTCTGAATCCAGAGACTTTTTGAAACCATCCTGTGAAGGTAGAAGTGCCACTGTTTTCTGCATGGCTATGTAAGCTTTGTGTCTACTCATCTAAACCGTCTTGATTATACAATACATATTAGTGTATATATAGTAGGTTAGGATGACTTAGGCCTCTGCGGACGAACCAGAAAATTGAATTTCCTAACTCATGTGAAAATTGATTTTTGGATCGAAAAAATGTATGTAAGTCCTAACTCAGGAGTGGTTTTAGTGCATTTTAAACAAAAAAACATGAAAATCAGTATTAAATTTTGTATGTTTTGAGCAGTGTCCCTCTGTGAGATAGGAGTTGCCAGGGTAACTCCTAACTCAAGTGGCTATCGCAGCACTGGAGCGTCCTGAGAATAGCTGAAAATGAGATATGAGTTAGGAAATAGATGAGTAAAAATTGGTTGTTGAGTCCCATCTCATGTAGTCAACTGAGGCCTTTTGAGCACGCGACATGTCACATGAGTTGGGATTTAGATTTAGATTTAGATGAGCGGCTGTCACACCATGCGTAGTGCGCGCGCGCGTCTTTTATAAGCTACGCTGTTCCCTTTGGACTTTTTGAGTCCTTCGCGATGGTAGGGCCCAAGCGCAAACTGGCAAAACTGTTAGTAATGGTAACTGCCGCTTTCCGAGTAAGTAAATAAGAGCCGCTCCTAACTCATGTCAAGTAGTGGAAGGCTTTCCTCCCCAGTCTGAACTATGTGTTTGGTAGGGTTGTACATTGTGCTGCAGACAGCCTTGACCCCAAAAGTCCAAACTCATCTGCCTCTTCCCTCGCCATATATCTTTTGCACTTTTCTTTGAGTTCTCATCTCATTGATTGAATCAATTAAATACAGAAGCAGCCCAGCGGGGTATAGGCTGTGGCAGAGAGAGAGAGAGAGAGAAGAGAGAAGAGAGAGAGAGAGAGGGAGAGAAGAGGGAGAGAAGAGGGAGAGAAGAGGGAGAGAAGAGGGAGAGAAGAGGGAGAGAAGAGGGAGAGAAGAGGGAGAGAAGAGGGAGAGAAGAGGGAGAGAAGAGGGAGAGAGGGAGAGAGAGGGAGAGAGGGAGAGGGGGAAGAGGGAGAGAAGGAAGAGGGAAGAGGGAATAGGCAGATGAGTTAGGACTTATGGAGCTCATGGCTAAGCTTGTATCCCGCTGGGCCGCTTCTATATTGGACTGCCTTAAACACTTGCACCAACCCCGAAGAAAGCGGGAAAAAAGAGGGGAGAGAGAGGGAGAGGGAGAGCGAGAGAGAGAGAGAGAGAAATAGAGAAGAGGCAGATGAGTTAGGACTTATGGAGCTCAAGGCTAAGCTTATACCCCGCTGAGCTGCTTCTATATTGGATTGTCTTCAATATTTGCACCAACCCCGAAGAAAGCGGGAAGAAAGAGAGTATAGATAGAGAGAGAGAGAGAGGAGGCAGATGAGTTAGGACTTATGGAGCTCAAGGCTAAGCCTATACCCCGCTGGGCTGCTTCTTTTTTGGATTGCCTTAAACACTTGCACCAACCCCGAAGAAAGCGGGAAAAAAGAGGGTAGGGAGAGAGAGAGAGAGAGTGTGAGAGAGAGAGAGAGAGAGAAAGAGAGAAGAGGCAGATGAGTTAGGACTTATGGAGCTCAAGGCTAAGCCTATACCCCTCTGGCCTTCAACACTTGCACGAACCCCGAAGAAAGCGAGAAAAGACATGGTATAGAGAGAGAGAGAGAGGGAGAGAGAAGAAGCAGATGAGTTAGGACTTATGGAGCTCAAGGCTAAGCCGGCTAAGCTTGTATCCCGCTGGGCTGCTTCTTTTTTGGACTGCCTTAAACACGTGCACCAACCCCGAAGAAAGCGGGAAAAAAGAGGGTATAGAGAAGGAACAGAGAGATAGAGAGAGAGAGAGAGGAGAGGCAGATGAGTTAGGACTTATGGAGCTCAAGGCTAAGCTTATACCCCGCTGGCCTTCAACACTTGCACCAACCCCGAAGAAAGCGGGAAAAGACATCGTATAGAGAGAGAGAGAGAGGGAGAGAGAAGAAGCAGATGAGTTAGGACTTATGGAGCTCAAGGCTAAGCCGGCTAAGCTTGTATCCCGCTGGGCTGCTTCTTTTTTGGACTGCCTTAAACACTTGCACCAACCCCGAAGAAAGCAGGAAAAAAGAGGGTATAGAGATGAGTGATGAGAGAGAGAGAGAGAGAGGGAGAGCGAGAGAGAGAGAGAGAGAGAGAGAGAGTGAGAGAGAGAGAGAGAGAGAAAGAGAGAAGAGGGAGAGAAGAGGGAGAGAGGGAGAGAGAGGGAGAGAGGGAGAGAAATGGAGAGAGGGAGAGAGGGAGAGGGGGAAGAGGGAGAGAAGGAAGAGGGAAGAGGGAAGAGGGAATAGGGAAGAGGCAGATGAGTTAGGACTTATGGAGCTCAAGGCTAAGCCTATACCCCGCTGGGCTGCTTCTTTTTTGGATTGCCTTAAACACTTGCACCAACCCCGAAGAAAGCGGGAAAAAAGAGGGTAGAGAGAGAGAGAGAGAGAGAAGAGGCAGATGAGTTAGGACTTATGGAGCTCAAGGCTGAGCTTATACCTCGCTGGGTTGCTTCTATATTGGATTGCCTTAAACACTTGCACCAACCGCGAAGAAAGCGGGAAAAGAGATGGTAGAGAGAGAGAGAGATAGAGAGAGAGAGAGAGAAAGAGAGAGAGAAAGAGAGAAGATGCAGATGAGTTTGGACTTATGGAGCTCAAGGCTAGTGTTTGAGGCAGTCAATACAAAACTTGGTGAGTATTACCGATGCACATGAGATAGGAAGCAGCCTGATCAATTTCAAGAGTTTGTCCTAACTCATGGGTCCTTGCGCAAGGTTTGCTAGAAAAATCCCTAGGCTTGTGCAATCAGAGATAGGAACTAAGGAAGTTAATTTCAAGCCCTTTTCCTAACTCATGTAGTCTGCTCTATCATGGCGTTCCCTGCTTTTGAAGTTCGCATGATGCGTGACTTGAGGCTCTTTGTGGATGTTAGGAAAAAACATGAGATAGGACCTAGAGGCGTACGTGACTCCTATCACATCTCTGCTGGAACCATTAAAAAAATATAACTTGAGCCTCGGCAGCACAAGAGTTAGGAGCCCGCCCCAGGGAGAACCTAACTGTCTGGAACAGCTAAATCCTAACTCACCAGGACCTAGTATATATATATATACACATATATTTATTTATACATGTTCTTCTGTATTCTGTGTGTTACTGCTAATACCTATCTGTATACAGAATGTGATCATCTCATCGATACATTGCGAGAACTTCTCTTAGTTGTAATGACGCATCTCAAACTGGGCTTTGCACATCTTTGGGCCACCACTGGATTTCCAAGCCAGTGGATTCAGTGGATCAGTGCAGGGAGTTGTGCCCTGTGCCAACAGTGATTCCAGCTGTCCAGCGACAGCTGGAGTGGTGCATGAGCAGATGGCAGGAGTCATTTTAGTTGTGCAGCCCTTGGTTTTCAGTGAGTCTTAAGATGAAGTTCCGCTTTCGGAGTTGTGTTTTCAGTCGACTTGTGGATGTTGAGATACCCCGACGCCAAATGTCCCCAGTCAGCAGTCAACTGGTGCTGATGTCCAGAGTCCAGAGTTCAACGTTACGCCCAAAAGGTCACCATTTTGACGGCCAAAAAAAATGCAGGGAATCTGGGGCCAGAATTCAGCCGTTTTTGTTGAGGGGGGATTGCAACCGCGAACCGGGCTTTCACAGGGGAGATGTCTTCTGCGATGGAAAGTATGCCTGCCATCTCAAGCGCTGGCGCTCGTGATGAGAAATTGTCGCGACACTGGTGCGATGCCAAATGAATCATCATGATATTTGACCCATAGATGGGTGTTTCCAAAGATTGATGACCCCACAGAATCTATCAAAGTCCATATCATGATCTGATGGAGGAAGAAGCAGTGTACCTGGAGTCTCCGTGATTTTTGGACACACCCAGATTCGGCCAGATGCCTGCCGAGGTGTTATTTGGGGAATTTCGCGGAATCAAAGACATTGGATTACACATTTCCGATGCCGCGTGTTCTATGGAACAAAAAATTGTGGTTGGTCCTCCAGGAAGAGACAGATACTGGTACAGTTGGTCGAGTTGAAAGTTGTGAAAGGAATGGAGGCATGATCTCTGAAGTCAATGGCTTGCATAATACATAACTGCTACCTGCCAGTGCTTCTTGAAGCCTTCCCTGGTGCTCCACCCTGTGAGAAGGTCTTTGGTCCAAGACAATCCCAACCAACTCCAGGTGACGGTGATTCGAGCTCCAAGTGTGTAAATGGCTGGTTAAGTCCAGACAATTGCTGTATTGAATCCCCAAACATAGCCTAGCCAATGATATATAATGATATAATGATATGTACTGTATATACATATATATATATATATACGTATATATATATATACACGTATATATATATATATACATATATATACATATACATATACCATATATATATATATACATTTTATATTATATACACAGTCTATACAATATATCATTACAACAAATTATCACCTAGCTACTTATCTACTTAGCAGTTGGCCAGCTAGCCCCATGTTGACTCGCCACGGAGCACCATCGACGCCTCTTCCAACCGGACGCCCAGCGACACCGACGCAAGTCGCGCTGTTCCGCCGGCCGCGCGCTGTTCCGAGGGTGCCTGTGGCATCGGGCCGGGGGAGCTTACATCCAGGGCCCAATTGGTAGATCCCATGGTTCTACCGGCGTATGGTTATCACATGTTATCACCATTACAAGAAACTGGGATGCACATCCGAGTATCAATGAATATTCAGAGTTTGAGGTTGGGCTGAGGTTGGGGGTTTGCCGTTTAGCCAGCAATGCATGGAGAGTTGGGCCAACAAAAACAACACACAAATGCCTGACAAACATGGTGATTTTGGCAATTTAAGATATAACAATATGTTGGGTTCTGAACCCACTGAAATCACGCATCCATTGAGGTACGAACCAAGCAGGGACAAAATCACAAAACCATGGAAAGAGTGCAGAGATCTCCTGCTTAATTACATATAAACCTTCCCACATGGATGGACACCCATTGTTGAATAGGGGTTAATAATGTTTAATATAGCAACACATATTAATATATCATGGAATGGATCATTTGGCTGCGATCTCAGAGACCTGTGCCAGGGTAAATCTCATATGGTAAGGAGATCATTGCAGGTACTACTTGTTGCAGATATCCACAGGTATCATTTGATTTATGATAACTATCAGATGATATCTTATATATATATGTATATGTATATAAATATATAGTTGATATAATACATATATATATATACATATTATGAATAGATAACCATGTGATGTACACATATTTGCAGCACCTGTATACTCTTATGTATATATATATATATTTTGACTTTCAGCAGGCTTTTCTGCCCGTCAACTGGATTTGAGCACCATACTTGGAGGTTCGGTTCCACTTGCTTTGTATATGTACAATTATCGGTGGGCATATCATACCATGTTTGTACCCGTTCATATCAATATCCCCGTTATTTCAATATGGTCAAACCATTTTTGACAGAACACGACAGTGTTGATGTTTATACTCATCTTAATCCACATAGATAATATACCATGATATACCCATAGTTTACTGAAGATGTGTATATCTTCCAGTACGTTTAGTTGCTTAAACCATGTTAAAACATTACATGATATTACACATGTATATATGGATGGATTGATGGATGGCTGGATGGATGGATGAATGGATGGGTAGATAGATGGATGGATGGAAGAATGGATGGATGGATGGATAGATGGATGGATGGATGGCTGGATGGATGGATGGATAGATGGATGGATGGATGGATGGACAGATGGAGGGATGGATGGATGGATGGATGGCAGGATGGCTGGATGGATAGATGGATGGATGGATGGATGGCAGGATGGCTGCATGGATAGATGGATGGATGGCTGGATGGATCGATGGATGGATGGATGGATGGATAGATGGATGGATGGATGGATGGCAGGATGGCTGGATGGATAGATGGATGGATGGATGGATGGCTGGATGGATCGATGGATAGATAGATATACAGCCATTGTTGATGGTTAAACCCCGATTTTCCCACCCGCCTTCGCAGACTGGAACCGAGGCATCCACCGTGTCGTTTGTTTCTGCTGCTGCCGTGGGATGCGTTGGGCACCGACCGTGGCGACGGCGGCAGAGTTCTCAGCGGCACGCGGAGGGAAGGTGCGGAAGTGGCAGGGCCGAGAAGATGAGTTGCTTCAAAAACAGCAGTAATTGGGTTGATTGAGCCGCTATATATACATGTAATCATATATATATATATTTATACACTTATTTATTTAATTATATATGTATATATACAATATAGTTTACATCTAGATAGATGATTCTACTTATATACATAATTATGTATAATTCTATGTATACATTACCTATAGATTCAGATAGTTAAACAATCTGAAACATGGTGAAATCATCATCTATGGTGTTTGACGGTCAACAAATGGGGATATAATTATATGGGTGCTTGATGATTATGGAGGCTTTAGTACCTGTTGTATGTTGGGGCCTATGATATTCTATGAACTGAGAATCCACATTAAGCGAGCGTTATATTATACTGGTTGGTGGTTTGGAACATGTTTTATTTTTCCAGATATTGGGAACAAGAATCCCAACTGACTAATATTTTTCAGAGGGGTTGAAACCACCAACCAGTATCAGAGATGTTACAATTGGTTTTTGACACTGCTCAGATGTTCCATCTGCAGAGGTCACCTTCCTGCAAAAGACACATAAGACCATGTTGCACGACCAGGTTTCCTTCGGTGCAAATGATCTTCGTTCCATCTTCATTATATATATATAATATATATATATAATTATAGTTTGGTGCATTATTGTATATTTTCACTATCTATTATATAATTATAATATTATATATAATGATAATGTATAATATATATATATACACATACTGTATGCCATTCAAACCCATTATCCCATTGTTCCATTATATTCCACCGTATTTCACTATATTCCAGTGTATTCCATGATGAAATTATATCCCATTATTTTTTTGAGTTCATACCAGTATATCCTGTTATATTCCATTGCATCCCAGTGTATCCCATTGTATGTCATCATATCCCATTGTTGGTTATATCTCCCCAAACCCACATTGCCATGTAAATTTTGCTGGTTATGGTTCTTACATATATATACATACTGTATGTATGTATTGATGCTCTGAACAGCTAGGGACTGATCCTGGTTGAGTCCAACGTGTTCATGATTAAGTCCAATTTTGGTGTGTGAAATCCATACTTTGCCAGACTATTCTGAAATTTGTTGGTGGTTGAATCACCCATCAAAACATACACCCGATATACCCGAGTATATAAAATTGTATCCCAAGATCTTGATAGATTTTGTTCATTAATGTTCATTATATATATATACGTGTATACATATATATATATATATAAGCGAGCGGGACCTTTCTTGGCTAAGTCTCACACAAACACGACCTGAAAAATAATCACATAGAGAAAACTTCAGTCCTAAAGTCCTAAAGGCCTAGTTTAACCAGGCCGTTAGCAAAGGCCTAGTTTAGCGAGGACTTTGGCCCGACAGGGTATAGACACTTTTTGAGACACATAATATTATATTTACATCATATTAATTATTGGGGTGACCCCCCCATCCATATACCAGCCATCCATATACATACTGTATATATATATACACATTGTTTATCTCCAAATATATAGAGGTCCAACTTGTGGTCCAACTTGATGGGTTCTGGTGCCCCATAGTTGGCTAAGTTGGTTTGCAATTCCAACTTGAGTTTATGGTAGATATGACATATCTACAGTTTATGGGTGTCATCTACAGCCCGAGCGCTGGTTAAGAATCCGAAAGCTTGAGGCCCAGGGTCCCTCAAATTCTTAGGGCATTCTTAGTTCTGTATTGCAGGCATCTGCATAATTTGGAGCAAGCAAAAGTGAGGTAACAAGGTGGAGTTGGCAGATTTGACAAGAGGCATGCGAAAAAATAAGGAGTAACTTAAGAATTTGGCAATCCTATTCCAGGGTCCCTCAAATTCTTAAAGTCCTATGTGTTTAGTACAACTGAAAATATGTAGCCCGCCTTGGAGTCGAGCCCCTCAAATTCGTATACAGTGAATTTTTGTACAATACTCAAGTTGTACCAAGTTACAATACATATATAATGTCAACCCTGGATTAATAGTAGTTAATAAACCCCTAGGCCCTAGGCTGTTCAATTGGGCTGGTACCATTTAAATATTAGATTCTAACTATTTGAGGAGTACTACCCTAGTTACAATGAACCATTGTTTCATTATAGACCTATTAGAAGAATCACATCACATGACTCTATTTGGTGTATTCATTTGTTATCCATCAACTGGGATGACATGTGTATTAATCCATTATGATTCCATCATTAACCCATTATCAACTTGGTGTATTAATCCACTATCAACTTGGTTGATTTCAACCCATCCCCAGTTTCACCACAGGTGCTATACCAACAAAAACCTTCCCAGTCATGGATGGTTGATGGCAGTGGTTTAACCACATGGGTATGGATCAATACCTATTAATACCATTTTTTGGGTGTTATTCACATCCATTTTAACCCAGCTATGACTTGGGGTTCACGGCACGGTACCAGGGTTTTGACCCATCCCCACATCATCCATGATTAGTTTCACAGCCACCTTGTCAGGTGCTACCAGGTGGTGTCCACCGAGTCTCAAGGCCTTGGCGTCGTGGCCACTGAGCCACTGCTGGCGGGGCAGCTGGTGACTGAGGAGGCGACCGGACATAGAAAAACCCTGGGTGGGAAACAAAAACCATGCGAAAACCCATGGGAAAATGGTGGAAACCATAGGAAAACCATAGGTAACATGGATTTGTATAGGAAAACCATGGAAAATTGTGTTTTAAGGAAGAAACATAAGGATTGAATGGGGATTGTTTTTTGATTTATAGTTGATTTATATATTTATGTTGGCTAAATTGACGCACAGAACTTGGTGAACTGTTGGGTTTAAGGGGGATATATCTATAGTATTGATGGGCTTGACATAGGTTAATAAACATGATCTAATTATAGTTAATGTTTGGGATAATTGTAATAACCCATTAACGTTTGGGAGGACTAACATGGTATGTCACGATAGCATTCTTTTTTTTAAAGTCAAGGCAACACACTGACAGCTCGCTGGGGGCCTCACGTTGGTGGAAGCAGGAGACTGACGAAGGAATGGGGATCGTGTCCCTATCTGGGGGAGTCACTTCTTTTCGATCTCGAAGTGGATGGAACCCCATGAGATAACAAAATTAAAACCTGAGGTTCTTAATCGCTGACCATCATCCTACTTCTGTTCTGGTTGCTGGTTTAATCACGTTTTATTCATCTTCAATTCTGGGATGATGACCGCAGGCTCCGGCACTACGCTGGTCTGGAGCGGAGGATGAGGCATGGGAAGATCCAGTGCCGGGAGGATGAGATTTTGATGAATAGAATTTTAACATGGTATTTTAATATGCGTTTATGATGTTCATTGGAACTTTAGCCAACAAACATGTTTGTTTAATTTAATGGGATTTAAATGAGATGTGATTGGGGATCTACGGGAATATAACCAACAGTATGGGGATATGTAATATATATGTATATATATATACATAATGGGAATTGTTTGGATGAATTATAATGACATCAATGGTTGGGAGTCGCGGAATCATGGCCGTATGACACCAATTCATCCAGAATAAAGTCGTAAACCATATTCCATAGGTATATAGGTAATGTATGGTAATTTTTTTTGTATACCATAGTAACCACCCAAACAAATGGAAACTGTGTTACTACCAGTTTAGTTGGATTTGTCGTTTTGGCTGGTCCTATAGAAACAATGATACATTTGGTATCCTAAATATTGCAACCATAACCCCACCCCTGGTTGGGATATGCTGTGTACATATTTCTAGAAATTTGCCAAATGATAAAAAAAATGGTGAAAAGAGCAGAGTCTGATTATTGGTTAGTTTTACCATATTAGTTATCATTTAGTTGATTGGTTAATTTGCCATAATATTGTACATAATTTGCCAATTGTTTTACCATATTAGTTGTCAAATATTTTTCAGATGGCTGACACATCAACCAGTGTTGATAGGTTGGATGAGTTGGGGATCGAGTTTTTGTCCCAACACCCCAAATTTCTCTGGCGTGTATCCATGTTTTAGATCCACATACATCTACAATATATATATATATATATATATTTATCTAATCCAATCCAATCCGATCTTATGTTGTCTAATCTTATTGTTTGTAATATATATATATAATTCTATATTAATATATATACATATATATATATATATGATATGTATATATGTATATCGTCAGTGACATCACTTTGCATATCGGGGTGTCTAGTGCGATTTGCGCCGAGGTGGAGCTGAAAGAATGCTTCGAGGAACTCCCGGTGGAGCAACAGCAAGAGCTCTGGCAGTTGGAGGTCCCTCGGACTGGATGAAGAGATCAGCGATGGAAAAAATATGGGACACAGCCCCAATTTCAAAAGGGTTCTGGGATGGGGATTTTCCATGAATTTCCTATACATGTATATAACTGGGTTATAATTACTGAAAATTCACAATAAGTTTATGTTCATATGTTAGATCACATATTAGTTCACCAAGAATAAAACCGAAAATCAGGGACCAATATTGGAGTGTCCTATAACTGGTTTCATTGATTTGAGATCGTTTTTCTAAGGAATTCAGGATCCCTGAAATTGCCCTTGTGTCGATGTTGGGCCTGGTGACCCTGGTGGTCCACTGGTCTAGGGAATCTCAGCTCCTGAAAACGACATCACAATTCGGGTCATCAAAAAAAAAACGAAGCTTTAAATTCCAGTCTTCCTGTGATATTTTTTAAAATTCTGTTTGGAGTTGATCATTCCCGCTGAACGTGATTCAGCCTGGTAGTACAATTCCATAAGGTGTGATGAATCCTATATTATAATATATACCATATTCAAATTTACCACTCGCAAATTTTATAAAACTGAGAAAATCTTGGTTTATTGTTTTTACAAGAAACAATAAATAACCATTCCATTTTTAAAGACAATCAATAATCTCGACCTACAAGATGGTGCGTCCCCAATTTATGTTTATCGTTTTTTTAACCCCTTATTTGTAGATATCTCATGATATCTCTAGCATAGGTTCTAAGCCCATCCCATCCTCACCAAAGGGTCGCCCGCCAGGACGCCTTTTCAGTGGGCGCAAAAACGTCGCTCAACGTCGCGAAAGGGCATCGTGTTTGGGGCTGGAAGTAGATTCTTAATTTACCATGGAACCTGGAAACCAAAAAAAAAATAGTCACAATCCAATCGACTTCCCCGTGCCTTAGCTGAAAATGGACGGTTCCATTCCCAAAATCCTCTTTTGCACCACGATCCCCTGGACCATCCGAAAGCGCAAAGCTGGATCAGATTTGAGGTGCTCACTCACCATGCACTTTGGATGTTACACTTACATTACCGGATTTGACTGGATCAGATGCAACTGGAAAATCACCATGTTGACTTGCTGCAGACTCGAATTTGTCCCAGTATGTCAGTCTGTCACAGAACAGGCATGTTTTTTGGATTTTTTTTGCAGCGTGGAAGTTGTGGATATTGATACGTGCAATCTATGAGATGATTATATAGGTATGTCGGTATGTCTGAAAATGGGACTCCTAAATCCACTGGTTGAACATCATTTCACCATTTGAAATAGTTTGGAGGTATACGGTATACCTCATTGTCAGACACAGCCGAATATCATAGTGTTGGCTATATATATATATAACCCATATAACCCATATCAAGTTCATATGTTGGCTAGTTAATTTTCCATTAAATCCTCTGGTTATTGGTTATCCAACATTGATTCTGTCCAGAAATCCTTCAGCCATGGCTCGGCCCAGGCTTTCGGGAATTGCCTTCACCAACAGCTGCTTGGAGTCTGAAAAAGGATAAAAGTGCCCCTACTGTAAAAAAAGGCCATTGAGTAGGGACAATGATGATAGTCATTTGATTTAGGGTATCCTAAGTTCAGACAAACTCAAGTATTTGCAAATGTTGCTACCGTGCCATGTAACTGTTGAGCAGGGGTTCTGGGATGCTGCGGGGTAAAGAATCAGACATGTCCATTTCCTTCATAGATTCTAGATCATAGATCTGAGAGAGTCAGGTACCTGCTATTGGTGCGCTTGACACGGGCCTTCAAAGCATGCGCGCGCAGCACTTGTGGTGACAATCCCAAATAGGCCTTTTGATCAACCACACCCAGATTTTTTAAAAAAAGTCCATATGCCAACAGCCCATCATATCCCCATCATATCCCCATCATATCCCCATTTTTTAATCCCTTTTTCATAGCCCCACTGGATATCCCCATCCATCGGGGCCCATCCGAGGCTTCCAAGCTGGTGAGCCTTTGAATCCGCAGGACCTGGACCTGGACGACGAACGGGTCTTGCGCCTGGCGCAGCATTGGTTTTGAATGGTTTTGACCCGCCCTCCCGAGGGCGGTGTGTGTGTTTTGGGATGCCAGATCTTTGGGACCATAAAAAAAAGGGGGTTGTCAATATGAACGGGGGATGAGATTAGATGAGACTAGTGATATGGAGAAGTTCCACTTTTTTTCCTAAAAAAATGGTTGATGAATTGAGATTGAGACTATGAGCGGCCACCTGATGCTTAAGATTGGCAATGTTTCATGGTATTCGTCTGGTTTTGTAACTTACATAATGCTTGTTATTTGTCGGTATTTTCTTCGAGATACAACACTGGGTTAGTTAAAGGGAAATACTATTCAGGCTTGGTTTAGGGGAGTATTCGGCATGGATGATCGCATGACTAGGAGTCAGCTGCAACCTAATTGTGGTGGGTTTTGGAAGACTGGATGCATGCAAAGGTTCCAAGGCTCTCGCATCAATCGCAAAGGTCCAAGGTTTCTTTTTCCTTAAAGCTGGAAAACATCGGAGGCGGATGCGGCAAAGGTCCATGCTTCTGACTCAGCTACAACAGAGATGCACCAGCTATGGGCTTCGCTCACCATGACTTCCGAAGCTCAAACAAAAAGTGTATGATTGCTTAAACGTATCAACCCCTCAAAGTGTCAGACACCAGAATTGAAGTGTTTTTTGTGTGTCCACGAAGGTACCACATGTGAATTCTGAGTCACCAAATATATAGCCATACTTGGGGTTGCATGCCACTTAGTAAGTGGGTATAGAATCATATTTTTATACGTGGTTATATAATAATATACATTATGCTGGTATATTCCCAACAGCGAATCTGTTGGGTTTCAATCTCTGGGGCCGGGGACTGGTGACACGAGTTTCTGCACGCCCCGAAAAAACGGAACAGTCCTGGAACCTTGCAGGAACCTTTCGCTGTTGGGTTGCAAAGCTGGGCTAATATATATACATATATACAATAATATATATATGTAATCATAGATTTGTCACGGTCAAAATAAATTGTTGAAGACCACTTTAGTATTGCAGGAGTTTTTCGTCAGAGATGTGCACAAAATACTGTAAAGCGATTCCCCCCAAAAGCGATAGTGACACAAAACACCGGAAAGCGATAGGCCCTCAGAAAGCGATAACCGATGATAGCAACTACTGAGATGCATATAAAGGATTTTGACGGGAGCTCATATCTGGTTGATGGTTTCAAACATTTTTTATTTTCCACAATATATGGGATAGTCCTTCCCATTGACTACTATTTTTCAAGATGTTTAAAACCACCAACCAGATATACATATCATAGGTTTTATATGGCTATATTAATGGGTTCTCTATGGGTTATAAACCACGTAGCCTGTCCGGGATGCTGAGGAAAAACATAGTTATTTCTGTTGAATCTGTAATCAAACCAATCCAATTATATATATATATACATATAATAATAAATAAATATATATATATATATAATATCAGAGAGTCCAATATTGCCAAAACTTTGGTGGTATGAGCATCCAAAACTAGCAGCTTGATCTTAAACCTATTTATCCAACCGTAGGGATAAACATCTACAATTACCCATGGACCATGGACCATTGGTGTCGCTCAAGGTATTTAGAGATCAGCCGATTCAACCACTCCTGTCTTCCCAACTGCGAAGTCAGCTGGGACGACCGTGAAGGACAGGGGCGACCAGGGTGGTGCCAAGAGGTACCAAGGAGTTTTCTTCGCAAAGATGTAGTCAGACCATGTCATACCCGCAACTGTTGGCATATTAGTTCCCGCTATTTGCATCGTGGGTTTGTGGAGACATGTTGGGAGTTGGGAAACATGTATATTGGGAATATCATACAAACATTTGGGTACACCTTGGGCTGAATAGTTTGAAACTAGGGTACCCCTCAATTTGATTGTTTTACACCCCATTGTTTCTATTAAAAAAAATGACCCTGAGTTGAAGGTACATACTTTTTTCGGGGAGGACAACCTCCACAAATTATATCCTTGGTCATAAGTTATATCTCATTACAGTATGATATAGTATGTTAAGTATGTTTTATATTCATGTTACATATATATAATATCAGTTATCAATTATACAAACATGAAATGGTGGGTGCGTTAATGATCTGCATGTTTCCCATGTGTCTCCATGAAAATGGCTAGGACTGTTGCAGATTTATGCAGGCCGTGTGGCTAGGCAGCGCGTGGCTAGTGACCACCAATAGTGGATGGATGGAAAAATCGATGGGATTGAGAATTGGTGATAAGCAAGTTAAATTATTGATTTCAATCGGAGCATTGAACCACATTTTTTTGGGTAAATTGCTATTTCGCCAGCAAACATGTGGTATCAATCGACACACGTGATCACAAATGGGTCCTTAAGTAGCCAAAAACAAGGTGTTTTAAGAAGCATCAGTGTTTGGGGATGATGAAAATTGGACAATTACTAGATGTGACTATAGTATAATTATATAATGGTATGGAATATGGAATAATCAAATTACTAATTGGTAAACAATGATAACTTCGGTGAAAAACTGGGTGATTACCATCCCGCCAACCTTCACATAGTCGTCAGTCGAGGGAATGGCGTGTTGCGAAGAAAGAAACGTGTGCAAAAAAGGTTGAATAAGTGTATGCTTACTGTAATAAATGTGCATTAATTAGGTTATATTATATGCATGCTTGTGATCCCGCATGCTTGTGATCCCGCGTGGATTGCCACCTGAAGACCTACCATCCTTTACTCAAAGATAGATGTCGATGAAAAATCACGAAGTATAGTTTATTTCCTTAGTGCAGGAAACTTTCTTGCAGCCATCGCAGCATCAATTGATAAACAAATCTATGATATGCTCTATATCCATTTCCCAGCCCTATGAAAAACCTATCCTGCTATCGACCATTCCCAATGACCTACTGTGCTGTATATACCAGACGTATTGTAAAGAAGGAAATATTGGAGGTTTATAGCATGTTGTCTACCACATGTGGGAAACCCACTTCGAAAGCTCATTTGTTTCCAGGTTTATATAGCGTTCCTTCAATGGTAACATTTCATTTCATTAGGTGCTATTATAAATTATACATGATTTATTTAGACCTCAATTTTATATACCCGGCATGCCCAGTAGATTTTCATCGAGTACCCGTATCCTATCATTTACACTGGATATCAATGCATACTAGAATCCAATGTCAACTTCAACTATGGGGAAAAAGCCATAACTTGCTATTCATGTTGATATCATTTAAATAGATTCAGATATCACAAATGAGATACACATGATATAGACCAGACGTTATATAATCCAAAACAATATCTAAGATGATTTGACACAAATACACGAAACATTTAATATTAAGATATATTACGGTAAGATTAATCCACGAACACTGAACACACACTGGTTTCATCCAAGAAAAGAGCTAGTTATATATTAAGCAATACATACTAGCATCTAATGTTCAACCATACCCAATGTAGATAGCGATTTATACTAATGATATACCAATACTTGAGATGCACATAGTAGGAAAATGCATACAATGTGGTAGGAGATCACATACTCATATGTTACTAAAGTATGCTTTGACATATACTATATATATTGAGACATGTATAATGAAACAATAATCCCATCCCCCTAATAGTAAATTCCCCCTGACTGGTCCCAAATATGAGTCAATCCCCTACTACATCATGGTTTCTGGCAGTGTTAAACATTAGACTGACAGGATTAGTTGTGATTCCTGTTAAACTCACTGAACGTCTAGGATGTTGGTGTTGCTATTGCTGTTGCTATTGCTGTCGTTTGTTTGTTTGTTGGTGGTTGCTTTGTTCCTTTGCTGGCTTGTTTTTGATGAACATAGTGATAATAATGATCCTAATGATAATACTGATGATACTGGTACTGATGTTGATACTGATGCTGATGATACTGATTACTGATGGTACTAATGATACTGATGTTGATGTTGGATTCAAAAAAAAGTGTATCATAAATTTAAATACATTTAATATCACTAACATCACATTTATACTAATGATTACTGTTGAATTTGATCCACCACAATGTGTCGTGGCTCAGGACGTGGCTCTTGGTGAAGACCTGTGTTTGTACTACCAGGATGTGCGTATGCCAAGGCTCTCGCGACAGGCGGGGGCCAAGCTGTGGAAACTCAGAAAGATTTGCAAAAACCACGGAAAACCTCGAGTTTTCCTAGGAAATGATGTATAAATGGTGGATTCTCTTGGGATTGTTCATGTCTTTGTTGGTTTACTGTAGGATACACAGCATAAAGCATCCGTAAGATGGCGATATGGGGATAAGGCACAACTTATATACTGTATATATAAATACACACACACACTGTATTTTGAAGGATGAACATCCATTTACTACCTACACTCCACTTTCAGACAGAATAAAACGGTGGGGACTTGGGAAGGGTTTGAAATTTGAGATCCTTAGTAAGTACAGAATTGTGGTGACTGGTGACTACTGTGTACGGAGATGTCTACCAATTGAGAATCCGGATACCCATACAGTATTTCGTTACAGTGAGCTTTGGCAGTGATGGCCCATTTAATTCAATGATTTACATACCTACTCACAGTCATTACTTCTATAGCTAAATTCACCCACGGCGTGGCGTGTAGTCCCAATGGCTGCTGGCGACAATGTACAACAATGATCAAAAACGAAGAGAATGATAGTCATATATCAGTTGTGAGGATCATACAATAATCCTCATAACTATATATTATATATATTATATATATACTATATGGTATTAGCGTATAATATAGTATATGTATACACCATTATACACCTATATTTACCCTCTGGTTATTTAACATAGCTATGGAAAATGGGCCATTTATAGATGGTTCACCTATTAAAAATGGTGATTTTCCATGGCTATGTTAAATAGCCAGATGGTATATCCTGATATCCATGTAGACCGCCCAGGAGAAGTTGAAATCTTTGGGTTTCACCTGTGCTTGTCGAGCCTGCAGGGCTGCAGGAGTGGATCGATTTTCGATATGACATGTTGATAAAGCAGAAAAAACGGAACACATCTATGAAGACAATATATATATATATTACAAGCCATGGTATGTATAATGGTATATATACATATACATATATTATATATATACACATACATATCACCATATCACATATATATATATTTACAAGCCATGGTATGTATAATGGTATATATACATATACATATATATATGTACATACATATCACCATATCATATATATATAAATGTATATTACAAGCCATGGTATGTATAATGGTATATATACATATACATATATATGTATATACATACATATCACCATATCATATATATATATATATATATATTACAAACCATGGTATGTATAATGGTATATATACATATACATATATATATACATACATATCACCATATCATATATATATATATTACAAGCCATGGTATGTATAATGGTATATATATATACATATACATATATATACATATACATATATATATATACATATACATATATATATATACATACATATCACCATATCATATATATATATTACAAGCCATGGTATGTATAATGGTATATATATACATATACATATATATATACATACATATCACCATATCACATATATATATATATTAGAAGCCATGGTATGTATAATGGTATATATATATATACATATACATATATATACATATATATATATATACATATACATATATATATACATATACATATATATACATATACATATATATATACATACATATCACCATATCATATATATATATATATTAGAAGCCATGGTATGTATAATGGTATATATATACATATATACATACATATATATATATACATACATATCACCATATCATATATATATATATTACAAGCCATGGTATGTATAATGGTATATATACATATACATATATATATATTACACAACTAACCAAACAATGTGGGCAAATTATCATCTCAGGACTTCACAAATGCTGCTTACACTTTTTAAATCTGTACTTTTCATGGTCAAAGCCTCATTTTTATCGGTCAAATTCACATATGTGCAGCAAAAAACGCAAACAAAAACAACATGGCAACTTCGCAGCTTCAAAGTCCCAATATAGACCTTTCCACACCATGACTTTTCCCGCAGATCGGCGCAGTGACCAGCGGCGGCAGCGGATGCAGCAGCTCTTGGGGGAGATGGAAGAGGTCGAGGAGGAGGAGGTGCTGAGGGGACGGGCCCAGAAACATAGGTTTTACCATGTTTTTCCCACTAGAATCCATCATTTGAGCAGTGTTTACCCATCATTTATCCTCTGATTGTTTTATTCAAGAGTTCCCTTCTGATGATGTTTTACCAATCATTTACCATGGTTTGGCTATGGATTGTCCTGTGTTTTACCGATCATTTACCCTCTGATTATTTGACATAGCTATGGAACATGGCCATCTATAGATGATTTATGATGATTTACCGATTTACCTATTAAAGCAATAATACAATAATGCTTATAGTTTAAGATAAGAGCATAACAATAATCATTATTATTATTATTTGAGTAGTGTTCAAAAGCACGGTTTGTTGATGATGATTATGATGATGATGATGATGATGATGATGATGACTATGACGATAGAGGATTATACCAACCAATGAAATGGGGATTGTCACAACCCATTCAGGGAATCCCTGTGACAGGTCCTGGTTGCCAGCTGGTCATTTAAGGCAGCTTTAGAAAATCATTATTTTTAATGAGTAAATCATCATAAATCGGCCATAAATGTGTGATTTTCTATAGCTATGTTAAACAACCAGAGGATACTGTTTAAACATGGGGATAAACCAGAGGTTAAATAAGTATATATTATTGTTATATTTTATGTTAATTGTCTATGCTTAAAACTATTGTTGAATGGTGATAGTAAAACCAGCAATAATGGGGATTAGACTATATAAATAGATCTGATACACCTGATATATATATATACATAGTCACTAGAAAGTGGATATGGTACAACCATAAACATCGGTTTCACCAATCATTTCATGGGATTATATTGGGTATATATATATAACCACCAATACGGGATTTGGATAAAAAATTGGGATATCATCTAACCAACGATAGTTAGGATAATAATACTATGGTAATTGAGCTACTGGCGATTTTGGGCTGGGGATTCAACGTTTGCTGTGGAAACTGGCCCACAAATAGTTGTAGCGTTCGAAAAATGTGATTTAGCATAGCTATGTAGAATTACCAGAGGGTATGTCAGATATGTCAAAACATCATCATGGTTTTTGGTTTACCAAGCAGAATTTTGCGTTTAGTTTACCACAATTTTAAGGCACGTTTTCATATCGCTGGAAATTGTTTGGACTGCTACAACCATGACCTAAGCAACCAACAGTGGAACATGTTGACCAAGGGATGGGCAGATTGGAGATATTCTGAAACCACCAATCTGGTGATGGTTTGATTTTTGGTTACTGCCAACGAAGTCAAAAAATATGTGGAACACCATGGGGATCTGGTATGGGTTTCTAATTTTCTTTCAGCAAATGATGACATGTACTATAATTGCTTAGATATTTATTGTTGGAAATGTTTCATTCTGACTATGAACAAAACACAGTTCAATTATGTTCGTTTTCGTGTGGAACACATGCATTGAATCATTCGAGCATTGGATTAAAACATGATTCGCACCCAGGAAATTTCATGATTCGACCCGTTCAGATTGTCGAAAAAAGATGAAGCCGGAGATGTTCTTCGGCAAACGGGGCGCCCCGTTTCTTGGAAACAGCACATAAAAACAGTTCAGTTGTTTTTACGGGTAGCCACTTGCCAAACCCATATGTTTATGCCATGTGTGCATTCAAACCACATATCTTGGCCAGTTCACTTGATTTGGAGACGTATTGATTATTTGATTATTGGATGGGTACTTCAGCACTTTACCCTCTTACTATTTATGGGGATATCTGAATATATATATGTATATATTATATATATACATACACAGTATACATGTATATATAAGTGTGTATATATACACAGTACACATGTATATACAAGTGTGTATATATACACATACATGTACATATTCATATATATATATATAATATCTATATACATATATATAACTATTGTACATACAGACTAAGCAACTCTTGAAACATGTAGAGCTCCCTGAGATTGGCCACGTGGCGCCAGGGAGTCGCAAAAGTCCAGGAACTGCTGGATCTCTATGACGAAGAGGCGAAGAAACAAATCGGGTCAAGGCATTGGTAGAAGATCTTTACTGTAAGGATCTGATGTTGTCTTAAACTTATTCAATAAAATTGAAAAATATCACAGATTTATATATATATATTATATATATATTATACATATATATATATTATACATATATATATAGATAGATAGATAGATAGATAGATAGATAGATATATAGATGGGATGTTCCTAAAATGGAGGTACCCCAAAATGGATGGTTTATAAGGGAAATTCCCATTAAAATTGATGATTTGGGGTTCACCTATTTCAGGAAGCCACCATATAATATTATTTACCACCAAAAGATGCTTTGTGTATTACAACCAAAGGTCACCTAAAAGCAGGTTTTTGTTTATCATATATGGATCATATGATTTGGTGAATCTCCAGATATGTCATGTTTGTTTATTGTTTCTAGTGAGTGAAACATCACTTGAAAAATGGTTACAATGCTGGTATCCAATCCCATACTTCATGCTTCATGTTATGAAAACCCATATGTATCTTGTACCGCATAAAATCATATATTCTATACCATAGTCACAGGTAAACTAGAGCAATAAGGTTAGTAAGGGCAACTATTCTAAAAACTTCTCATTCCAGGTGTGTGAATGATTACGGTTTACCCAGATACTCATACAAAAAGGTTGTCTGAAACCATGGCAATTTATTTTCCCAATTATACAATTCACCATTTTTGGGGAAACACAAATCAGACACACGAAAATATCAGATTATGGGTTATATATACGTATATATATATATATCCCATAGGATCCAATGTAGTCATTATATGCTTACATTTGGCTTTGTGCCAAATAATCTTGACATTGCCTTCGGGAAAGCCAATGTATTCAAAAATCAAATACATTCAAAAAGTCATAGTTCGAGACTCCTGTGTTTATGATTTTGTGGGTCCACCCAAGGCACTTGATGTTCTGAAACATCCTTTTTGGCTACGCTAGTGGTCAGTGCCGCACATAAAATTTGAGTCGCAACAGCCATCGCATCAACGTCCGCAGCTCAAGTAATTTCCGATGGCATCGTCGTGCCAAGTTTTTGACCATGCCAATACAGTCTTCGTCTAAATACGTATGAAAACATCTCACATTGTATCGCTGAGACTTGATTTCAGCAAGCATTTCAATCATTGCCTTAGGCTGATGGTGGATAGCCCTTTAAATTCAGTGAATTATTTTCCCCAAAGATCAGTAAACACAACAAAATGTTAACTAACCTTGGTGAGGCTCATGATGTTTGGGCTTTGTTGGAAATTGAATGATGCCATTCGAAGCACAGTGATGCGACAGCATCTCGTAAATGTCCAAGAACCTGCAGCAAAGCTGGGAAACAACAACATTGAAACAAGAAAAATAACATAAAGGAAAAACACATCATTGAACTTTAAGTTTTATAGCAGCTGAGGGTCTCCCAGCCAACATTGTAGAGGTGCTCAGCTTGTTCTTCAGTCAAAAATCGTGGATATTTCTCAACTAGTAACATCCATTCCGAAAGCTTTGCACATGCCATCGTCGCTGCAGCCAGCAAAGGTGGCCGGGTTGCACTGGTGTACCGGGCACTTAAGTCTTGAAGACACACTGATACAAATGCCGTTATGACTCGGCTTGACCAAGCTTTTAACCTGAGTTCTGGAAAGTCACCTGCCGGTACCACAAGAAGTGCAGTAGGAATAAACGGCTGGTAATGCCTCAATGGCCGGCTGTCAATTGCAATTGTGAACACCTTTGTTTCATGAAACCAAAAACATGAAACATGTAAAACACAAATTGAAAAAATCATTCCCTTAAGCTTTTTCAGTGGATCACCTTATGCGGGACATTGAGCACCAACTATTGAGTCTCCGATTGAAGATGTTCAGATGTTCTTGCAGCGTCGACCTCGGAGATCCCAAATACCCATGGTCAATCAGAAGGTGAATGGCGCTGGCGTTTATCCATTGGCACACCCCCAAATGTACTGTGTGCATGTAGCATAGGCGAATCATACTCGGCCGGAACCCGATGACCAATGCCAAAGGACATAGAGAATGAACGCACTGCGTGTAGAATTGTGCCACAGTAAATCGAGGAGTGTGGTGAAAGCTCCGAAAGTTGGTATACCTCACCAAAAACCAGGACTTTTCACATCTCCCCAGTTAACGGTCAATTCGGCATCCTTGAAAAAACATCAAAGACTTGTCATGGGAACTAATCAAAAATTGATAAGCCCAGCAATCGATACTGATGTTGCCCAGGGAGTTTTGAAGCTTTACATTTGTGGCAGATTGCATTGCTCAAATAATTTTTGCGTAGTCGCCAAAGTTCCATGTGCCACTTCCTTACATTTGTGTTGTCATGGTAAGAAAAAAACAATTATTAAATAAATCCACATTAGTCAAAGATTTTCCCATTGCATAAAATGGGGGATCAAACTGTGTAAGACAAATGAAAAATCCTGAATTCTGATACTATTAGTTTCCAATCTCCACGATATTCTGTCAACGCCCATTTGGCCGACATGGCTTTACCTGCCCTAGACACAGATTTTGCATCGGTCAACCGATGCCCATTGACACCGCATGATGGCCACAATCCACCAAATGCAACCTCAGCTCAGGTGACCGGTGTGAAGGAGATGGCTGTGGATTCAAAGAGCTTGGCCAGGGGTCCTAAAATTAAACTACAAGATGCCAATTTTCAGACCAGGGGCATTTAGGCTCCACGCAACAATTCTCAGAATTGGATTCAAGCTTCTGGTGCCCAGGCTGACTTCATACCGTAGGATAAAAAACGGGAATCTGCATATGTCAAGACCTGGTTGTGAATGCAACGATAATGGAAATATGTGGGAATTAAAATCCAACAAAATATTTCATCAATAAAATGTAAACAATTAAACCATTTATATATATTATATCCTCAAGAAACATAAAAAGACAAGACACTTTCAATTTGTTGAAGTACTGAGGAAATCATCATGATGATTATCTTCCGCCCAGCAAGTGTATAGCGTGCATCATCTCCACTAACTCCAACTGGTTGGTGCCAAGGTTGGCTGGGGTCCCTCTCATGTTCATCTATCGCTGGATGTGGACCAATGAAGGATTTGAAATGAGACCAAAATTTGGACGTCTCAGTCTCCTTCACCTTGATCTTGTCACTTGCCTTATCTAGATTGATAGTTGGGAAATACATATATGCAGTGGATACGGTCCCAAAATATTGAAAACAGCAAAAACAACATACATTGATATAAACAAAAAATATGCTAACCACACTACATGCAAGGCTCAGCCAAATAATTCAGAACTTCATGTGGAAGTAGGAGAGGAACTCTCATTTTTTCAGTCTTGTGCTTGGGGTCTGACATGTCCCGAATGTCAATCTCTACGAAATGAATGTCCTGGCATTGTGGGAACTAATATTGCAGTGATCATTGATTTCATAACCATTTAAACATTTACCCATAGGATCCATGTATGGTATATGCTAACATTTGGGGTACATTGATGGTAAATGTTACCATATATAGCATACATGGATCCTATGGGTTAGAGGACACCAACAAAGATCAAATCCAAAATTACGTTGTTTCATCCTAGGGTCGAGTGGGAGCTCCAACGCTCTAAATAAATCACGTTCGATGTTCTGTGGATATCGCCCATTGGAGCCACATTTGGCAAGTTTCTTGGTCAAGTCGGAGACGTGTCCGCCAGACTCCTGGCCAATGCAAGCGATTGCTTGTGTGCACTAACACTGGCACTGGCAAAACCCTTTGCATGCTGCAGATCCCTGAGAAATTTTACGAAGATCTTCATACAACAAGGTCTTGGTCCCCACCGATACGGTGATGTGGAATGATTTTGGGGAATGGCCCACTACACCTACATTGAGAACTTCATGAACACCCCGGGCATCGAAGAAGGTGAGCAAGGATTCGTTTGGTTTTGCACAAACCAATTTTTTGGGAAAGCCACTTCATGATCATGATATATGCCGACAAGTTTCTCTCACTGCAGCCAATGCTGCACTCTGTAGATCGGCGCAACTACTTGCCTCAAAATTGAATCTCAAAACAATCTGCCACGAAATCATTATATTGGGGTCATTAATGAGGTTATCATGTAATCTATTTACTATCTGATTTATCTTTATGACCCGGAAAAAGGATTGCACATATATTGAGGTTTGAATACCAGAATCTTTTGGAAATCCAAAAAGAACTTATGTATTGTATCGACGGGGAAGTAGTGGTCATTGTTCACCCAGGCATACCTCAGATCTATCTGGCAACACAACAATTATTGGCAACACTATTTTTCAATATATATATATATAAATTATATATTATATATTTATTATAAATATATATATATACATTTCAGTGATTATCCCCAAACAAAGTTGAAACATATTTGCTTTTGAAGGATTCCCCTGGTCATGAGCTAAGCCCCACCCATTGCATCCAAAGCACGCCACGTCCAAGCGTGGAAATCAGGTGCTCCGCCAATGTGGTATCTGCGAAGGGAAGGTACCCATCGGGTGTGGCCATGTGGGATTGGATTCAATTTTGAAGTTCCCAGCACTGAAGGGGCACATAGTTGTTTTTTTTTCCCAGCTGATGATCGATGGCACCCGGGGTCCAGGCCAGCCAATGGCAAAACACCACAAGTTAATTTCATAATCATGAACCGTGATCATATTTACGGAATGTAATCACTCCATATTTTGCCAATTGCCATGGCACCCTAGTGGTCCAGGTTCAAGCCTAATGGTCTTGAAGGAGATATTGTCCATTGCGCAAAACATCCATCAACATATGCACAGTCTGTCCAGCCACATTTGCATCCTGACCACAAAAGTGAATGACACGACGTGATGGGACAGTTGCACCCCGAAAACAAATAATTCTGATCGATGATTGTTGGTGGTGTTTTCAATGAAAATTGAAATTACACGAGTCAACGAGTTACTTGACCAGGATGACTCCCTTGCAGCCAGTCAGAGCCTCTAAGCACATGTGATAGCATATAATCCCTCATCTCCTCAAAAAGTCAAACACCGGTCACCTGTCCATTCAGTCAGGCCGATGGTGCCGGAGCTGAGCCAGCCTTGGCCTTGGCCTTTGCCTTGGGTCGGGATTGGCTTTCCAACCCCTTAACGGTCTTAGCCGCTACCTTGTAGTCAGCAATGGCTTTGGTAAGAGACTGTGTACTGCGCATCAAATCTTCATCATCAGCACCACGGGCAACGCATGCCTGACAAATGGAAATGGGGTGAAACTGATTTACAAAATTCATCAATGATGGATTAAGCAAGATTACTGTCAATGTTGATTGATTGGACCAATACTTAAATCCCAAAAGACCAGTACTTAGGCCCCAAATTTGTAGGTAAATTCATCAACAAATTCAACCCTTCAATGCCAGACTGGGTTTGTTTTCAACACTTCTGAAATTTGGGGTTGATGAGCATAGTTAAAGATGCTTGGGGATATATGTCATGGTGAATAATAATAATATATATATATATAACTTATAACCGAACTTCACCAACCCCACCTCCAGATCCTGGCGTCCCTTCTTCATGGACTCAAGATTCCCCGCCAAATCCGTAGTAGCAGCAGTTCGGATGGCCAAAGGCCTAAGGCTAAGGGATGTGTAGATATCAGATCATGATATAGCAATAGTCTTCTAGCAGGGAATATTTATTATATAGCTAAAGCTATATATATGTAAGTATAATATATATACTTGTAACTAACAATTGTATATGAACAATATATATATGTATGTATGTATGTATGTACGTACGTATGTATGTATGTACGTACGTATGTATGTATGTATGTAATGTATGTATGTATGTATGTAATGTATGTATGTATGTATGTATGTATGTATGTATGCATGGATATATATACATACGCATTGCATACGTACTGTTTTGACACACCAATGCAATCGATAACACTGAGAGTGTCACACATTTGCAGCAGTCAGCTTCGCACTCCAACCTTGATTCCAGGGCATGATCTGCTATAGTTGCAACATCTTTACGTATATTGGTCGTTGGTAGCAATGTGACATCGCTATTGTCCACCAATGCAAGTGACCTTCACATTCAAGGATCATAGAGCTTGCCGCAGTCATCGCCTTAAAAATGATGTGAATGGATGTCCAAAAGTTGGCATCACCAGAAATGTGTAACAAAATTGGCTTAAGATAAACTCAGCAAACACGCATCACCAAAAATATAATGTTGAAACCAAAGAACACCTTTCGCTTCTTGGGCGGCAGTCTTCACTTTGGGAATCTTCGCAGGTTTGGAAGCTTTGGGGGGTGCCTTTTCATTCCCATTGCCACGACCACCAGGTTTGCCCCCAGGTGTTCCCTCAGGGTTTGGTCCTGGCCCTCCACTGCCACTGCTGGGATTGCTGAAAGACGGATCGATCAAAGCTGGGTTGGACCTCGGCTGAGCATGTCACAAATGCAGAAAGGTTTTGTACTCAACCATCATATGTTAGCTTTTTAAAAAATGAATTCATTTTTTTAAATTGGGGCCCCTACATCAAGTCACGAGCATCTTTGCCAGAAAGCTCACCTTCCCTTGTGATGTTCACAGACCGGGACGTGTCGTTTTTGCTAATGGTAGCGCTGGAATCCCAACACTTGTACAGCTTCATCGTTGGTACGTCAGGGTTATACTGCCAATCGCCCACTTCTTCCTGCACAAACATTGCAATACAGTCCACAAAACCTAAAATTATGTTGACAGCTACTTTCATAGTCCAAAAAAATGGGATTCCACCGGAGTCCTTTCCCTTGATGATTTCCAGAACCACGCTTTCCTGGTTGTAGTACTTCTGCATCAGATCCTCAGATTCGTGACAAAGAAGCATGACAGCTAATTAAGAAAACACAAACACTGCAGAAAACAAACTTTCCAGATATGCCAGATATATAAACTGATTTAGACAAAGATCGTCTTTGCTCATATACTTAAAGACTCCACGGGTCTGGACTCCGTCACGGTGTGAAGTGGAGACTGCGAGGGATGATTGCATCCAATCCTCACCACACTGGACAAAATCCTCAAAGAGGCGTTGTCGCTCCTTCTTGACAGTGTGGTGGTAGGTTCCTGATCATGGGGGTTGGTCCAGGTTACAGGAACAAACTATGGTGGTTGGTCCAGGTTACAGGAATAAACTATGGGGGGGGTTGGTTCCGGTGGTGTCTGAAGATCAAACAGCTTGGTTTCTTTCTAAGTTGGTTTCACAATTTGTTTATTTAAACATATTTAAACCATCAACACTGCCATCAACTAATAGGTGTGTGCAAAAGCCAAGTAGCCATACTTCTTCTCCAGATCCTTCAATGCCTCGAACTTTGTCCGGATAGCATCAGGCAGGTCAGCACCTTAAAGTCGACTCTAGATCTAGTCCCACCTACTTCATAAAGACAAACCAAAAGTGAGAATGTTAACATTTGAAAGGTGATATGTTACAACCAGGAAACGTTTCTGACTTCGGCTGAATCTCATGTACAAGTTCTTCAGCATCTGTTTTGACGAGAGGTTCGAACCACCCCCAACGTCGTCATCATCATCATCATCGGCTGGTTGTTTCACTGTGGTGTCGGGTGCTGTCGGTTGCTCGCTTTGGTTGGTGTCTGTGCTCTCCCCAACGTCATTTGCAATTTTCAAGCCTGCCAATTTGCATTGGTGTGGGGTCATTGGGACAGTCACGGGCTGCACAGTTCCTGCAACAGTAAGGAGCACAACCGTGGAAACACCTGGGCTTTCTGGGGCAACGAGGCTCTGAGGTGGTGCTGGGGTCTGTCCGTTCTCAAGGTCGACTGTGGTGACACGCCGCAACGCTTCACCCACATGCTTGTGAGCAGGCGGTGTTGCTGGTGGGGGCATGCTTGCAGATGGGGCGGGGCTCATGCATGCATCTGGTTCAGTGTCCATGGGCTGGGGGTCAGCTGAGGTTTTCTTGGGCTCCGGGTCAACTGTGGTTTCCATGGCCTGCGGGCCAGCTTCTGTTTCCTTAGGCTGCATGTCATCCTTGGTTTCCATGGGCTCATTTTGGGAATCAGAAAGTCTGTCAGGCAGCTGTTCAGGTAGAGTCTGCGGGTCCACAAGGGGTGGCTCAGTGTCAGAAAGCACTTCAACGGGCTGAGGTGGTGAGGGGGCTGGGCTTGCAGGCTGCTCGGGCGAGGGAACCCTGTCTTGGGAGTCAGCTGCAAGTTTGCCAACGTCGTTGTCCCAAAGTCCGGTAGACGACACATCCCCTGCTGGTTTTGGTGTCATGGGTTCTGCTGTGGGCTGGGTGTCATCAGGTGCTTGGCTGTCTGGCATGACAGGCTCTGCCATCACAGGTGAACATTGCTCATACTCTAGGGTAGTTGCTGACGCACTCTCACCCAAAACCAGTGTTGGAAGTGACAACAAGGCCGGTGGTTCAGGGGCTGCAGGCGGTGACTTGGGAACATCCATGGAAGGGTTTGTGGGTCGTTTGAACTTCGACCAAAACTGCTTTCGGGCTTCCAAGACAGACTGAGACTCCCCCATGTCACGGGCTTCCTGGTTGGCTTCCTGGTTGGCTTCCTGTTTGACTCCTTCTGTTGCTGCTGGTGCTGGGGCCATTGGTGGTGTATTGGCTTTGGACATGGGTGTCGGGATTGTTTGGGCAGTCGGCTGCACCAATGCCCGGACAAAGTCTGCCAAACAAGCGGGATTTGCTGCAAAGACAGGGTTCTTTGCCAACGTTGCCAACATCTCTCGCACCTAAGTCAAAGGATGTTGTTTTCTCGAATTTATGTAAATATATATCAGGGAATGATCAAAAAGAAGATGCAGTCACTGCAGCAATGTCTTAAAAAATATATCGAGCTACTGATTCATCAACTGCTAGCCCCAGCTCGGGAGCTTTGTCACCTTGACCCAGTTGCGGGAGCGGAGGTACTTCACGATGCATCCAGCTCACCTCAGAATGCATGTACTAAAGTACAGCGAGATGCATGTGCATACGAAAAAATAAATAAATATTTATCTATCCATCTATCCATCTATCCATCTATCTATCTATCTATCTACCTATCTATCTATCCATCTATCTATCTATCTAGATGCATGTACATACACATATATCGTATATATAATATATATATATATATGTGTGTACTTTTCTCAAATATATATATATAAAAATAATAATGTGGACTTACCTATTTTTCTTTTTGCCGTTCAACTCCCAAAAGAAAATGTGTATACAGTTTGTAAACCAAGGGCATCTGAATCTTGAATCTGAAAACAATTTAACTAGGTGACACGTGCTGCCTCCAACTCTTCTTCAGTAGCAGGGATTGTCGACTGGCTGCTGATCCCACGGTGAAGTGTGCCGCCTGCGATGGGTGCAAGCACAAATGTACACATATATAATTCATATATTGGGGATGCCCCATAATTTGGGTGGTCCAAGCTTTCTTCAAGAAAGTTAGTAACACTAAATTGTTTATCTCTATTTTTAAACATAACCCCTGAACCACAACAGAACTGAAATACTTATCCACTCAAATTTAGATTCGGTAAAAGAGACTCAATGACTTTTTTGGGCTGTGTTTTTTTTATTTTGGCCAACCCTGAACCTCCATGAGTTTCATCTTGACCAGGAGATGCAAACAACTGCTTGGGAGTCGGGGCAACATCAACCCTGACATGCTTAGGATCCGGGGTGACTTTCTCAACCATTTCCTTAACCGTTGATGAAGAGGCTGATGTGCTAGCACTGGTTGGGTTACCACCACCCTTCAAGTTCCTTTTGACACCACTACGTGTGCTCAAAGAATCTGGGGTAGCAGGCGTAGAGCTACGAGATGATGATGACGAACTCATCCCCCTCATCTGTTCAAGCCGTTCACGCCGGTATTGAGCACCAGCCAAGGCCGAAGAAACAACCTGCACCATCTTGGGCGAGGCAGGGTTGTGTGGTATGGGGAAAAGAACGAAAAAGATGCTAACATAACCCTATAGCTAATACATCAGCAAGATTTGTCAAAAAAAACTATGGCCTTTTCCACATCGATGTCTGCAAATGGATCAGTTGTCGGCATGACCACTGACAAGGGGAGACTTTGAACGGTGGAAAATCGACTTTGGGCCTCAAAAATGTGACCTACAAATCACAAACAGATAATTCAAATATCATTTCACGCACAAACATTGCAATGTCACGCGAGTTCACGCTAGTGTCACTCGAGACTCTTGTCCTAGATTTCGAGAATGTACTTGTTTTTTGGGTACATTGGTATATTTCCTTTTTAATTTTGAATACATTCACAAGCTTCGAGACTACCACTTCGAGACACTGTCACGCAAGTTCACGCGAGTGTCACGCAAGGTCACCCCTGTTGATCAAGACCATTTTGCAATATCAAATGCAGAACATTGTGCATCTAATTGCAACTTGGCTTGGAAACAAGCCATAATTCGGGCTAACCCTTCTATTTAAAGGGTGCCATCCCACATAACCAGTCACAAGGGCAGGTTCAGAGTTGGCTGGTACCGGCCATTCCGAATCTCACCCTGCAGGAATTGTCTGAGCTCTTCGAGATCAGCATGTTCCCATTGGAATGGTGGGACCTTGGCAAGCGGGCCATGTGCCGGCATAGGGATGTGTTCTAGACAGCCATGGTAGTTGCATTTCAAATGATAAATTAAAGGGTGGTAATCGGTTCTATTTCACCTAAATTGCACTTTAGGGAACCAACCATATTTAAAGGATAAACATATACCAAAATTTCCCTGTTGTACAATGTATCAACTGTGTCGGGTTCCTGGGGTGTATGCTGCAAGAAAATGGTGTTTTGGATGTTCGAAACAATTTTAATCTTCATCCAATGGATGTTTGTTGGTGTTTCCAGGAAAAGACAACACGAACAATGCAAAACCCGGCTTGTTTTTTTGATTTGATTTCATCATATATATATACATATTGGTCTAATCTCACATGTTCATTATTATCTGATACTTGTTTCCGATGCCAAGACACCAAAGGAGTTTTGACCCTCAAGTCATCCTCCAAAATGTGAAAATCGGGTAGGCCAGCCTGGAGAGCTGGAAATCATGAACTCGTTTTCCACTAGCGAATATGTGTTAAGTAGGTTGTGTGTGTGAGTCCTTGTTTAGTAATTATATATGGGCAATGACACTGTTGATTTTTTGGGGTTTTCAATATACCATACAATTGTCGTATTTACCTTTTCTTTGGGCCCCGATCTAATGGATACCATCAGGTTTAGTAATCTGTGGAATTGATAAACTTTCCCAAAGCACATGCTTTTTCCAGGACATGATAATCCCTTTACAACCATCGCCCCCAAATATCAACAGTGGCCTCATAGATTAATTTTAAATATCAATGGAATATGGATTTCCCTCACATGACAAACCGGTACTAGCAATTCAGATTTGTCTTGTACAATCTTTGGTAAGATCGTGTACCATGATCATAGATTGGGTGAATTTCGAACTGGTTGTGTATACAATTAAATATATATATATACTTACTTAGTGGGTGTTCCTGCCAAAAAAGGCTAAACTTTTTTGCTGGGTTCACTCGCAATGTTGGGGTATAGAGATTTGAAGGGCGCAATTTTGCTTACGAACCTAACCAGAAAAAAGATTAAAGTGTAGCCATTCGATGAGAGAGATATATATATATATATATATGTGTGTGTTTCAAGAAGTGCGCCCTTTCGCTTAAAATTTGAGACACGTATAAAATAATTGTGGCCCCAAAAGTTTTGAGGCTACATGGGGATCAATCACATGCACTTAAATGCTTCCCAAGCAGCAGACGCATGGTTGTCAACGACCCAGGCAGCAAATTGCTGAGGGTAGTGTGCCGAATCCTTCATGCTTCGCCCGCCACACCTAGGCGAATGCCATCGTGGCAAGTGGTGGAAGTTCAGCTGGGAATCCATGAGAAAACACTGGCAATGGTGCCTTGAATGCATGAAATTCTAACAAATAAATGATCGATTCAGTTTAAAAACACATTTGAAACTATGACATGGGCCCCCAGGGTATCAAGCATAAAGTGTGACACAATAAATTTATCACCAAATATTTAAGCCCCTGACACTCTAGTGATCCCATAGCCATCTTGGTACTTCCGCACCATTTCAAAACCATTTGCATCAGCCTCCTCCTTGAGACGCTCTCGTTGCCACTTCGGTAAGTAGTCATTCAAATCATTGATCCATCGCCTTAACATTGGCAAGGGGTAGTCACAAATAATTATTTTGAAAGTAATAGTCTTAGATAGACTCATTTGTTTTTTTTCCAAGCTAACACTGGGTAAGCCCCCGACGGTGTTCCCAACAGCCAGCTTGCTTTGGGAGTTGGATGTCCGTATAATCCAAGCCAACTCAGTGCAACATTACATTGATCATTCAAAATCTATATATGATGAACACAATCTGTCATCCCACAAATGTACATGGACGGTATTCACAGAATCGCACGGCATCACTAAATTAAAGACAAACTACAAGCGCTTGTAGCATATCTCACCAGCTGACTCACCCGCCGACTTCACAGCATTCAGAAGGTGTTGCACATAGGGCATCGAAATGAGGGAAGAAGATGCTGGCTGTTCCACCTGGTAGACAGCTAGCGGAGTTTGATAGACAAACCACATAAATTACAAGAGCTCTTACATAGACTCTGAAATATCTATCTACCTATCATCATGATGTCACCTGATTCAGTCAGAGCACGACCACGATATAAATAAATAAATATATTATATATATATATTTCACTAATCAAATTTCACTTTTTACGAGATACCGATGCCATTTCTAAAGGATTCCAAATTTGAATAGCCAAGGGTCTACCCAGTGTATTTGCAATGCCAAGCACAGAATTGCCAATAAGGCAACACGTGCACAGCACTTGTTCCCCAGTTGGACCAGCGGCTGACCTACAGTGGGCCAGTTAGTTTTTTTTTGTGCACAACATATGTTACTTTCATATGTCCGATTCAAAACTTTAGGGAGGTAGAGGGTTTGCCTGACCTTGTAAAATCATGGCAAATTCAAAAAATCAATAGGTCCGTATCTATATCCCATAGGATCCATGTATGCTATATATGGTAACATTTACCATCAATCTACCCGCCAATGTTAGCATATATACCATACATGGATCCTATGGGTGTATATATATAATATAATATATATATATATATTGGGACGCTGGTATATCAGTCCACCTAATGCCACCGAGATTCGGTCATCACCAAGAATCGCTAAGTGTCTCCAGTGTGTGCCCGAGGACACCCATACGAATCTGAGCGAAGACAAGGCCGGAAATGGAGCATATAACATATAACCGAGGATCATGATGATTTTCAAAGTCCCAGTGGCATTTAACATAGCCAGTGTTTACTGTTTACTCGACCCTTTTAAATTTTCAACTAGTTGTTGAAAAGAACATACCCAAATTTTTCCGAATAACAAGATCAGGGGTTAACAGGGCACAATGATTATTTATGTTTTCAGCAAACCAAATCCCAATATTTATGTCTTCATCAAACCTGCAAAAGGTATGTATAGATTGGGCAAGGGTGGATTCCCATTGGCTAGTTCAGTAATTTCGTTAATTCCAGAAATAGTTCACTGCACTTCTATCCCACAGAGATGCAAATGAATTTTGGCATATTATTGGGCAAGAAACGGGCCGCATGGATGTCCGATCCAAAGAAGCCCCCCCTTCTTGATTCGCAATGTATCTCTGACACTTGTGAGGAAACCTTGAACTGAACAGAAGTCATCAGAAGGACGGTGTAGAATATCCATCCACTGCCTCATGATCAACATGAATGAATGGGTGAAATTGTTGAATTTATCTTTGCATATGCATATATTGTTAAAAAAACTATCTTTTTTCTGAGACCAACACGATTTGCACCCTCGCTTTCCTTGGCCCAATTGGCAGGTTCAAAGTCCAACACAAATAGTTGTTGACAGTGTCAGTTGGCAACAAAATACTATATATATATATGTTTTTTCTTTCTTTTAATTTTTCTTTCGTTCTATCTTTCCATCGTTCTATCCAATATCTATTATAATATTATATATATATGTGTCTACCTGTATGTACCTATATCTATCTATCTATATCTATCTATCTATATCTATCTATCTATATCTATCTATCTATCTATCTATATATATATATATGCCTGTATCTATCTATACCTGTCTATACCTATCTCTATTTCTATCTATTTAATCCATCTATATATCTATCTACCTATTTATATATATATATACATATATGTGTGTGTCATTCCAACACATGCCCGCTTGAGTGCCAAGCTGAACTCACTTGTCAGAACAGATGAGCCAGCGAATAGCTCATAGCTATCCAGGTCCTCAGACGGGATGCAACTGGAAACGCAATTGGCTCGTGGCTTAGAACTGCATTGGTTAACGGATGATGAGGGGTTAGTGTACTAGAATTCTCGTATATCTGTGAGATTGTTTTTTTTTTTATCCCAGATCCATCAGTTCACCAACAAAGAAACAACTCAATTGCATGGAAATGAAGTACATGTGTAAACATCTATACAGTCGTTGTTTGGGCCCCGACCCTCTGCCAAGAAATCCCATTGCATGTACCATCAGCGTCTGCGACTTGACAAATATAGTCGCAACAGTGTAGCCTAGACAGCGGCTGGTAATGCTGATAAATCTTGGTGAAGTGATTACCCATAGGATCCATGTATGCCATATATGATAACATTTGCCATCAATCTACCCCAAATGTTAGCATATATACCATACATGGATCCTATGGGTTATCGGTCATGAATGGGCCACACATGTACACTAACATAGATTTAAATAATACAACTGTATGTGTATCTAAAAACATTTCAGGCCAGGAAACAACACTGTGGGTGCCCCTAGCATCAAAACAACAGCTGCCGCCCTTGCGGACAACCAAAGACCGGGGGGAGCATGTGAGCGCAACATGCCCGAGGCTGCGAACCAATCACCAAAACTTGGTGACTGAAACTTGGACAAAGCTGCTGGCAGACTTGGAGGATTGGAGAATGGTGCATATTTGAATGACAATTGCATTCAAAATTCAAATTTGAATGGGTGACATCATGGTTGCATGTTGCATGCATTCAATCCTTTTTGATTCCTTGATTGCCAACCCCTCATCACCAAGTGAAATTTGTAGCTATAGGGCTCCATCCAGCATTTGCGAATCACAATTTTAACCAATGGTAAAGTTTCGGAGAAATTTCACTAAAAACAACACATACCACTGGGGCGGAGCACACTTGCAGGTCAGGCCGCAAGTCCCAAACATATCAACTGCTACATTGATCATGTCGACCAACGTTCTGTTCAAAAGTAAGCTGATCTTTGTGTCCCATGACTCAGCATCATTTAGACGTCCGACTTTGTCCAGCCCGCTAGTCGCTGGGCATCAGTCCATCCAAAGCTCCAACCACCTCTCTTGCGGATGGAAACTGTTGTTCCTCCAGATTTGTTCACCTGGTACGACTCGTCAGGGCAGATGGTCTTGTAGACATAGATCTGCTGGGTGAACCACCTCAGAACGACAAATGGTGATATCGAGATATGCATTCTATTTTCTTGCCCCTATATATATATATATATATATACATGTGTCGAAATGTTTATATCACATAAAATATAAGCTGCTTGTTTGAACATACCTGAGCATCTAACAAGATGCCAACAGCCGACGATCCCTCATCGGGCCCTTTCAACGTATAGCTTTGCTTGGCTCCATCGAACCCCGGTGGCAATGGGATCCCTGCAGTCTTCAGCTCCGGCTCCTGGCAAAGATTGCACAAAAATTGTGCAATGATATTCAGAACACTCATTGAATTATGCCCATACATATTCATATATATATAGGTACTCATATATAGTGTATATAGATAAATAATGTATACATAACCAACCACAGTTGAAGTGTGAACAGCACATTGCCCCCACAATTCACCCTATGACTCCTTCTCTGCCCATGCTGCTTTTAGGGTCTCTTCAGAAGGTTTTTTTGACTTAGCCTTCTTAGGTTCAGCATCGCCGGTCGAATCATCAGCCATACCATCATGATCACCCTTGGCCTTTGAAGGCCCGGATGACCCAGCAGGTTCAGGTTCCACATCAACAGCCTTTGCCTTCTTGACATCTCGCTGAGGCGAAGGTGGGTTGGTAGCAGGTTCAGAAGGCTGAGTAGGTGCTGTCTTGCCCCGCTTACGTTTAGGCTTCGCCTTTGCCTGCACCTCTTTGAGATGGCTTTCCCTGGCTGCTTCCCTCACCTAGAGCAACCAAAATTTATGGAATTGCAGTTGCAACAGAAAAAATGATCATGACTTTTTTTTCATGTCCATGATTTGGTTAAAAAAAAACTGGCCTTGGACACAGCACCCACCAAATCACGATCGGTAGACTCCCCACTGCCAGCTGCAGCGATCATTGCGTTCACTTGCTCCTGGCGAAAATCATCACAAACCACTAAATGTGTATATATATATATATATGTATATATATATATATATGTATATATGAAGAAGAATGCATCATCCTGAGCCAATGGTGTATTGTTTATCATCTATTTTTTCCAGAGTTTGGTCAGGCAACAGGATCCCAGCCTCCAGCCCAGCATCTGGCTTAGGAGCCCCAGGAAGAAGAGGTTCTCGCTCCTGTAACCAAAAACATTGGAAAACTGTACAACCCAGAATGTAAACACAAACTAACCACTTAGTTTTCCATGGCTTCCCCACTCAACAACTCAATGGTAACCATGTTAACTCCTTCATGGCTTGGCGTCTATGCTCAGCAGCACTCTCATCATGGACATTTTCCAAGGTTTTCCCCTGGGACTCCTGGCCGAACAAACCCACACGAACGTCACTAATCAGGAGGAAAAAGAAAATATGATTATTATTCTGATGATGATGATAATGATGATGATGATGATGATGATGATGATGATGATGATGTTGACGACGGTGGTGGTGGTGATGAGAAATAAATAAGAACAACAATATAATACAAATAATGATGATGACCAGTGTTTTTCAGTTAGCATGTTCAATTTAACTGGTACTGCGCATGTTCAACACAGTTCCTGAATTTTGATGGCTGCAGCATCCTTCTTGGTCGGCATGAGCATGGCCGCCACCTGACATTTTGTGTTTATCATTGATCGAATGGGATGCAGCTAAGATAGTGAATGTTCTGAAATTGATATTCATTTTCCGAAGCCTCTCGGCAAAGATCTTCCATGATCATTGGGTCAGCCATGGTCTGGTCAGCCTTCAACTTTTCATAAAGAACACATTTGTTCTCATTGTTGAAAAATAAGAACATGGGTGGATTGGTAGAATATGTGTGAAATCATTCGCTCCTCTCCAGGGGTGTCCATCTCAGGAGCATCGGAAGAACTCGCTGCAGCATCCTCCTGGTGCGAGAGCATATTGATACTTGGAACAAAACAACAGGGAAACACAAATAGCATTGGTGCCTGGTCAGCCAAAGCATTCTCCACATGTCCATCAATGATGGTCTCGATGTCTCCATCTCCATTGTCAGGGTTTCGGTCTGGCAAATTGAATGTTGAATTCTTTTGTACACAAACTTGTCAGCTAAGATTTCCCCACCTGCAATGACTTTGGAGATGACAGCTTTGAGCACTTGGATCCGTTTTCTCCTGGTAGTGACACCACATATTTTCAACACTAAAGGGTTGATTGGGCTGACTCCACCAACACTTTGCCACCCCAGTAATGAGCCTGCTAGAGGAAGATCGATTGGCAAGCTTCATCCCATGAACGCATATGGCCCGGGTATCCGCGGCCGTGCTTCTGGCCCATTCCTGGAAGAGGGAAGAGAGTCAACACCCCAAAAAGATGGAAACACATAGAAAGGAACAATAATTACCATGGCACAAGTAAATGGATGAGAAAAGGGTCCTTGATCACCTTGCCCTTTGTTTTCGGTGCAAATAGGCCATGGACTTGGGCCAACTTGTAGAACACAGCCTGCACAATTCAAACATCTTCCCTAAAGAAAACTGGTATCGACATATATGCACATGGAAAATTACATATCGCAATGATTCAAATAGAACCACAAAAATATGTGTTTCAAGCGATTAGATTTTGAATGATTTTGAAATGCACTTACAGGGATAACATGTAATGGCCTGGAAGTAACTCATCGGGGGAACCCCATCAGCAGCAAAGCTGGCATAGAAGTTGACCAAAAACAAAAAAATGTTTTCCACCTTGGACGGGCATACATGACACTACCCGAGCCACCACTGGACTGGACCACTGTAACCCTGAGAGTCCCACAGCATCTACTGTGAAGGGTCCCTCTTTTCCGATCTCCCAGACCACTTTGTCCTTGACACACACACCAATAGACATGAGATGTATATGACAGAACATTTGCTACAATACTATGCGTATTTCATCGATATAACCTGAAGTTGCAAGACTAGTGTTGTAACAGTCCTCAGAGTTTCTGATCTCTGGGATCCGCTTGTCGTTCGCTAAGAAGTAGGAGGAAACAACTTCATGGAGCAGATCCTTTTGCAAATCACACTGGGCGTTCTTCCTGGTCATCATGACCTGCCAGTAGCCCATGATCAAAAAATCAATCGTTAACTACCCAGTTTTCATGATCATGAGCATTTGGCATCCCATGTACATAATAATGAATACATAGCTGCAGATTTTCGATGTATACAATGACAGAGCCTTTTGGGTTGACTCCATTTCAACCATCGACTCCGTGGACGCCATGTCCAGCCCAGGACCCAGAGCCAAGAACAGCTGAGTCGTCTGAGAGTGATTTAGGCATGAGAGGAGGACTTGGTGTCAGGGATATGTACGCGTATAAAGAAGCCACCAAATCCTGTCTTTGCGTGATCCAAACCAATGTATATATATGCTGATGTTTGCAGTTCTGATGCATTTTTAACCCATCATCTTGATGATTAGAAAAATATATATCCCATAGAGTAAGATTCATGTGCACCATAAATGATGTCATCAAAAAAGATATTCATCAATCTAATATTTATCAAAATTAAGTGATGTCATCAAAAAATAAACACCAATGATTATGCACATAAATCGACAACCAGCGAAATGCAACCTGCAAATGCAGAAGGGGTGGCACCCTCTACGGACGATGATGGAACAGTGCCATCAGTTGGATGGTGGCCCACTGAAGACGAAGAAGATCTGAAACGGCCTGGGAACTAGGTGGTCTAAGATCTATTGGAAACCATGGTATACCATTTCAAAGTAATTGAAAGAACTGCTCATCGCAAAAATCATCTTGCAATTGAGCACTGGACGTCGTGCAGCGGCCAAAAGCATTGCACAGGCATGAGACCATGGGGCACCATGGGCTGAACGATAGTGAATGATACAAGTAGAACATAAGAACACCATTATGCGACCAGTGAAGCTCATGTGCTAATTCTTAAAGAATCCCTTATCTCTTTTTATCATGATAATCACTGGTGCAATCATCACCATTTGCAGTAAATGAAATCTGGCCATTGATCAAAAACATTACTTCCAGATCCTTTCAGCCCTCATGGCTGCATCTGGGACTTGGCAGCATTGAAAACCCAGCAAAAACCCCCAAGTCGAGACATTCGAGTTCATTCGAGGGTGTTCGAGATTGAACGTATCCATTTTTTGATAACATCACCAACGTATTGAAAAAATGAATACATTTGAATGTTAGCATATATGGTGCACATGGAGCGCGTGGGTATATACATGTACATATGCATATACATTACATATATATATGTTATGTATAATATATTATATATACATCATATCCCATATCTTGTTGGTCACATTCCCCCTCATTTTTGGGGGTTCAAATGTATAGCCTACGCCAGGGCTTGACGGTTCTCCACTATCGCAAGGCTGCTGCCTTCAAGGCATCGGGGTTCGGAGCTGGGCTGTAAAAACTCGCTTTTAGTGCAGCTGAACTAAGATTTCATAGTAGGAATATCATAAACATGGACTAATATTTTTTGAAGTACTAAGATTTTTTAGTACAAGTTGGACTTTGAGTAGGACAATTCGATTTAGCACAAGGGTTTTTCATAAGCATCGTGAAATTTTAACATTGAATATCATATGGCATTTTCACAAAACAAGACTAACAGGTGAATGGTTGTTGTGTTTCATCGGTTTAGTTGTTGCTATGACTGGTTTTGAATATGTGCCCCCCTAAAGACGAACTGTTGGCTTACAGGGTTGCTAGGATTTGCCATGATGCTTCATGAGATAGGTGGTGTTGAAATGTGTTGAACATGAGGACATCACTGACATCACCAAGAAAAACGGAAGTCAAACACCAATAGAACACACGAAGCCCAAAACATATCAAAACATGGGATAGACCAAATCAGGACATCCTACTCGGGGCACGCAGCTGGACGAGGCGTACGCCATGTCGACCGCCTTGGGGAACGTGGCAGATGCGGCAAAGTGGGCGGAGATGGCGGCGGAGTGGCCAGCCACGCAGTCATCGTGCGGTGGTGTTGTGACAGTTGTGACATGAAAAAAACTTAGCCTCCTGAAGTCTTGAAGGGGAACCTTTTCAATCAGAGTTAGGAGCATCTGAACCAGGCTTGATGGATGATGGTAACAAGAAACACCGTTCATGATGAATCTCAAGGAGATGTATACTAATATAATACGTGTAAACCTTAGAGCGAGTGGGGATGACTTTCTGAAGGGGTCCATCGGCAACCTGCTTGGCATGTGGGATCCTGAACTTTGACGACCTGATATCCAGCTGTTGTCTCTCTTTTCCACCACTAAACTCACTAAAGCTGTCGGTCGAGGTTAGCTAAATGGTTTGCAAAGGGGTTCTACCCCAATACATCCTCATGGGTTGTTGATGGGTTCCTAATGTAAGCCTTTGGCGAAATTTCTGGAACAACAACCGGAGGCCACTGGATTTTTTGGTTAAAATCTCGGCAAAATATCATGTAAGTCGCCTCAAGGGATGACATCCCATGATCTAGTCCTAGCAGTTGCACTAGCCATGTTTCCTTGAACTACACACAGGTAAATATGTAATCACATTACATATATATATACACATATATACAAGTAGTATATATATATACGCAACTATATATATATATTATACACGTACATATGTACACAACATATATCCATAGATAAGTTTAAACTTAATTGTATATATATATATATCATATAATTCACAGCAAACATTCACCTGATCATCCCAGCTGGGCTCTCCAAGGGTCCCCCGATCCCAGGTATAGCCTGCAGTGCCACGGTCCACTGCACCCGCAGACGAAGGTCTTGAGCCGCCACGCACGACGGGCTGCAGACCTCAACGGATGACGCGTACGATGTGATGCCGTGATGCCCACGAGATCATGATGATGCCGCGGATGCCATCGAAAACTGGGGTCGATTCTGGAAGATGGGAAGATTATGGAAGATTAAAACATGAATCAGTCGCTGCTTCTGGAAGATTGGCTGGAAGATGGAAGCCAAGTCACTTAGGCGATTCAAGTGATGTGCAAGTCACCATTGAGTCACCAGCAGAACCTTCGAAGTGGACATGGATGAGCGAAACGGGACTGACATTGCCTTTACGCTTGGAGAAAAGACACTGACCACTTCCAGCCGCAAAAAAAGTGGGAGAACTACGGTAACTATGAACTATGGAACAAATTAGGGAGCTAATGTAAGCAACAAACAAATGGGGTCATGATTGGGACTTTGAGCAACACGAGTGTAGAGATTGTGGTGATGAATACATGATTCGGGCGACCTGCGGTGGTGGAGTTGACCATTGCAACATCGTGCAAGCACAAATGGCAGGTTGATTCAGCCATCCAGTTTTGGGGGATTATCATGGATTATCCTCCAGTAGACCAATTAAAACTAACATAAACATAGCCATAGCTATGGAAAAGCCAACCATGATGAATCGGGACTGGATCAGCCAGTCAGCTATGGATCCATTTGTTTGATCATTTCACTGAGACCACGATACATGATATACATGGAAGGGTCACCCCCAAAACTTGACCAAAGTGGAAAAAGTGCCGGGGATTTTATGCAGTGTGCCTAGTTTGATCAGTTGTACGACATGTTGTACTGATGTGTATGATGTTCACTTGGGTACCAGGCTGAAATAGATTGAACCTGTGTATATCCCCTGACCCATTTCAAGTCTTTTCCGAAATGAAGTGAATGTTCGAAGTGGTACCAAACACATTCTGTGTTTTCAAGGCGGTAAGCCATGGGTGGAAAGCGAACCCCCATGTGCTATGCTGTGTTTTTGTCACTTGAAAGTCTATTTGATCTTCTTGCTTTACTCAGTTCAACTGCTGGGTGCCAGAGATCGAGATGGTCCCCAAAGATAGGCTCCATTTTTGGGAAAGGATAGTCAAGGGGGTACAGAGCCATTTCGGATGAATGTGTCAGAAAGACTTCTTCCGGAGGAAAAGTTTGATCCTGCGCCCAGCAATCCTAAAGGTGGGGATGGTCTTCCTTTGGGGGATTAATCCCTTCTGCCTCATCCTGGACACCCCCCAGACACACGAACTGAACATTTCGAAATCTTAAAATTGTGCGCCCCCACTTTTTTGGGCTGTTTCCGAAATCCCGGAAGGATGACGGCAGCATCGGCTCATGAATCCAAATCGAGCTTCATTCCGCAGCATTATTTAACAGCTCCAGTAGATTGCCTGAATCTCCTGCCAGTTGGACAGTACTCCAGGCGCCAGCTTCGCCAAGGGAAAGGTGTCTGCCTCCAATACCCATAGGATGGTCAAATTAGTCCATGAAAGTAGGAATTCATTAGTAGCCATTTTACATCATTTTACATCATTTTACAAGGATTCCCATTGTGGGATAGATGACTATGATCCAAAAAAAACATGTTTTAACCATTGCACATAATCATATGTTTGATAAATTGGTTGACAAAATCAGCATCGTGGTTCGTCAACCCCCCTTTTTTTTTGACATGCCACTTCAATCCTCATGTTGTTCGGTGTTTCTAGCCAGGTCAAACAGGAAGGCCCTGCCAGGTATGTTAGTCGGTTTTGAACCCCAACTCAGTAGTTCGAACATGTTCGATATATCTACCGTAAATCAAACACATTCCAACACTATGTTAATTATAGTATATATTCTAGTATATATTATAGTATATATTATATTATATTATATTATATTATACTATATTATATTATATTATATTACATTATATTATATTATATTATATTATATATATATATTATATATGTATGTATTGTATTGTATATATTATTGGTTTATTTAATATTATATCATTATATATATATATATATTGTAATTAATATTCTATTTTGGTATATTCTTAAAGTATAGTTGCCAACCGACATAAGGCTATCAAACTTGTGAATTCCAACACTGCCCAGGAGCTTTGACACAAAAGATGGGGCCCGTGTGTGCAGACGGATCCGGACAAGTCCGGGAACACATTTTTTGCGCCGGCATCGGAAGTTCGCCAACAGAGAGCTATGAATGAGCTATTTGGGAATATATATATATAATCATATATATATATACATATATATAATAGTATTAGATATAAGATATATTTTATATATACATAATATCGGCCAATCTAATTGGAGATGTGAAAATTGGAGACTTACCTGGTAGATGGGGACAACATGGGGATACCCTTTGGTAATCCAACATTTTTCATGATTTTCCCACTTTTATCGATACATCGATACCCTGGACCAGGCTATCGTCCCAATACCCATGGATCCGTACGTCTGGATCATCCCTGAATGATCCGTACGTTTTTGGAGCCCAAAAAGAGAATGTCACCGAATACAACCAGCAAATATGTGGGGATAACCAGCATATTCAGGATCCTAAAATGGAGCTACTGTACCATATAAGGCCATATTTTGTGGGCATATTCCCTACATAGCCCTTACATAGGCCTTATATATGGTAGGTACCTCCAATTTAGGTTCCTGAAATGGCGATTGACATAATGGGATGCATCATGGGATATTCGTGGATATACAACCACGGTACATGTTTTTTTTCCGGAATTCTTGAGGGATTCATCCAATAGGAAACACCCCCTTTTTTTAGGAGCAAACACAGGGATAAAACCACATGAAACAAACGAACACGATAGGGATTCAACTGACACCAAACATACACATTGTTTTAATCAACAAAACTAGAAATTGTGAGCCAGAAACATATTGACTTAACGAGCTGCTGGGTAGCCAATGATGATATGGTATGGAGTGAGAACGTGATAGCTTACAAGTAGTTTTCCTATCAACAGGCGATAAATGCGTATGCATTCCCCAACATATGATATGGTATCATAATCGGTTATAGGTTTACCCATCCCCACATGAACCCACCAAGATGGGTATTTGAGCAGAACAAATGTGATTTAGTTGAAACACATTGGGATTTTTCCAACAACACTTGGGATTGAACCGGTAAACAAATCACCAGCAAGAATGGGAGGTAAATAAGGCCCTATGTTTTGGGAAAATTGATTTTCTTGCATATGCCGTACCGGCGACCTTGCATATTTCAGTTGCATCCAAGGTAGATTTACCAGAATCTTCTGGTAAGTTTGGTACACTTTGCATTTGTACTCCCACAAAGTGACCATGTTCCCTTCAACCAATCCCTGGAAAAGGTTATCCCTCTGATTATCACCACAGCCAAGAAACATTGACTCATTTGTATTCATTTGTCAGTTTACGGATCTGTGCAAATTTCGCTGCATTTTGTTTTTGGGATATTATATTTAGTACATTTTATGTAGTCCAATTAATACTTGAATCAACCCATACGTTCCAGCAACAGTATGGCAGCAAAGAACTATTACGATGATAAAGCATGATAAAACATTCAGACAACGAATAAGGACATATAAGAACCACATATGATCATTACGCACCAACAAGTTAAGATACCCTCTGGTAAACTAACATAGCTATTGAAAATGGCCATTTATAGTGGATTTACCCATCAACAATGGTGATTTTCCATAGCTATGTTAGTTTACCAGAGGGTATTTGATATTATATTCGCGTACCCAACTTAGATCCCATTTACATCGCCATAACATCTCCGTGAAATCCACATGAAAATAGCCCAATCCAAAGACTTCCTGAGAAGCCTGAGAAGGTACGACTAGCCCCGTAAATCAAACAGAATTTTAACGTATCAATCCCATGTTTAATCCCATATTGAACTACATTAAATTATATTCAATCATATTAAATCATATGAAAATCATATTAAGTCACCATAATTCTTTTGAAATCTCCATGAATTCTCCATATCTATAGATATTTAATATGTTTGATATCCCCCAGCAGTGAACGAGATCATCTTACGCTTTGACCAGGTGATCACCCCGATGGTTGGCGTTAAAGAGGTGGCCTACAGGTCTTGTCGTGGCGGGAACTTGGGGGTCCTTTCAAGGGTGTGATTTCATGTTTGTTATGGGACAAACATAGGGATTTCGCCAAGCAAAATGGTGGTGGGATAGAACATCACCTCAAAGTGGGTAAACCATCTTCACACTGGGCCATGGCTTCACTGTTAAATCACCAGGCTGGACGTTCCGATGATCCCATGATCCCTCCCGAATTGCACCATCCCTGGAGAATATCGTTTTGCGGAAAATCAGTTTTGAGGATGATTCTGGTGTTTTTAAGCATATATGTATAGTACTGATCTGCTAACATAGACATACACTATGTCACTATATAGACTATACATATCATATGAGTCATATACATATCATGTAGATTCATATACGTATAGTTCAACATACGGGATCTCAAGGATTTGTTGTTTTCACGGATTGGGAGGGTGAGGTTTTTATGTGTGAAGTGTTTTGACCCCTGTTGACACTGACAGGTTATCATATGGTTGTTTACTACCATATGATATTGGGGATTATGAACTACCATGAACTAGCCCATCGTGGAAAAAACCCAGCCCAGCAGTATTTCATGGGATAGGGGTATAACATCGTATAACTGTCATGCCTCAACTGGTTGAATCCATTGGAAATGACAGGGACATGTTTTCCTCCCTTAAACCACAGTGGACGGGTAATGTCTCAAGTTTGGACCATTGAGGGGATCATTTTCAACCCAGCATGGCACATGGGCTTCCAGGGGAGCACGGAGGTTTCAAGTGAGTGAATGGTACTTTCCAGATCTTTCCAGTACCCTCCGGTAATCCAACCTACAAGAAACATATATTTCCTTCGACAATATCATACATGGACGGATTCAAACAGCTACCATTGCTATGTTTCATTAAAAAAAGGACTGTGTGTTTTACATCATTACTTCTACCTCACATCTGAAACTATCCTACTGACTTGACCACAGACAAGCAAAATTATGTCTCAACAAGGAAAAGTACTTGAGATCGGATGACATCAGTGAAGAATGTGATGGTGAGTTTCGTTGGGTTCTTTTTTTTTACTTCACCCGAGAACAACGGTTTCTGTTGGACTTTGTCACCTTTGTCATGGCGGCTTGTCGCTTGTTTAGGCTCAAATACGTAGGTGTTGTGATCGAATGGCAGTCAGTTGATGTGCACTGTTGATGTAAGCCGTTCACCGCTGACAGGACGGGGTGACGAATGACGAATGACCTCACCTTTGATGGCTAGGGAGGGACATCACACACTAAGATATCTTGTCTTAGCAGCTTAGCACATTTTTTCACGGTGTCCCTCACATAACAACTCGGCATGATCAACCATATTCAATTATTATATATATATATATAATTATATATACAATATATATATATATAATGTTGTTTCAGGATTGGGCAAGATGTCAGGATGTTCCCAAATAATTGTCCGGTTTGTCTCTAATCATGACCCATAGCCGCTGATGCATCCCGAGAGATTGGGGTACCAACCATCGCTTCCCCCATGAACACATTCAATTTTGGATTTTGGGGTCGGCCCCGGATTTTTGAAGATCCATATAAAATCATATAAATCTAAATCATAAATATGTTTGAAGAAGATCCATGTATACATCATTATAGATCGGAATATACCTCAACATAGCAACGTCAAGCACCATTACTTCAGAGATCAGCCCAGCGACCACCAGTTTCATCATCCTATTTTCAGATCCACGGACGAGCGCAGGATTCCCTGACCGCAAGGGGCCCTAGATTCGTCGATTCGTTGCCGGTTTGCAGACGACAACAGTAACAGGTCCATGTGGAGGTTCAGGTTCTTTGATCGTTGACCTTCAATCTTTACAATGACTGGTTGGTGGTTTGGAACATTTTTAATTTTCCATAATATATGGGATAATCTTCCCATTGACTAATATTTTTCAGAGGGGTTGAAACCACCAACCAGATGATCATTTTGACTGAAATTCCTGCAGTTGAAATTCCCTGAGACCCCCTGAGCTATCAATGTATCTTCATTCTAAATTTGAGGGATGATGATTCACCACAAGTCCCAAATTTACAGTGTCCGGAGGCTTGAATAAGGGGTTTCTTTTAGGCAGTTCCAAGTTCCAATCGGCTTACAGCACAATTTTTCCAATTACCCTCTCGTACTTAAACATATTTATGCAAAATTGTCATTCTTGATAGGGAAACATCTACAAATACAATAGGCAATTTTCCATAACTATGTTCAATTCCCGAAGGGTATGTATCATTGTATCTCCTAATAACCCACAATCTTGTTTGTTTGGCCCTACTACATGTTGGGATTGGGGAAGCTTTCTGTTGATTTCCCTAGCTTGATCCCTGAGGATTTCTTCCATGGGCTGCGGCTCCTGTCATGCCACGATGGCCCAACCGTGTGTCGAAGCAAGAAGATTTGTCGCTTGCTCCCAACGCTGCGACAGTTGCGAGCACTGTTCAGTTGACTGCTGGTTGATGATTACCCTCCAATCAAATTAATATGGAGGTTTTAAGAGGAAAATCATCTGTGAATGGGGAATTCTCTGTCATGTTTGATTGAGGGTAAAGGGGGTTGTACGGTTGTATACCAAATATCTTGGAGATTGTCATCATCCAATCCGAGAATCCCATCCACCAATATCCACCAGTAAGGTCATGCCGGCCAATAGTTGGCTATACAGGCTTACGAACAGATGGCATACACAAAAGGACGTTGATATGCCATTTGTTAGTGCAAATATCCCACTTTTATCTACCTGATCAAATTCCCCACACAATCAGATGGCAGGCGTCAAAACATACACATTATCTGCAACCTCAAAACATACACATACACTATATACATTCAAGCACTTACTGTAGAAAGTTCAGCATTTAGAGCATTCACTTGAGTGACAGACAGAAAGGGGCAGCAGCAATTGGCATCAGCAAGAGTCAGCAAGAGGAAAAGGGAATGGAAGATGTGATGTTTCAGTTATTTGAAAAAAGGAGCAAACCATAACACAAGAAAAATTAGAAAACTGCAGGGAAATCCACTGAAAGGAAGCCGTATGCCATTTGTTTGTGCACCATGTCACCTGCACAAATTCCTCCGGAAACCCATGGCAGTGGACGAAAGACACTGGGCTTGGTCCCCTTAGCACAATGAAATCATACAAGTGAGGCCTTCCTGCAGTGGAGAAAGCATGGAAACTGCAACTTTTTCAACGTTTTGCAGAATTGCCCCAAGCAAACGAGAACCTAGAAAATTACAGAGAAATCTGACTGAAAGGAAGCCGTGTTCCACGTACTTGTGCGCTGCTTCGCCTGCGAATTTGTCAGGAAACCTTTTTGCAGCGGAATTGGAAGAAAAACCTTGGTTTAGTTCCTCCTAGCACAATGAAATGATACAAGCTACATTGCGTTTTTCACCCATTTTTGAGGGTGGGGCAGTTCAAAGCAAAGGAGCAGCTACAAAATTGCGGTGAAATCCACTGAAAGGAAGCCACATGACATCAAATTCCTCAGGAAACCCTGGCAGACGAAAGAAACTGGGCTTGTTCCCCTTGTGAAATCATAAAAGTGGAACCTTCCTGCAGCGAGCGAGGCATGAAAATTGAGCGTTGGAAAGAGCGCAAAACCTTTTGATCTTGGGTCCTTGAGGGAAAAGATGCCTTGGGGAGCGAGTGCTTTGAGATCTGGAAAGAGAGAGAGAGAGAGAGAGAGAGAAAGAGAGAGAGAGCGAGAGCGAGAGTGCTTCCACACAAACAGTTGGCAGTCCATTGTGTGTTTCAATGCATTCCGATATGTTCCGATGCTATTTTTCACACAATCAGATGGCATGTTTCGAGCATGTGCGATATAGTGAGTTTGAAAATACCATCTGTTTTCTATAGTTGTAAATATAATGAATGATATATACACACACATTTTATATGTATGCATATATATATATATACATAAACCCTAGCTAGGCTAGCTATAAGCCAACTTAGCAAACGAACTGGGGCATCGCGTAGGTTCTGACCCGGCCCCCATTCTTTTTGCGACCCGGGACCAGCTGATGATCCCACAGCGTCCAAGGTACACGATAGCTCCTGAGCTGAAACTGGATGTTTCACAGGCCCCAGATGCTGGATGATTATAGGAGGCTACACCGCCCATTATATAGTTATATATATATTACATACATACATGACGTACATATATATATATTAATATTGGGAAATTATGGTACTCCATTCGGGTAGCCCCGATGAAAACCATCATGACGGTTTTTTCCAACATGTTTTTCACACTGCTCATGTGGTCAGTAACCCCCGCCTCATATCAAATACATCCTTTAGTATCCCTTAGTATTGCATCTATTCATTTGGGGCCCATATGGGTGGTATTTCATCTGATCAGCGAGATTTTTTTCGCAGTCCTTGACATCTCAGGAAAAGAAAAACTGCGCATCACGGCCACGTTGCTGGGCAAGTGCTGGGCAGTGGGTTGAAACCATCGAAGAATTGGGCAATTACAGCTCGAAACAAAGAGAGTATCAGAATGATGCTATGACTTGATATTGAATCCGTTACACATGAATTATATACATATACAATACATATATTAATTTATGATTACATAACAATATACATAACAATCAAATCCCTTATACATCATGGTACACGTTTTTTTCTCTGTGTGCAAATTCTTTGGGTTTCTTGGCTACTCAACATGGGCTACCCAGTTAGGTATAGTTTAAGTTCAATTATGGACGCAAACCCATCAATATTTAGTAATTTAGTTGCAACTGGATGGTGTTACGCGTGTATAGAATTGATACTATCTGGAGTTGGATACATATACCGATATACCATGATATCCCCCTATTCATATATTCACTAATATTACATAATATTACCATACAACGTCATGTTCTGATAATTGTATACCATGACATACCCCCGGTTATCCTCACTAATACTATCAGATATTGCCATTCCCATGTTATTTACTAAGACTATCTCAGGATATACCACAATGTGGGCCCCCCCAGTTATAAGATGGTTTATAAACCCCATTAACTATAGTTATAGGTACCATAAACCATAGTTATTGGAGTTATAAACCAACTTAGCTATCTAGGGGGGTATACCCTCTGGCAAATTAACATAGACCCTGAAAATCACCAATTTTTAGAGGAAACTCATCTTCCAACCCCTATCTACCAGGGTCTATGTTAATTTACTGGAGGGTACCATGATACAAAACTCATGTCCTGATAGACCTAGGACTTCGATCGCGATCTCGAGCCAAGTGCCGTGACGAAGTTCACGCGGTCTCCCTACGGTCACTGTGCCCTGGACGGCCCTGGACGAGTGTTCGAGAAAGGGAGACAGGATCCAGGGATGGGATGGAGTTTATATTTGTTTCATTTGTTTTGTATATAATATATATATATAACTGTCTATTATATATATAATATATATAACTATATATATAATATATATAACTATATATATATATGGGGAAATGATGAACGTTGCCAATTGGTATGGGGATGTAACGGGAATGTGACTGGATATAATGCGATTCTGCCTGGAAACCAGCTAGCAAACATGGGGATATACAACCAGCAATCTGGGGGAGGGATTTAATTGGGGATATTACCAGGATATTGTGGGGATATAACCGGGATATAATGGGGGATAGAATGATTCGAATGGGATGTAATGGGGATATAATGGGTATATTCATGATTTTTGGGTTGGTCCAAAAGTATCCAAAAGTAGTGCCCCGAACTTGCCATTTGAATCCGTTTAAATAGGGAAAATCATGATCACCCCCCACAACCATGAGAATTAGGGATGCCCTAGAAACCCAGAGAAACCCAGAGAAAGCCATGGCCAAAGAACCCCGGGGCGTTTCTGCTGAGCTGCTGCATGCTGCTACTTAATCCACCATGGTTGCTGCACCAGTGATGTTTTAGTCCCGTTTGTTTTGTTGAATCCATTTGTTGGTTGAAGCACATTCTCTCCAAGTGAACCTCCCATTTTTTTAAATCTTGATATCGCAATTCCTTCGGGATACATAAATGTCTATGTTTGCCTTAGTGAAATCCCCTTTAAATGAGCACGTTCAACAGTTAAATCCCTGTTGTTTGCTGTTTAAATCCCCATTCTCGTTAATTAATTTTAGAGAAATCACAACGTTCAATGACGAACTCCCACTTTTTGGTTGGTTAATGTTGGTTAAATTTAAGTGCCTTGTTAGTTCAATCAAATCACCATTATCTCCTTGCAAAATCCGGAATGAGGCCCCGTGCCAAAGTCTGGGAATCGGAAGGTCTTCCCAGGCGCTTCTTCAGGGGCAGGGGGGTTCACCAGAAAAGTTGGGGATTTCACCAGGATCTGAACATCTGATAGCATGATCAAAGACCCTGCAAGAATGACCATGAAATTGCTGTGTTGTTGTTGGCCATGTCATGTTTCGTTGGCCCAGCTTGTTGCTTTCCATCAACCCAAGAGTTCAAGTCTTAGAAGGTGCCCGCCCATAAGTTGGTTTATAAACCCATAAACTAGTTGGGTATATCACCCATCAACCTTAGTTAACCAAGTGATGTGCGTCAACTTAGCCAACATAAACCAACTATGATGAACCCATATAAATCCCACTAAATCCTTATTTTTCGTGATTCAAACACCACACCTTTCCCATAGTTTGGGCTTCACGGCCAGCCAGGAGTCGCCCCACCCCCGTGGAAAGCGGACTGGGCTTCCGGACGTCCCCAGTCCGGGTCGAAGCATGGAGAGAGACCCCCCCCAGAGCGTCGCCCTTTGATGGGACAGAGTTGCTGGGCCTCAAAACTCTGTTGTGGACGATGGTCATTTATTTTCGTAAAGCCCAGAAAAATTCCAAGGAGGAACTCGGAGGAATCTCCAATTTTTGGATATTTTTGGATGGTTTGTTGATTTTTTTAAATGTTTTTTACTGACTTTACCACATCTTGTGAGTTGTTAAATTAGGTTAAATTTGGTTGAAGTCCATCACAACTGGGTATACAATGGGGTATAGCCGTATAGCCCTGTGACAAACCAATCAGCAAATTCCACGGCCCATCTAAGTGGTTTGATGCGGCGAAAGATTAAGATGTGCCCAGTGCCCAGTTGACCTTTTGCCTGTTCTCGGCCAGATTAGTTCATACCCTTCGGTAATGAAACATGACGAGTTGGAAAATCCCAGGGTAAATACCCATGGAAATCCCCAGCATGATTCCGCTGGTTTTCCATCAGCAGAATCATCAGCTAAGCCGGGGATTTTCCATTGCCAGGCTGACCTGGGGGGATTCTGTTTAGCCAGACATGGGGATTCCGCCATGATGAGACACATTCTTATTTTGAAAGGCATCAACACATAGAGATTTTATGAAATTTTGATCAACCAAACATGCAGGTTCTCATAATAAGTTGTGCTTTTCACGAAGAATTGGCCACTATGATAACACTAAGACTGAAGCATCTGAAGCATTGATGCGGTGGCTAAGTCTAGTTACATATCATCCCGGTGCATTTCATCGTTGATCAACTGGATCCTTGAATTTTGAAGCATCGTTGGTGTTTTAACTGTTTCATCCAACGTGTACATCATCTGCTGTCTGGTACGGTACTGGGAGTGGGTCGAAACTATCAGCTATAGAATCATGTTCGAATGGTGATTGCGTTGGGGGAATGAAATATACTCGTTTGTAGAGAGATATTATTAGGCTTAGCCAGAAAACCATCATGATAGGCTCTGTATAGCTTCACTGCTGTTGGGTCTCTGCACTTAAGCCACCACTTATTCTTGGTATTCTTGGTGAATCCGCCAGATAGATTAGGTTCCCAGTGCTGTTTGCACCAAACATTGAACAACATGGTTCACAAAGGTGGGTAATCCGCTCAGTTTTCCAAACATTGTAGCCGTTTCTGGAAAATTTTTCTGAACATCAAGGATGCTTCATATGAAATCTGGCGCCCAAATCGTTGCGCAGGTTCCTGGCGAAGCCGAAAGATCACCTCAGGTGGCCCGGCCGATCACCTTTCGGGGACTGGCCGCCAGTGGGACTTTCTGATTGAAACTGCTCCAGATCTCGGCGAATCACCTTGTCACCTCACGTGGCACGAAGCCTGGTTTATCATGGTTTGGATTCCAGGAATTCTCCCAAGAAGCTGAAAATTTCAGGTTGGTGAATTACAGGAAGAAATCGCCAGGAAGATGGAATCTGGGGATATTTCTTGGGATCAAAACACATATTGATGTGGATCTAATGGTGAATATTTGGGGATAGAATGGGGTATATGTTTTGACATAACAATGAACAATAGGGAACTAATAGCATGTAACAGGGATGTAATGAGATCGATAACTTATAGAATCAATAACAACTATTTCGGTTTGTCTTAAAATGGTTTGTCTACCGAGGTTTTCCATTGCAACATTTGATGAAAGTATATGAAACCAGTGTTTGCGGCATCCCTCATAACTTGAGCAAACAATATCTCACAACTTTATGTAATTGGAAACCACCCCAAACTGGCGCCCCAACATGTCATGATTGCGAAAGTTTCTTGATCTTTTCCAAAATATCAATTGATTGAGATCCAAAAATGTCGAATTGATTGAGATCGAACATGTCCAAGTTGATAAACTTATATAATATTCCAAGAATAATATGTTTGTTGAGAGGAGCCGATGTAAAGTGCTGTCCCCTCCGCAGATTGCTGTCCAAAGACTTGGCAGCATCACCTGAAGCTCGTCCGCAGAATTTGGGATCTAACCAACAAAAATGGGTGGTGGAAGTTAGCCAAAACGGGAGTCCAACGAATTGAAATGGGATTTACCAACAAAACCTAGAATGACCTATGTCCTTATGACTCAGAATATGGGATGGAGGATTTTCATGGATTTTCGGTGACGGCCAAGGCCCCACCATTCATGATGTCATGACCATTACGAACATGGGATCGGCCAACGGCCAAGAAATCAGGTTTGGGATTCTCAATGGTCGAGACAAAATGGGTGAAACATGGTGAAACATACTACAGCAAAGGCATGCAATGGCGCCATGGTGTCACAACCCACAGGTGAATCCTTGATGAACGATGTTGCAGGAGTGTAAGTGATTAAACATGTTTTGTTGCAGGTTTTTCTATTCGTATATATATATAATATATATATTTCCCTCTTAGATCAGGAAGCTGTGGATTTTTGCAGTTCAATGTCCACCCGGAGCAAACGAAAACACTTTAAGCTTACTACCAGTCTAGAAATTATGTTATATATATATTATATATACACGTGTATATATATATATAACATTATATCACCGTCCTGAAGTGAATGAAGCCAATCAGTTCCACTGAATCGCAGCAAATTTGTGACATCATAAGTAGCGAATCAGATAGCGCGTTAAACAAATGCATAGTCAATCATCCCAAACCCAAGATCGCACGTGAATCAAAACGCGCAAGAAATGACCTATTCCAACTTGGCCAATCCACGGATTGGAAAATGATAGGGATATAGGGGACGTCCTAACAAGGGAAGACACGCCTCAATAATATAGAGCCTGCCTCATCTAATTTTGGTGATGATGATCACCGTGGGAAACCCGGGAATCCAAACCACCGGTCGCCAAGGACTAATCATATGGATCGAATATGTGTCACATGAGGAACCTCAAAATCCTATTTGCACCTATGGCATATGATTTATCATGGTTTATTGGTTTATCATGGTTTATAAACATCTTTCAATTGGAATGTACTCCACTTTTGAGGATAACTCCCTCCCCTTATTCCATTTTTCAGTCCTGGGCAAACCTATTGGGTTGGATGCATAGTTCAAAGGAATTTCCAACAGACCCCAAGAGCATACCCCTTGCCCCCTAAAAATGTTTTATGAAAGGCATAGGATTACCACATTGGGCTATGCTCCAGAGGTATGTTCAAATCATCTTGGAATAGTCAAAATTAAAACCAACTTGAATATATATATATATATAAATAAATATATGTATATATATATATAGATATATATATATATATACGTCTATAGCTAGATGAAGTTAACATGTTAAGCCAACTTTATGGCCCGGGGTGGCCTTCCCTAATTTTGACGCTGGCATCATGGTTCCCATGGTTCACAGCACGAAAATTGAGGAGAGATGGGTTGCTCGTCTTGTGGTTCCGACGAAGCAACATGCCAAACTTTGGCCCACTCAGGAGCCGCATTGGGGGCCTGTGGGGATATGGCCTGGGGATATAGTGGGGACAATGGTGATGTAATGGGGATAGAATGGGGTTACAATGGGGATAGAATGGGTATATTCATGATTTTTAAGGGTTGGTCCAAAAGTATCCAAAAGTAGTATCCAAAATGGGGATAGCAATGGACATCCCTTTATTTAATTCGATGATTTTCCCAGTGAACTAAACATGGCAAGCTCGGGGATTCTCCCGCTAGCCACGTTTGAGAACGTCGGAGCATAGAATGGCGATAAAATGATACAAGAGGTTATAAGAGTATATATGATTTTGGGGGTTGTCCAAAGATGACGGATTTCACTGGCCCAAATTTATTTTTCTTTGATTTGAATAGACAACTGCTTCTTCATGGGATTTGGAGCTAGGATATTTTCAGACGAATATTTGTCAACCCAAACCAAGCCCCGGAGTTGTCCAGTATTTGTGGCACTGTCTACAGCCCAGCCCGGCGGGGGGTCAGGAAGAGGAATTGGCAAAACGATGTTTGTTCAATGGCTGGCAAGGCAGTGTCGGACGCCCCAGAGATGGCTGTGGCCACTGACCTTTGAAGCTAGAGAAAGACTAAATTTCCCCTCAAAAGATACGCTCAAACTATCTTCAATTCATTGTCCATTATCTATTTTAGTTTTCAGGATTCCCACATTGCTGCAGGCCCATTAATCATCTAATCAGCCTGATTCTGCACATGCACCAGATGCCTGGGGTCAGCTCTTTTCCAAGATCTCATGCTTTCAAGCTTCTTGCCACTTTCCATTGGTGATGAACTATGGTACTGGAAAATGAAAATGCATGAAACCTGTTTTAGATGGTGAATTTCCAGTCAGAATGGCCAGAGTCCAGAGGATCTGCCCATCTCATCCATTTTGAGTGGCTAAGAATCCCATGGTTCCCTGATTTAAATTCATTTAATCCATATATATATATGTATAATTATGTATATATAATATATTAATGGATATATATATACACATTTTTTTTCACTCTGGCTCACAGGTGCAATGAAGCGGCGGCCAAGCATGTCAAATTCGAAGCACGGTGAGAAGGAAGGAAACCAAAACCAGTCAGCCATGGTGTGCAAAATCCGGCCCAATGAATTCGCCTTGGAAGTCCTGCTGCATCTTTACACAGCATGCTAGGAACTCTGAGTCTATCTGCACATCATCAGAGCCCTCACTGCTGACAGCGTTGAACGTCGCCTGTGCAAGCGCGCCGCAGAACGCCGGAGGATATTCCTTTAATTGGGCCGTGTAAAATTGGCCTGTGGCGTCACGGCCAATGTTCACGCGCTTCGGAACATCTGGGGTGACACGCCACTGAATTATGGCTGCTGGTAAGTTGGGAAGACTAAGAGCCAACAATTCAGTTGGCTTCATGCTGTCGGCTCCTAACAATCCCTGGGACAGACGAAGCTTCTGCATACCCGGGAGACCTAAAAGAACCTGCACGATTGGCAGCTTCCAAATGGAAGGCATACTCTCATCAGCCGGTTCTGCAGGGTGCTCAAGGATGCCAGCCCGAGCTTGTAGAGCAAGTTCACCAAGCGCTAGCAGGCAGAACCCCAGCAAGACGTTCCCGTCGATGACCTGGTCAATCTCCCTGAGCCCAAGTGACGTCAGTCCCCAAAGGTCCTGTGCAGAGCGCACTGGGCGCGGGCCAAAACGGCCTGGACGTCCATTGCCACCATCATCAAGATCAACTGCCCGAGCCTTGGACCATGTGCAGCATGGTGGTCCACCGAGGAAAGCGTGCACCCAACCACAGCGGATTCCATGCAACCAATACTGCTGGATGTCCTTGCGAGACAAATCTCCATAGTGCTCGTCAATGATAATATCAAGCGACACAACATGGAGAACAACGCCCTCAACTGGGGCCATGAATTGTTCCAGATACCATTGGTAATCCCCAACACGCCTACGACCTGCAAATGCGTGGAGCACAACACGCTCTCTGCCTACAGGCAGAGGGACATGCTGCGCAATCCAAACATCTCCAGTGGCTGTCAAGCGGGAGCACCATTCTGTGTAATGAGTCAAATCATCAACAGGTCTGTTGGCATCACGAAAATCATCTCGCAAAAATGGCCAATGGTCTGGGTCAAGCAGATTGTCCACAGCCTGATAAACCATACGCTGTGAAACTCCAGTGATCATGACAAGTTCCTCACCAAAACCGTCACGAAATGCACGAAGTGTCTGCTGACATCTGGTCCATGAAATGGCAAACTCCTGAATTGCAGTTTCCATCATCTGCTGGAGCTGTGCAGCCTCAATCTCAGGGTACAGAAGTTCCATCCACATGTCAATGAGATCCATATGCTCTGGGTCTAGGTCAACAGGTGCACGAAATGGCAAAACCGGGCCCTGAGCCTGCAGAGGTGGAACAAGTCCATCATGCATGTTTTGCGCCTGCTGTTGCTCGCTAGAACCAATACCTGCTTGGATGTCACTGTGCAGCCTTCTGGCTTGAAGGCTTCCTCGGCAAGCTCGACTGCGCTGCAAGTGCTGTTGAAGTTTGCTGCGTGTATGATATTCACGGAGACAGTGTGCACATTGTGTGCCATGGCATAGATGCCGAACATTGGCAACGATGGCATGACATTTGAAAAAGTGCGCCCCTTCGCCTCCACGGCTTGCACATCGCTTTTTGCATAGCATGCAGCCAAACTTCATTTGATCATCAAATGGGACTGCATAAAGAGGAGCATCAGCACCAAACCGTCCATGGCTCTGCAAACTCTCAAAGAGATCGCGGTGGATGGCACCCACAAGCTGCCGGTTCCGTCTCTGCTGAATTGCATGCGTAATGGCTCGATTCACCAACCGTTTCCAATACCGGGGGTGATATCTCAAGATATACTCCCATGCACGGAAATGCTGTCGTGGATCTCGAAGGCCACTGCAATGATGAAGCTGCGTCCAAAGCCACACACAATCATCTTCGACCAAAGTCAACCATGTCATGTCGCAGTTGATGATGCCCCAATCCATCGAACTCGCTCCATGATATAGAGTGCCCAAATAGCGGAGTCTGGCACGTCTCAGCACTTCCGTAGGGCTTGGAGTCATGCAGCGAGTCAGAATCTCTTCATCTGAAAGATGTTGATCATGCGCAACATGGAGCAGTCGCCGGTACAATCGAATCATGCCTACATGCACAGCTGTCTTGCTCTGTTTGTCGGGGAGAACCCAAGTCTCACTGCCATAGTTCAAACCACTCATGACAAGGGAATCAAAGATCTGCCCACGTACTTTGTGATCAATGTGTTTGTTGCAGAAAAGCACTCGCCGATGGCGTGTGAACGTCTGATGTGCCACTGCAAGTCGCTGCTTAGCTTCAAACTTCAGGTTTCCAGAATGATGGACAATACCGCCAAGGTGTTTGTATCTTCCAGTAACCCGCACAGAGAAACATTGGTATTCCCCAATTGCAGTAAAAAGCTTGGAGCTATTCGGGCCATGAAATTGCTTCTGCCAATGTCGAGATCTGGGTCCTCGTAGGGTGAGCATGATTTCAGTCTTGCCAGCATCAGTGTTCGGCGTCATGGCATGTCCCAGACAAGTGTCCATCAAAGTGGACGTCATGATGCCAAGTCTGTGCACTAACTCGTCTGCAGTGGATCCTGAAAGGCAAATTGCTAGATCGTCCATCCAGCATGGCCCGAGATAGGCTCGAGAGGCCGAATCAATGGGACCATTGCAGCCAAAGAGAGCGCAGCCATCAACAGCATGAATGTTATCCAATATCTGATACTGACATAGCTCTCCCTCAATTTGACGCAAGACTTTGGCCCAAAGGTAGCCAAATATTGTATCGGCGAAGCAATCGCCTGGCCTGCTACCAACTGATGTTCTGCAAATGTCTGCTTGACCTTCGACATAGAACCACGTGTCACTGTGCAGAGCTGTCAAGTAATTGCGAACATGATGTGGGAGGCCGGCAGCGGCAACAGCATTGGGCATCTTCAAATGCTCATACAGATCCGCAAGGGCTCCTTCAGGAAGTCGAAGTCGTTGGGCAAGACCAGCGATCTCTGCATCAGTCCATGGATTGTCCAAGGTGAGCGGACGCAGGATTCGATAGAATGCTTCTTTGAGATCAAGATAGAGGATACTACACGAGCGTCCACATCGTTGCTGATGCCGCATAAAGGAGCGCAAGTGGTGTAAACCAAGGGTAACTGGTACCCCTCTTCGACCTCCAATCTGTTGATGTTGCATGAAGCTTTCATACAAGTCTGTCTGGTGCTGCCTCAGGGACCTGTGCAACACTTTGCCCTGGTGTGAGGAAATCAGAAGGCTCCGATATGATTCACAGAAATCAATCGGACCCTTACCTTTGTGTGCCTGGACAAGCTGGCCACCTTTGTGTATGGCCGCCTCTTGCCCATGGAGGGCTAACTTGAGCAATTGCGAGTATGAGAGCCGAGCAAGCTCAGCAGCATTGTAGGCACAAGCTTCTGGAGGGACTTGATCATGATATATATACATATATATATATTATACGTATATATAATAATCATAATCCATGTACAAGCCCCGTTCAACCATCGAGGTTTATGATGTGGACGCCATGGGAAAAGACGGCAGGCCTGCGGAGAACAGCTGAAACGACAGACGTCGCAACGAAGTTTAAGTTTACGTCGAAAACACCGTTGGTTGGTAACAAGTTACACAAGTTACCCTCTGGTAAACATAGAAAACACCATGGAAAATCACCATTTTTAATGGGCAAACTGGTGATTTAATGGGCTTTCATGGGATTTCATGGTGATTTAGTGGGATCTAATGGTGATTAATGGAGGTTTACCCTCTGGTAAACGTTTACATAACTATGGAACATCACAATTTTATAGCTGGGTAAATCAACTATTTCTATGGGCCATGTTCAAAAGCTATGTAACAAATTACCAGGGGGTAAATTATAACGACCGACCGAAGCCTGGAACCAGGGTTATATTATTGGGGAATCATCCCAAAATGGCCTAACATTTCAGGTGAGTGATTTATTTTCGATTTTGCCCAGATGATCCTCATTCCAGGGGGAATGTAAGATATGTGAGCTTGTAAACCCGGGTCTGGATATTTTGTTGGCGTGAAAAATAGGCTATGGTTTGCTTCAGATTGCTGATCCTCTGTTGAGTTGGATTGCTGGATTGCTGATTGCAACACCTGGAAATTGAGTGTCAAATCCCTAAATTCAATGGTTAATCAGTTCATCATTTCCATAAATTTGATGTTCTAAATGGGAGGCAAATCACCATTTTCAATCGCCCAAAGAGGTTTCTGTTCACGGCTTTTTGTGATTTCTTGGTTCCATCATCCCATTGGTTCCCCATAGTTTTCGAAGTTGCTAAAAATAGCTAGTTGCTAAAATTGGATATTTGAGGCAGATAAATATGGATATCTAAGGTAGATACTGTACATCTATAATATTCCATATTTCTATGGAGGTAATGTACTGTACTATGGATCTTCTATAGTTAGTTGAGGTTATAAACCAACCAGTTTGATCACCGGGGAACCAACCAGGTGGCGGAAGGCAATCATGAAGCTGTGCCTTGGCGAATCTCCAAAATGGCAATGCTGGGAACATGATACCCTCTGGTAAACTGGTGATTAATGGTGATTTAATGGGATTTCATGGGATTTCATGGTGATTTAGTGGGAGCTAATTGTGATTGATGGAGGTTTACCTGGTAAACTTACAAAAAGGTATTGAAAATGGCCCATAGAAATAGTTGATTTACCCAGCTATAAAATGATGATTTTCCATAGTTTTTTGTAAACGTTTACCAGAGGGTAAACCATGAAATTTGGGGTTACCCCACTTTTTGGACAAAACCACATGTTCTTCCACAAACAGGGAAAAACGATACTCACACATGAGAGTTTATATAGGGCACCCTATTTTCAGAACACCCAAACTCAATCAGTGAAAGATGTTCCATAGCGATCATTTCATGTGTGCCATGTAGGTAATGCTGGGGAACCCCCCCCCAATTCATCCCATGTGCACGAACACGGCACGAACATGGAGTCAGCTTGGCCTACAACCTATGAAACCGCGCATAAATAGAGAATAGTACTGGTTACTAGAGTGACTGAACCCCTTGAATATGATGCTTGTCCGCAATTATTATGTGTTGCTTCCACTTGCTCGAAAGTAAGAAGGGCAGGTTGGCATTGGTTTGAGTGGTTATTGATTTAATATAATATGATATGACTGATATTATAAAAGATATACTATTGTATTTATACATTGTATTTTAGTATACTACATTGTATTATATGTTATTACTATATTATGATATATTATAATCGAATATATTATATTATAGGTTATTATTGTTTGTTTTGTATATATATATAATTATATGTGTATATATATATTACTACAGTATATTATAGTATACAATACTATACTATTGTATATGTATGTATTATACAATATATTCTATATTCTATATTCTATATTAGATATTAGATATTATTACATTGTATATTATATTTTAAACATTTATTATATATTATACATTAATCATTTATTGTATATTACATATAATATAATATTATATTATAATGTATATTATATATCATATATCATATATTAGATATTATATGTTATATATTATATTTTAATTATATATGTTGCTACTTTTAGGCAACAACTCACCCACAATCACGCTTTGTACAGGCATGTATCTATGGAATCAATGGATGTGTTTATCTGAATTACAGTACAGTTCCGTACACTTTATTTGTTTGTTGTTATCTACAAATGTTTTGATTATATGTACATATCTCTGTGGATCCAAGTGCTTCCTGAGAAGGTACTTGCCCCGTTGCCCGCCAAATCATATCCCACATACTTCCTCAGAAAGTATCTGGATCCTCGGGGCGTATCAATATATATATATATATATATATGCACTTAACATTTGCGTACATATTTGCGTGTATACATTTATATCCTATTATCTATGTGATATTGCATGGCATGGTATTATACTAAACTATATTAAACTATATTACATTACTGAGTTCGGCATGCGCAAGGCCGCCCGAAGGTCGCCTTGCCCTCAAGGACGCCCCCGGGGCCCCGGCCCTCAAGGATTTCCTATGAAAATCCAACGAACATATGGATGATTTGGGGCTACCCTCTGGTAACTTAACATAGCTATTGAAAATGACCATTTATAGTGGATTTACCCATGAAAAATGGTGGTTTTCCATAGTTATGTTAATTTACCAGAGGGTAACCCCCCATGACTTAGGAAAACCCCATGGCGCCATTTAGTGAATCTGATTTGCTTATGAGGAATAAGGAAGATATGGACATGTCACCAGCCAAAAAAATGGATCTGGAAGCTATCGACCAAATGGCCCGAAATTAGAAGGTGAGTTACCCTTCTTGAAAACAGTTACTTTCCAGTTCGCAAAGTTTTGAATTACCATAGGACATCAACAAAACATGTGTGTTTGATCATTTTCTATTAGCCAGTCCCAGCAAAAAACAGGTTCACCATCAACATAAGGGTTTGAACATCTAGAGGAACACAATTACATGGTTTAAATATATCATGTTCCTCATGTTCCTCATGTTCCTCATAGTTTCAGGCCATTTTGTGTCCAATTTCAGACAGACTCATCTGGATGTTTCCAACAGTCTGGGAGCTCATTTTGTGGCAACTTTGATGTGGAGACCTATGATAAGCCAGCATCCACAAGTCTTGGTTTATGATTAGCACCCCAAGTATGTTATATTTGTATTTAACAACCACCAACATTTGGAATATTGCTTGAACATTTGGCTAATTCTTGGAGATGCCACTGGCTGACCAAGCCTAATCTACTAATCAATCATTTTAAGAAATGATGTTTCGCTTTGGGGAGAGCCAAAGTGGGCTTTCTGGTGTGGGGGCTATGACAATTTGCTCACAACCTCTTTGGAGGGGTGTCATCAAACAATAGCTGGTTGGTGGTTTGGACCATTTTTTATTTTCCATAATATATGGGATAATCCTTCCCATTGACTAATATTTTTCAAGATGGTTGAAATCAATGGGAATTTCAGGATCCTAAAATGGAGCTACTGTACCATATACGGCCATATTTTGGGGGAAGATTCCCTGAACCATAGGCTTTATATATGGTAGGTACCTCCAATTTTTATCGCTTCCTGGGGCCATTGATGAAACCACTGGCCTCCACGGGCGCGTTTTCCTTCCACGGCAGGATGCGATGACCTACCGCTGGCCCTCAAGCGAGACGATGGCGGCAGATGATCAGCTGCTCGGAAGCGAGTCGGACCGAGTCGGAGCGAGTCGGAGCGAGTCGGAGCTATAAATGATGGGATGCTAATATTCCATGGGAATGCCATGGAATATATCTGGGTAAATTCCCATTATATTAGCATTTATAGATATAGATTAATAGATAATATACCCAGATATAGATAATATGCCCAGATAATGGAATATACTCATCATATATCTGGGTAAATTTAATCACGACCAAACCCTGCGACCGAAGCCTGGAATCATGGTTAGTAAGGGAAATCATCCCCACATGGCCTTAATTCAGGGTAGTGAAATATTATAATTTACCCAGATACTATATCCAATGATATAATTCCGGGGGTGTCCAAAAATGGTGCATACAAACAAATGCAATATCAATAGGGATATAATGATGATAAACCATCGAAGTCTCCGAGTACCTTATTTGCAGACAAACCTATAAGCCTATAAGCTTCATTTTCCATCTCTACCCGCGATGAGAATTTCCATAGGCTTTTGAGGCCAAGAGCAGCTCGGAACCAAGCACACTTCGTGCAGTACTTCGAACGTGAAAAACAATCACATTGTTGTCAGCTTCCTTACCTATCAGATAGGAGCCAACCCCAAAATCATCAGATTTTCATCACCCTAGTTACCTATGGAAGGTTAGCGCGTTAGGGTTGACTAAGACTAATCTCTTTGGGATAGATTATCCAGCTGCAAAGACGACACATCTATCCCAGTGTGGTCAATGTGGATTCACACGCATCTATCCCGAGCCCGCTCGGCGCTTGGATGTGAGATGATGTGAGGAATTGACCGTCTCCACTATCTTCACAGTGGACATATTAAAAAAAAACACATTTGACATGAACAAGACACATATATCATCATATAATATCATATATCAGTTGTCAGAGGTTGATAACTTAGATCTACTTTAAGAGATTTCGCACAGGGATTTTGCTATCACATGACGACGTCCCACCGGTGCACCGTTGCATAGCAGACGGCCTCACCCGGAGGATCAGCATTTTATTCAACACAGCGTGCATGATATTCCCATGATATTCCCATTGAAACTCCCCTAAATGGGAATATCATGGGTAAATATCATGGGTAAATATCATGGGTAATATGGGAACATGTTCCCCATATTAGGTTCGGTTTCTATATTCGATTCCCAGTTCAGGTTCCCATGTTTTCTCATTTTTCTACGACCAACATGTTCTCCACGGTCTTTTTCGGTCGCAGGTTGTGGCTTCGTTCGCCGTGTGCGGAGGATGCGCCCTATTTTTTCTTGTGCAATCGATCCTTGGGGACCCAGGCGCTGGGTCGCTGGGTGGCTGGGTGGATCCAGCAGAAAGTGTCTGGCGACTGTCATCGAGATCAAGATTGATAATTTGTGCAGGTTTCCTGTTTTGTTTTTTTCCCTGAAAAATCAATTCAAGTGAAGAATTAGCCATTTATAGATCTTTTTCCCCTTGTAAACCTCCATTGAGGCACGGGGGTCGCATTTGCCCCTACCTCATGTGGGTCGCACTTGCCCCTACTCAAGGTGGAGGTAGGGGCGAACGAAACCCTAGGGTAGGGGCAAATGTGACCCGACCTCGTTTTGCGTGCCAGGCGCAATAGTTTCAGAGTCTCGAAAGGATCGTTTTCCAGCTGTGACAGTCAGCTACGACGTCTTTTTCCAAGTGTTACGTTGTAACATTCATTCAATCAACTCCCAAAACGCTGTGGATGCTACGTGGTAACATCCATTTCCAGCAACTCCAAGATGCTCTGGATCCTCCATTTGAAGTCACTTCCAAGACGCTCTGGATGCTACGTTGTAACATCCGTTTCAATCGTTTCAATCAACAACGCTTCCACCCCCCAGTCCCCCCTACCCCTAAATGTCCCATGTCCCCAGGCCAAACCCTAAAAGGTTGAATGACTTATTCAATGGAAAGGATTGTGAGGTAGGGGCAAATGTGACCCTTCGTCCCCTTCCTTGGGGAATTTGCAGGTCCTGGAGGTGCGTGGCAGAGCCGAGGCTGCGAGTCTCAGGCGCATCCAGTTGAGGATCTAAACCAATGGGACTTTAAATTAGGCCATTTAGCAGAGGAAAGATGATGATGAACCCTTGGGGTTTGGGGATTTGACATGATTTTACACGAACAGCAGACACCCAAATATCCCATAAGTTGGGATATGTTGGGATATGGGGCCCCGGACTATGGTTAAGACTTATTCACTTATAACTGGAACTGCACTTTAAAGTAGATCATTTTAAAAATAGTGAGTACCTATGACATGACCAAAACTGATGCGGAACGTGGCTCACAAACACTGAGGTTTGATGAGGCGACAACAGGAGGTTTGATCCAACCCCAAAAAATGGAGTTTATGTAGGAGAATCCGGGAGTTGACCAAATTGGGATTTTAGTACAGTACAAAGGCTACAAAGGTGGGATTTTGACGGAAAAATTGAAATTTCAGCAAACACATTTGGATACATTTAATTTGGATGTTTTTAGGAAATTAAAGTGATGTGAAATAGCTTGAAAGAGCCCGGCCCATTTATGATATATATAATGTTGAGTCCTGATTTGTGTGTGGCCCCCCCCCCAAACTATTTCTGGACTCTCTTTAACGTAGAAAGTCAAAAAATTTCTTCCCAAAAGAAAAACATATCCTCAATTAAGTAAGGATTTCAATTGGCTACAATTGAAATCTAATTACTATTGTTTTTTTTTGCCGATGAAGTTGTGGTATTTGTAGTACATGTAGTACTTGTAGTACATGTAGTACTTGTAGTACTTGTAGTACTTGTAGTACTTGTAGTACCTGTAGTACTTGTAGTACTTGTAGTACTTGTAGTACTTGTAGTACTTGTAGTACTTGTAGTACTTGTAGTACTTGTAGTACTTGTAGTACTTGTAGTAATTGTAGTACTTGTAGTACTTGTAGTATTTGTAGTACTTGTAGTACTTGTAGTACTTGTAGTACTTGTAGTACTTGTAGTGCTTGTAGTACTTGTAGTACTTGTAGTACTTGTAGTACTTGTAGTACTTGTAGTACTTGTAGTAGTTGTAGTACTTGTAGTACTTGTAGTACTTGTAGTACTTGTAGTACTTGTAGTACTTGTAGTACATGTAGTACTTGTAGTACTTGTAGTACTTGTAGTACTTGTAGTACTTGTAGTACATGTAGTACTTGTAGTACTTGTAGTACTTGTAGTACTTGTAGTACTTGTAGTATTTGTAGTACTTGTAGTACTTGTAGTACTTGTAGTATTTGTAGTACTTGTAGTACTTGTAGTACTTGTAGTACTTGTAGTACTTGTAGTATTTGTAGTACTTGTAGTACTTCTAGTACTTGTAGTACTTGTAGTACTTGTAGTACTTGTAGTACTTGTAGTAATTGTAGTATTTGTAGTACTTGTAGTACTTGTAGTATTTGTAGTACTTGTAGTACTTGTAGTACTTGTAGTACTTGTAGTACTTGTAGTACTTGTAGTACTTGTAGTACTTGTAGTACTTGTAGTACTTGTAGTACTTGTAGTACATGTAGTACTTGTAGTACTTGTAGTACTTGTAGTACTTGCAGTACTTGTAGTACTTGTAGTACTTGCAGTACTTGTAGTACTAGTAGTACTTGTAGTACTTGTAGCTCATGCTCAGCCCATGCTCATGCTCATGCTCAGCCAGCTCATGCTCAGCCCATGCTCATGCTCAGCCCATGCTCATGCTCAGCTCATGCTCATGCTCAGCCCATGCTCATGCTCAGCCCATGCTCATGCTCAGCCAGCTCATGCTCAGCCCATGCTCAGATGGTGTGCATGCTCTCTCAGCTCATACTCAGCTAAATCTCAAGAGACACTGAACCAGCTCATGCCCAGTTTGCTGCAATAGTGAACCCAGCAAACAAACCTACTAAAGTGAAATGGGGCCTCTACTGGTCCAGGGCCTTGGAAAATTGTGGGAAAGCTGTTCTTTAATAAGGGTTTAATAAGGGATTGGTTCTTTTGGGAAAGGCTTGCAGTTTGAATTTGGCAATTTTGGCAATGGCTTGCTTCCCCTTCTTCAGGGCAGCTTGCTGCAATAGTGAACCCAGCAAACAAACCTACTAAAGTGACATGGGGCCTCTACTGGTCCAGGGCCTTGGAAAATTGTGGGAAAGCTGTTCTTTAATAAGGGTTTAATAAGGGATTGGTTCTTTTGGGAAAGGCTTGCAGTTTGAATTTGGCAATTTTGGAAATGGCTTGCTTCCCTTCTTCAGGAGCTGCTCTGGCACAGCTTGCTGCAATAGTGAACCCAGCAAACAAACCTACTAAAGTGAAATGGGGCCTCTACTGGTCCAGGGCCTTGGAAAATTGTGGAAAAGCTGTTCTTTAATAAGGGTTTAATAAGGGATTGGTTCTCTTGGGAAAGGCTTGGAGTTTGAATTTGGCAATTTTGGAAATGGCTTGCTTCCCTTCTTCAGGGGCTGCTCTGGCACAGCTTGCTGCAATAGTGAACCCAGCAAACAAACCTACTAAAGGGAAATGGAGCCTCTACTGGTCCAGGGCCTTGGAAAATTGTGGGAAAGCTGTTCTTTAATAAGGGTTTAATAAGGGATTGGTTCTTTTGGGAAAGGCTTGGAGTTTGAATTTGGCAATTTTGGAAAAGGCTTGCTTCCCTTCTGGGCTTCCAGGGGCTGCTCTGGCACAGCTTGCTGCAATAGTGAACCCAGCAAACAAACCTACTAAAGTGAAATGGGGCCTCTACTGGTCCAGGGCCTTGGAAAATTGTGGGAAAGCTGTTCTTTAATAAGGGTTTAATAAGGGATTGGTTCTTTTGGGAAAGGCTTGCGGTTTGAATTTGGCAATTTTGGAAATGGCTTGCTTCCCTTCTTCAGGGGCTGCTCTGGCACAGCTTGCTGCAATAGTGAACCCAGCAAACAAACCTACTAAAGTGAAATGGGGCCTCTACTGGTCCAGGGCCTTGGAAAATTGTGGGAAAGCTGTTCTTTAATAAGGGTTTAATAAGGGATTGGTTCTTTTGGGAAAGGCTTGCAGTTTGAATTTGGCAATTTTGGAAATGGCTTGCTTCCCTTCTTCAGGGGCTGCTCTGGCACAGCTTGCTGCAATAGTGAACCCAGCAAACAAACCTACTAAAGTGAAATGGGGCCTCTACTGGTCCAGGGCCTTGGAAAATTGTGGGAAAGCTGTTCTTTAATAAGGGTTTAATAAGGGATTGGTTCTTTTGGGAAAGGCTTGCAGTTTGAATTTGGCAATTTTGGAAATGGCTTGCTTCCCTTCTTCAGGGGCTGCTCTGGCACAGCTTGCTGCAATAGTGAACCCAGCAAACAAACCTACTCAGATAGAGATGCATTTACAGGCTCAGATAGGGAGATGAGCAAAAAATTGACTGAGCTACAGCGTTTTTGAGAAAAAATGCCTCTCAGCAACTACAGTTTTTTTTGCAAAAAAAAAGGGCTCTCCCAATTTTTCTTGCCACAAAAGCGAACCCTCCAAACAATACATGAGTTTCAGAATAATTTGGAAAAATTTGCCACAATAGCGACCCTAGGTACTAATCAGGACTCAACATTATATATATGTTTATATCGATGCCAACATTCAGAGTCATTGGAGGTTGAACCAAGGCATATTTGGCCGGCAAGAATTTGGATGATGACGTGATGAACCCAAACAATGATGGGCCGTACCAATGTTCCAGGGCCCGAAGGCCAGCTAGACTTCCAGTATAATCGTTATTTCCAACCACTCCACTGAGGCTCTATGACACTCACAACTTACCCAAACTTACCTTTACGGAATTTCACCCTGCCAGCTACAAGTTGTTTTTGACCCCCCATGAACTCTAGATACATCTACATGTATCTACCATAGACATCCACAAACATCCAAAAGACATATTTAACCTAGCTAGGTGTACACTGACTTAGCTATATAACTATGGGGCATCACCTTTTTTTAGCTTGGTGTGTGTTGTTTCCCCGATTGTTTTTCCAACAGTAGCCTACCCACCAGCGCAGTATTCCCATGACATGTGGACCCTTGAAACTTGGGATCCCAAGTGTGATGTACAATGATTGTTGGATAGCTGCATATTTGTTTATTGGCATGGATATCCCACTTTGGCTTACAATGAACATCACCATAGATCACCCATTTAGTTCAGTGATTTTCCCATTCAATGCTGATTTGAAGCTTTTTAAGGGGATTTCCCATTGCCATGTTTGAGTGATTATCAGAGGTATATTATTTCTGGAAGCCTGGCAGTCAGCCATTATTTGGTGAGTTGTTTATTGATCAGCCGGTCATTTACCGGTAATATCAGCCTGACAGGATGTCAGAGTTTGATGGCAGTGACCGGCAGAAATGGATGGTGCGGACTGCTCAGCGGGCAGACTGGGCAGAAACTGTGGGGTTTTATGTTCGTTCATTGTTCCTTCTCATTTCTTCGAGATGATGTAATTCCCTCATCGACTGCGCACTGTACTGTATGTGGGATGGGATGAAACACCAGTCAAAAACATGGTAGGAACTATATACTGGTATGTATATTATAATGTATAATTATATATATAATATATAATATATAATATATAATATATATATAATAATATATATATATAATATAATATATCTATAATATATATATAATATAATATATATACAAACAATGAAGTACCATTTATAGACGAGGATGTTCCCATTAATGTTCCCATTAAAACCTCCTTTTTTTGCTTCGGGTATTTGCCAGCCACATTTGAGCTACACCTCACATCTCAAGGCAGCTTTGCACGCTAGGTGGATGGGGAGTCCCGCCTGACTAGCAAGCTGGACGCCAGCACGTTTCTTGGTCCATATATTGGTGGATACCCATGGCCCATGGCGAATGAATGTTACGAGCCATGGCAATTGTAATGGAAATGATGCTGATTCAGATTGATGGCGGTTTCCAGCCATTCCCTTAGATTTTCAGAGCTTTCTTGAGGGATAATGGCAGTTGATAGTGATGTACTTTTGTTGGTGATTTCTCGGTTCTAGATGTTCAATGATGCTCAATGGTAATTGATAATTTCATATAATTTCAGAGCTTTTGTTGGCTATTGATACCTAGTTTCACACTATGTATACATAACATAACCACTAAAAGTGAAACTTTCAGCAGCGCTGGGAACCAGATCATGACGAAGCCACTTGGATGCCTGGATCTGCGTCCAGCTCCAGCAATCGTTGCCAAGTTGAAAGTGAACAGTTTGTTGCTTCGATTAGGATCTTCTAATAGATCTCTCTGTTGTTAACATCCCGTAATGTAGCAACTCCCAAACAGATACTAGTAGAAACTAGTAGAAAATTATAGAAATGCTAGCATTCAAATCTAAAAATCCTGCTATTCATCGAAGATCATCTCCAGTGGCTCGCCGCCGAGGTCCTCCAGTTGCTCCAGGGTGAAGTATTGCATCGATGTGATTGGTGCGCGAGATGAGAATGGTGCCATGGCGAATTTGGGTTTGGTGATTGAACAGGTTAATGATGGATAATGATGGTAAATGGATAATGATGGATAATGATGATGTTTAATGGTTGATATAGGAATAAAATGAAACATAGGAATTCAACAGGCCCTCCACCAAAATGGTTGACTTCATCGGCATAACTTTGTGATTGTTCAGCAAGAATGATGATTTACCCAACAAACAACTGGAATTTGACCAACACAGAGGGTACTTACAACAAATTGCGATTTTCCCAACATTATATGGTGATTTCACCAACATATTGTGATTTACCCAGCACGCATGCTGCTTTATGCAGCACAATTGATCTAACATACCCAAGAAACATGACAATTCAAGCAGCACATCTTTTGTGGATTTGCCCAGCCCCTTCAGACATGGTGAGAAATCACCCACAACACGGTGAATTCACCGAAACAGAAATGACATCATTGAAATATGGCTAAAGTGGGTTTGTTGATTTTCCCATGTTGGATATGTTGGCTAATGTTGGCTACAATCATTGAAATATGCTGAAATCATTGAAGCCAATGTTGAGGGATTTCTTCAGAAATTCGGAATATGTGTTCTTCAGGGTATACTCATGGTATACTCCCGAAACGTCGATTTTCGTCGGGGAAAATCATTTGATGTGTAGGATTATTGGTATACCTCTGAACCATTGACATGCCATCCATATCTGGAGCTACAGCACCAGTGTTTTCACATTTATATATCCTGAGTATTATATCCTGTATATATATATTATAATATTATATATATGATAATATTATATATATATTATAATATTATATATATATATATTATAATATTATATATATATATATCTAGTAAGGATTTTCAATTACATGGCCTTACCCCAACATATTACTTTGGCACCTCCAATTTAGGTACCTGAAAAATGCAATCCTCAAAATATACCCTGTGGACTGGTAGTTGAACTCAGAGATGGAAAGTGACCCATTCCATTTTTGTTTCATATATATACCTTTATCACATGATACATAGTGATTTTCCATGTCACACTGTTAAATGACCATCAATGAATTCCCGTTAAACCCCTATTCTTGATTCTTCTTGGCAAATCCCGGGTACCCTCTGGTAAACTAACATAACTATGGAAAATCACCATTTTCAATAGCTACGTTAAATTACCAGAGGGTAAATCTCTATTTCCGTGCCATCGTTTGCACCTATCAAGCGCCAGCGTCGCAGGTGCATCGGTCTGTGCTTACGCTGCCAACGGTGGATGGAACCAACGATGGGACATGGAAGTGGTCGACAAGGCTTGTCTCATTCAAGGTAGATACCCGGAAAATTGCGGGACAAATGTCGGGAAAGTGCCACGGGATTTTGCCCACAAAACACCAAATCTATCCAAATCTGATTTTGGTGTATGTGATTAAACTGTGACTATGTAAATATATACCCTCCAAATTCAAAGGTCAGAACAGAGCGGCTCAACCAGAATTGAGTCTCCAGGGGATTATCAATCGTAATCCGTGAATATCCATGAATATGCATGAATATGCATGAATATCCATGAATATCCATGAATATCCATGAACTGGGAATCCCGTTACCGGTCGAGAAGGGTTGACCCCTTGGCGGTTTCAGAAAGCTCTGAACGCTGAATCAATCATGATGGTAGCACCGTTGTGATCCCTGTGGAGACCATCCTTAAGATTGAAATGTAATCAAGTCTGGGAGTCTGGGAGTCTGGATTACTTTTTTTTTGGCTCGTTCGGTTATCTAGACCATATCTTGACATTCAATTTATATACTCCCCATTTTTTGAGTACATCCAGCATCGGTTGCATGTTGAATCACGAATGTGGTTGATATTCCTACTTCACTTGCCATACAAATACCCTTTTTGTTCCACGGAGTTTCTCCACAAAGTTTGGGACTGATTTTGGGGGATCGTAAGCCATCCCATGCTTTGGGTACACCTATGAGTACTGGAACAGCCCCCAGGTAAAAACGGTCGTTTTATAGCCCGAGTAATTATACCCCAGTAACTTTGAAATCTATTTATATATATATATGTGTAATATTGTAATCACATATATATATAATATATATATATATATATTTGTACATATGTGTATATGCATATATGCATATATGCATACATGCATGCCATACATGCATGCATGCATGCATGCATGCATGCATGCCATACATACATACATACATACATACATACATACATACATACATACATACATACATACATACATACATACATACATACATACATACATACATACATACATACATACATACATACATACATACATACATACATACATACATACATACATACATACATACATACATACATACATACATACATACATACATACATACATACATACATACATACATACATACATACATACATACATACATACATACATACATACATACATACATACATACATACATACATACATACATACATACATCATACATACATACATACATACACAATGTACGTTTATGATATATGTATCTATTTGCCACAAATCCTACTGAACCACATTTAACCTATAGCTGTAAACCAGCTAAGCTATCTTGGCCCCCACCTTGAGGCGTCTTCCATTGAGTTGGTACGAATTGTCTCCAAGATGGTCCCTTGGTGATCCATGGCTGGGAAGGGGAAAAGCCATGGGGATGGTCATCCAGAAATATTTCTCCCAGTAATTGTTTGGGGTTAATATACTATGGTACATGGGGGGTATCTGAATTATCTGACATATACTCAAAGTAGTTCTAGTATATTAACTTAATATTAACAGCCCCATAATATACCTCTCGCACATCCCATATTTGGGACTATCTGAACTATTTTGGGGGAGTGCTTGATTTTTATAGTTGCAGAATCTACATGGCCCTCAGTGATGTGGATCCAAAATTGGGCGGGAGCCAATCCTTAGCGCCGCAAAACTGGTGGACCTAGTGAAATGGGGATCTAGTCACCAGAAATGGTGTAAAGTGTGAGATTGGTATACAACCAACCAACACCAAGGATATGTGATATCAAGTGATATGTCACACAATCATGATGTTGGAAGTATGTCATTTCTAGAGACTCCCTACACCCGTCGGTTTCCATCCACGGTCTGCAGGGGAATCAAAAAACCATTGATCCATGAATCAATGCATTGATTTAAGGGAAAATGTAGAGGGAACCATGGTCTTTGGGTCTTTGACCTTAGAGAAAACGGATGATATAGCTGTGGAACAGTCCTGACAAAACAATCCCACCATCCCGGTTCTGAGAAGGAAGGGCCCCCCTCTAGAGTATAGGTAAGTTGGTTTGCATAGGTTGTAGATTAAGGGGGGATAGGTTTATGAACCAACTCATGAATTTATGTAACTTGGATGTAACTTAGGGCCTCCTTCCCAAACCTGGAATAAAGTGATTGATAGGCATTGCTTGGAAATCCCCCAACAGGCGGAAGACCCCAACAGCAGGATATTGATCTCACGTCCCAACATAAAATGCTTAGTGATATGCAAGGGCACCTCAACATGAATGTGCATATCAATATGCATGGATATTATATGATATGTAGGTAGATGGATGGATGGATGGATGGATAGATCGATGGATGGATGGACGGATGGATAGACGGATAGATGGACAGATGGATAGATTGATAGCCGGATGGATCAATCAATCGATCGATGAATGGATCGATAGACAATCAGATTATCGAATAAGTGTAGAGATTTAGATAGATCGATGTTTGATATAGATTAGGGAGACTATTCATATGTGCACAAGCATAATAACAACATTATAATATAATATATATATATATACACATATATATATACACTCAGCTCCCCACCATATATATATATATATATATTCTAATAATCATCATTATTGCATTCACCAATACTGAGATGGTGGCCTGGTGTCCTGGTGCATACGCTGTTCCCATCGCCAGGCGGGCCAACGGCTCCTAACCGTGGAGCCACTTGGTTGTTGACCCCCGGGTACCCGGTTCCGCCAGGGCGGCCGTGGGATGTGGGGCCCGTGGGACCTACGTTTATAACGTATGATATAAATGGGGGTTTCATGGGGTTTCCATAAATGGTGGATCCCCAAAATGGATGGTTTATAATGGAAATCCTATAAAAATGGATGATTTGGGGCTAGCCCTGTTTCAGGAAATATGATGGAACTCTTAGACATCTACCGGCGAAAAATGAACTAATGTGGGTAGAACAATGTCATAAACCACCAATTTGGGAATGTTATAAAAATACTACCTATTGTATAAAAATTGGTGATGACTGGGGGATGGTTTGTTCATGCCAGTGTTTTACCCACTGTGATCCAAACTTTGGTGGAGACGGTCACGTGGAGCAGTTGAATCTGTCTTGCCTTCAGGAATGGAGACCAAATGCGAAAAGAGCCTTGGTCGCCGGTCGCCGGTCATGGGATTTTCCCCGATGGTCCCCGATGGGATTTTCCGGGATGGTCCCATGGTCCCAAAATAGTGACATATTTATATGGCTTTGTCTGTTTTTATAGGGTTAATCTTCCCAAAGAAATAGCCAATTTACAATAGGGATTTCATGATCAGCAAAACCAGTGGGTTGATTGGGGTACACTATTTTCAGACACACCCATATATAGTATATTCTAATGGTTAATGATCATTATCCCTATAAAATGGCTATTTCATTGGGAAGATTAACCCTATTTTCAGACAAACCCATATACATTTTCTGTATACCCTGACTTTGTTGAATCATGACATAGCTCCGATGATCACTGATTTTTTGGCCGGCATGTTCCATGCCCCGTTGTCATGGCACGGGAACATCCTCTTGATTGCTGTTGAAAAACAGAACATCCTCATATTTGTCAGTTGAAAGATAAAGGCTGATTGTTTTGTTGACTTGACATTTACGCCACATGGAAGTCAGAAAAAAACGCATCCTTTCTGCTTTGTGTAATTTTTTTTAGCACCTCGTTTTACACGCTCTGCCCAAATCTGCGACATTTTTTGGCAGCATCGAACAAACCACCCTTGACATCCCTTGACAAGCATGCAGCATGTAAGTATATAATTATATATAGATATACAACATCATACAACAATATTAATTGCCTAAATATATCTGAAATATCCAGTAAGTATCCACTAACTATTCATCAAATGTCTATCAGATATCCATCAAGTAACTATTCCTTGAATTTTCAGGGGTACATGCTTTGTTTAAACCAGGTACCGTATCCCCATCTGCAGGACATGATCATGGAGATCTGCTATTTGTCGCGCTGGTGCCATTTAGAGCAGGGTCTGGTGCAGCTGCAGATGCTGTGGCCGCAGATCTGACTTTTCAAACACAAATGTTATATAGATATATGGGTGTGTCTGAAAATAGGGTATATTCCCAATGAAATAGCCATTTAATAGGGATAATGATCATTAACCATTGGGAAAATGGGGTACACTATTTTCAGACACACCCATATATAGTATATTCTATAGCAGATCCTGATTGTTCTATATAGATTCTATGATGTAATATGATGTGATATGATGTTCTATGATGACGTGTAAAGTTCTATGATGCCTTGATCTTAAATAGCATGCATAGTATATCGTTATAACGTCATTGTTCCATCATCCGCTACTGAGGAAGGTGGTCTGGAATCATGGGGTGCCAGAGGTGCCTTAAACGCGCTTCAGATTGGGCTTTCCAACCCAGGTGGATGCAACCCCCCAGATGGAGACTCACTTGTCAGTTGAAAGTTGGTGAATTAAACCATTGTTTTTTTTTTTTAAACACTATATTGGGATCATAGTCGTTATTAAAACATAGTCGTTATAATTAAACAACGTATATATCCCAAATGTATTTTTTGAATTTTACATCACAATATACTTTTGGGATCTCTTGGAGCACCAAGAAAGACTGAGATCAGTGGAGCATTTGCCTAAAATCAGTGGAGATGGACTGATCAACTTTTTTGGGCAAGAGCCTGGAGTTTCAAGAGACTGGAACTCATTTTCTGATGAACACCCATGTCCAAAGTCTGTAATTCACAGTATGTCTTGCATTGCGTGTTGTGAATATGTGATGCTGTTCGGATTTACTTCATTTGCAAGTTGCAAGGGATTCTGATGTATTTCCTTTAGATTGTGCAACATCATTTGTGGTGCAGTACTTGCTCCAGTCACCAGTCATTGATCGAGTCATTCCAATTGAGCTCCTTTGTACCATGTTGATTTGCCTCTTTTGTTTTGAGGAACACGTGTAGAACTAATGCGAGAAAACTTGTGCCATCCATTTTACAGCAGGCAAACGCAAGCTCGGTACACGGACTTCACCCCCATGTTAACAACAGAAATCCATAGAAATCCACATGTTTCATCATTGTTCCCCCACGTACTGATCATGTTCTCGCGTCTTCAACCCATATTGGACTCTTTTCTGAAATATTTGAACATCATCTGTAAAACTGTAAAACAACAATTTCCTATATGTTTCACCCATTTTCCATGGCTTTTCAGCTTTTCACAACGTCATCTTTCCCCAAAAAGGCCATCGTAGAGGAACGCTTGGGAAAGCAGCTGGGAAAAGGCACCGGCAGCGACGACAAGGCGGAAGAATTACTTTTTGTCGTGTGAAGGGATGCATTTTGTGGTATACATATAATTATAATATATATATATTATTATTATATATATATATTATACTATATAACTGGGATATATTAATATTATTGGGGAGATTTAGATAATGGGATGTTATGGATGGGGGTCAAGTATTTTCTCAGGAAGTAATGAACAGTAATTGGAATAAACAGGAATATTTAAGGGATATATGAAATTATTGTATACGTACATGACGTACATGGTATTCCACGGGAGTATGGCACAGAGATTTAAACCAATAAGATGATTTTTCGATGTGTCTAAAAATGGGCTACAGTAATATCTGTGTATACCTCCAATTCGTTTTTTTTTTCATGGTGGAAATGAATGGAAATGATTCGGTTTTGCCAGTGGATTCCGGGGTAGGGTATTTTCAGAACCACATGGGAACTGATTGTTTGATGAGAAAAATGATGTGTCCGGATCTCTGATGTCATGTGGTTGCGATCCAGGTAAAGTTAGCTACGGATGATGGGGGATCACCAGTGATTAATTATGATACTGTATACTATTGCTATAATTAGATGAATCACAGTGATATACCAGTGATTAATCACCAGTGATTAAGAGTAAATTATAATTGTAGCCAGTAATGATGAATCAGTATCACTCTTACAGTAAAAAAATGACTGTTGATTAGATAAATCAAATTGCCCCCTGATTTGGAAGACCTCTGATCATGTTTGAGCAGCAAAATGTTGCGAACAATTTTCAACTTGGCTAAGATTCGGTAAACCATCAATGGCCCATGGCTAGACATAAAACCAGCTTGGCCGAGACATGCCGGGACTCAAATTTTTGGGTTTCCTAGGTTGGGTCCTAAGTCATGGGGGTACCCCTTTATCGCTGGATGTTTTTTTTTGATGGAAAATCCCAAACAAAACGGATGATTGGGGATACCGAAACCTCCATGTGTGTGTATATATATTAATATATATATATATATGTTGGAAATCATCTCAGGATGCTGTTGAACATTGGTTACATTGGCAATAGATCAATGCTATAAAAACCCCTGGGGCAGTGGCTTCGGGAGTTTCAATCCTGGTCTCTAGAGGATTACCATAGGAAGGGAGAAGAGCGAACAGTACAAGAACGGGATCACAGTTGGCACAAGGTTTTGGTCTATCCTGCAATGATCCCTGGACATACAAGACGCTAATCTTGATGGATCAAGGGAAAAATATCCCCGCCATTCCCTAGGATGTTTTTCTCGCTTCTCATGCATCCAAGTTTTTGTTTGTTTTCAGGTGTCCAATTACCAAGCAAGAGGATGTTTCCTCCATATTATGCCATGTAGTTTCCAGGTGTTCCCCTAGTTTACTATGGGATAACTCGGGTAGCTAGCAGTTTTTCGATCAGAAGACAGGATATTTTGGCCAGGCCAGTCTTTTCATTTCATTCTTTGCCGATTTTAATTTGAGCCATGAAAGTCATACCCGGGTTGATTGGTTATTGTAATCTATTGGGAGTTATACTACAGTACCTAGCATGATAAGCCAGAAGAGGGAAACCATTAATCAGATTCAGGCGTGTATCTTGCAAGATATTCGACAAGGGCTTGCTGCTTGGATGCAGGCAGGTCAGGTGGAGCTAGGCCAGGGGTGTTCATTGGGACGGTAAAAACATCCCCAAAATAGATAATATAGATTAGATATAGGGAAAACTTGGAAACCTGGAATGGACATATTAGGTAAATATATTTTATGGTCTATACCGTCCTGGAAACATGGTTCGATCCTTTTTGGGGGTTGCTGTATACATCACATGGACAAGCCTCTGAGAAGGTGTTTAAACCTCACTGCCGCAACCCCCGAATTAAATCAACTTAAACAGTCTCAGAATGTGTTTGGAGATGTAAGAATGCTGCAAATTGCCAAAAGGCGTGGGTTGAGAGGGTCTTAAAGTCAGTTTGATTCCCATCTAAATGAGCTAAATTCCTGCTATCAGGCTTATTGTGGGACGATGCTACCGAAAATGATGGAGATCTGTATCAACTGGTCTAATCCTGAAGCCAATGACAAAAGGGCTCACCATGCAAGAAAAGTGTCACAGTAGATTGAGGAAAATCAATCTAAATCTTTGGGTATTGAATACATTATATATATGTGTAATGATACTACACATTCTATTTGTGAACACACACACACATGTACATATGATATATATATATATATATGATATATATATATACATATGCAAAGAGTAGCTGACTCCCCAGAACTTGCCACAACTTCCCAACCGCGCCGTCTCCTTCAAGCCAGAGCCAACAGAACTGATGACTGAGACCGATGACAACACAGGATCCTTATGACGTCTAGATACAACTAGCACTTCTAATGCACCAATGCTTAAAGTGTCATGATCTACTTGTGTCATGTCTTAACTCCCATCTTCATCCATCTTCTGCTGAGTTTTTTTTTTACCTGAACCGTGGGTTTGCAGCTGCATCATGGGTCAGGGGAGCGGGAAAGATGCTGACACCGTGTTGGCGCGCGTGCTGCCAGTGAACAGCCAAACAGGGACTTCGTGGCATCCAAAGATTGAGCATGGCCTGTGCGTGCCCTGGCGATGATTTTGGTGAAATAACTGGATTGGATGGTTTACATATTGAATTTATTGGGTGGTATAACAAACATTAAACAAACAAACTGGAAATTATTTGAATTTATTTGTATTTGGTTGTTGAATGTTCTTTATACTTTACTTGATAATCTTGATATACTATTGATTGATGATACTTTACATTCTACCTGACCATCCGATGATCCAATTCAAGTCTACATGGCAATGATATTGTACGCCGTTTATTGAGTGATCCTAATTTCATCATCTTTTCCTGACATCCCAACATTCCCCTGCGAGTCCAGAAATGAGTCTCTTTGAAAACCACCTAAAAACAGTCTCTATCTCGTTGCAAAACCCAACGGCGCATGCTGGTAAAAAAGCGAATCAAAAAGGGAGGCCCTCATGGTCATCAATGGTCCAGGTCAGAAGTCCATTTTTAAATCCCAGGATGTCGAGGAAAATTCTCAATGGATCTCAATGGATCTCAAGGATCAGTTTGGCCAGGTGTAAACCAACTGATCGGGTGCTTGTACTGATAGGGTGACACCCAAATTCTTGTGGTTTGACCCCGAAAAAACTGCGACAAGCCTAGAAAAAAACATCAAGTGGGACAACCATATGAGGTAGGATGGATTAGGATGGGGAGAAAAAAAAAGGATTGAACCTGCCTTCCAGGAGCGCAGAATCCATTTGGGCAAACTCTTGGAATCACTAACCAAGAGAGAGCAGAAGAAATAAGCCCATTCTAGGGGGTTCCCCTGGTCCAAAATACACTGAACATCAAGACATCATATGCTTGTTGATTTTGGTATTTTGGAATTTCCACAGGTTACCCACTCCCAAATCTGACATGAGATCCATGTTTTTTTGGCTCGGATTCATGTTGGAGTCCTGCACCGTTTAGGATCCCCATTTTGTCCTAGCCTTGTCATGTTAAAGAAGGTGGCTTAACAACGGTTGGATTATAAGTGAAGTTCAAATCCCGTCTTTTTCCAATACAACGTCAATTGAATCAATTTGATATGCCCTAGACCTCCAAATACCCTTTGAGAAGGTGTTCGAACCTCACTACCACAAGCTCGAATTAGCCAGTCTGAGGAGGTCTTGTGAGCTGTAGCAACGTGAATGTTACACATTTTTTTCATCAACATATTTCCAGTATATAATATTTACAGGGTGATGTCCCATAGTCAGCTTAGTTGATGAACATACAGTAACTCCCTTTACCGATAAAGTTAATGGTGTATATAGATATCCCTAGTGCTCCAAAATACCTTCCGAGAAGGTGTAAACAGACCCCAGCCCAGCACAAGCCCAAATTTGCCTCAGATGTTTGGAGCTGCAGGTTATACAAAGAACATAGTTAGCTAAGTTGATGAAAATAACTCCAAAAACTATAGAAAGTTTATATAGTAGATATTTGATTGATTTTGATTGTATGACATCAACAATCGTCATACTGTCATACTTTCGTTTTTTTTCATCGACCATTCCGAAGCAACAAATGTTTCAAAACATCGTTCGGAGGTCAGTGGAGGTGGCTCCCGCGCCTTCGCCTACAGCATGGGCGTCTACCGCGCCCTGCATGAGCTCCAGCTGATTCCGAGGCTGGACGCCATCAGCTCGGCAGCTCGGCCGCGCAGCTCGGGCCGGGGATGATGGGGGCCGATGAGGCTGCGGTGTTTGCGAGAAAAACCGACAGCAAAACCTGGAGGTGGCAGCAAAATGTAGGATTTTACTCGCAGAAATGCTGTGATTCAGCACTGGGGGGATTGAAGCATCACAACTGGGAACCCTCCAAAGATGGGGATTGGCTGATGGATGTTTCAGGTTGAGTTTCTGCCAGATTTTATCCAAAAAGATGGTGACAGGTTGGGTTCCCAGAAAGATTCACAAAGATGTTGGAACTGGTGATCTGGACCCAGATCCCTTAGTGCTCCAAAAACCCATGTGAGGTGTTGAAACCTAACAAACAATCCCCAACTTGGCCTGTCTCGGTCTTTGGAGCGGGTTGATCTCAGGCCAGGCGATATCCATATCCGAGGATCTATGCAATGTTGTCAAGGTATATGTTGGTTTGTTACCGCATTATATTGATATATATATATATATACACCATGAGTCCCAGTTATTGGAGTTATAAATCCACTTTGGAGCATCAATAGTGTCCATCCCTTCCAAGAGTCCTGAGGTGTCAGGTGGTACCTGGTGCTCCTCCATTTTCATGTTTGCGAGAAGTCGCTCGGGCCAAAAAATGGAGGAACTGTTTGAACGCCCAAAGAGGATGAGATATGGGCTGCGTTTTTTGACAAAAAATATCAATAAAATCCAGCATTTAACCAGCAATCATGGGATGATTATGGGATATGTATGGGATATCATGTGATATATAATACCCAATACCCTCTGGTAATCAAACATGGCTTGTTGGAAAATGATTTTTGCAGCTGCCTATAAGCAACTATTTATAGTGCTTGATTGCAGACATGCGAAGCCCTGGGCTTCGCTTGGAAAGGAAACCACTTTGGAGGGCTTCAAATCACTATCATATTTATCACTATACAGTTTGGTTAATATCTATAATTATTTATCATATTTTTCAAGAAACTCCAAAAAGATCCAAATGGGTTTGCTTCACCCCGGATGCAGAAACGGTAAACCTTGTAGGGTCTGTGGAGTTGCGCCCCGAAAGCCTGGTTGAAAAATCAGTCGACGTGTCTTCGATGGTCAAAAGCCTTCCAAAAACGGCAAGATGAGAACTATATCTGGTTGGTGGTTTGGAACATGTTTTATTTTTCCATATATTGAGAATAATCATCCCAACTGACGAACTCATTTTTCAGAGGGGTAGGTCAACCACCAACCAGATATGAACTTCCAAAAGCCTTCCAAAAAGTCTAAAAACAGAAGTTTACCCTCTGGTAATTTAACATAGCTATTGAAAATGGCCATTAATAGTGGATTTTCCCATTAATAGCATGGTGATTTTCAATAGCTATGTAACAGTTTACCAGAGGGTAGATGCCGTGGCATTTTTGAGGCTTCAAAGGGAGATCCATCAGCACGGAAGAGTTGTTAGGACCCATGGCCTGACGTCGTTGAAAAAAGGTTGAAAAACCCATGGTTTTTCAGTCGAAAAAACCACTTTGGGAGGCGCGTCCAAAGACAATGCACGAAAGTCACGAAGCATATATTATTATATATAATATATATAATATATACATATATATTAATATATATAATTACTTACGGTACAGTTCTTATCACAGCGACTTATCACAGCGACTTATCACAGCGACTTATCACAGCGACTTCACAGCGACTCAATCAATGATTTGTTGTTGCTTGTGACCCAAACATGTGATACCAATTGCCTGTTGGTGAGATTAAGAAGTTCTAGTGTCTGACTTGTAACGGGGTAGTTATAAGTTAGAACTCATTATATGGCCAGTTCTAAGTGCATATCATCAGTGACAATTTCAGGTGCCTAAATTGGAGGCACCTACCCAGGTCATCTCAGTTTTGTTTTGGATCTAATTATATGAGATTCCGTCAAAATTTGCGTTGATTAAGTATATGTATTGGAGTATGCATCGGATGTTGGCTGTTGCATGAAACCTCCTAAAACGATAGGGGACTCACAAAAACGATACGTTTTTGCTTGCGCATGCTTGCGCGTTTTATGGTGTGGGCATGGTGTTTGCTTAATAAGGCGGTTTTGTTCACGGTTGAATCCACTTCACAATGAATGGGCGTGCCCCTGCGGTGGGTTGACTTTACATGACTTTGCATTGCTTTACCCACCTAGGTGGGTTGCTTAAACTTGGCCGCCAAGTAGCTCAGATTACGGAAGCTGTAATCGCAGGCAGCGCAGGTATGCTGGAGTGGCCAACCCCAGCTGCGGGGCCTAGCTTTGGTAGACCGCGACAAGCTATTCGTTCAGTCTCGTGCGCATGATACTCGCAAAGATGGAGCCCGCGCAGAACGATACCCAAAACGATACCCAAACAATACGCAAATCTTTCCAAAAGCGTCCCGGGTGACCAATTGGTCACAAAACAGGCCAAACAGGTGGTGGATGTTGGTAGTATGTCGTAGTGACGGACTGAAATTTTGTGCGCTGGCTAGATAATTTTTGAAGGCCAGGGATGAGGATCCCAAGCGGACGCGCCTCAAAACTATGCTTTAGACAGAGGTAAAAATACGTAAAACTATGTAAACACAAACAGGAAACCATGTAAAACATGTAAAACAGAATACAGGGGACTCACTAGTTTGATGACGCACTTGACGTTAACAATGTTTTTTGACAGTGGCTCATATACAGTAACTACCCTATTGACCGACCATTGCAGGACCCGGCACGAAACCCTCGGAGCTGTCCATGGAGTTTCTACGGCGTGATGTGGCTCCAATTGCCTCTGGCATCGTTCATTGCGATTCGGACAAGATCATTGTGGAGCTGCTGGTGGCTGGTTGATGATTTTTAGTGCCCATGTCCGAAACCTCGAACAGCATTGATATGAAAAAGAAGATGAAAATGAAGAAAACAATGAATCTCATGAATACTAATGATATTAATATATCAGTTAGCAGTATTTATCATCATTTATCAATATGTATCATATACAATGACATATATATATATACTCTATATATATACTATTATATACTGTATATATATATACAGTACTGTATATATATAGACAGTATATATAATATATATATATGCCTAATATTTGCCCCCTTTAAAGGACCTTGGCGATTTCGCCACGCAACGAGGCTAAGTTTAAAGGCCGGGAATGGGAAGTCTGGTCCCACGTGATGTCCGCCTGGTTGCTTCGCGACTTCGACGAGCTGAAAAGCTTCGACGCCTACATGGCATCCAGCGACCCGGAGCCGGTGGGTGAAGATATGTAGAAATGATACCTTGACATATTATAATTAGTATACACACATGACATGACATGACATGACATGACATGACATGACATGACATGACAGTACATTACAATACATACATGCAGTGCATTAAATACATACATACATGCATGCATACCTACATACCTACATACATACATACCTACATACCTACATACCTAGATACCTACATACCTACATACCCACATACCTACATACATGCCTACATACATGCCTACATACATACATGCATGCATACATACACAGAAAGTATGCATATATATATATATATATCCATGTATATGGCCCAGGCCAGCAACCCTCCCCACTCCCCCACGTCATGATCATGGTACTGTATATACGCTGTACGTATGCTGTATTTAGGGGGCTCTATGTAAGATATATTTTACACACACCACCCCCCTGTGGGATGGGTGGGGGCTAGGTAGTGTGTCACTAGCATGTAAGGTAAAAAGAAGGCAGTATGTAGCTACAATTCTCCACGCCCCTCCCTATGAGATGGGTAGGTGTTAACGAGGTACCATGTACTCGTGGATAGTGTAGAGGAGCACATTGCTTGTATGTACAGCATATGAGATCTTGACAGTAGCTAGCATATGGCTACTTTAAAGTTCTATAAAGGTACTTTATTGGCAGTAACACGTTGTACATAGTGTGATGTTGGGTGTAGCTTACCCCAACGCCCACAGGGTGGATGGGGTGTTATAGAGGTATCATGTAGATAGTTTATAGGTAGTACGTGGTTAGCACATGTATAGCACATGAGATCTTGGATAGATAGATAGATAGATAGATAGACAGATTCGATAGATTAGACAGATTAGACAGATTAGATAGATTAGACAGATTAGACAGATTAGACAGAGTTGATATATTTGATAGATTACTGTAGATAGATTAGATAGATCAATAGATAGAAAAATAGCTAGCTAGATAGTTAGATAGTTAGGTAGATAGATGGGTGAAACAGAGAGATACGTCACATATCATCACTAGTTATGTGGTATCCCCAGCATTCCAATCCAACAACCTAAGCCGCCAATAAATTATTGTGTGTGGGGGGGAGTGAAAGATGTGGAAGCAAATCTGGAACATGCAGCTTTTATCCGCCAACAAGTCAACAATATAAATGCAACATAATGCAACCATGACAATATTGCACTCAAGGAGTAAATTAAACAATCATGAAACTTTGGGAGTAAACCAAGAGAAAGTGGAGAAACATTCCAATAAACAATGTGGTTTCAACAGAACACTGGGACGAATATAGCCACAAGTAGATGACAAATGATATTATTTATTGTGCCGGGGGTTGCTCTTTTCAGCAGTGCCAGCATCAAGGATTGATCATGATTGATCATCAAACATAGGGGAAGAGACCAACACTGAAATGGAGAGCAACAACATCAAACACTAGGATCATGATATTTTGTCAGGTCTCACCTTCGTTGTCTGGGTGGGGGTAACTAAGTCCAAGTCTGCATGCCGGGTCTAACCGTCAACAGAATTATGCTGAGGTGAAGAGAGTGTCGAGAAGATCAGGGCCAACAACCCTGAACTGAAAGAGAGCCTCTTCCTGACCCCACGCAGCGACAGACCTGGGACCTTCATCATGGCATCTGGGATGACCATATGGACCTGGCGTCACCAAAATTGGGTAAATACGCTGGTCACCCAGTGAGTGATTCATCGCTGGTGAACATAACTCCAATATATAAGTGGGGTTGATGGATGCGTATGGTAGATATATGACTGTAGTATTCATGGGTCTTACCCTCCGGCAGTTTGTTACATAGCTATTGAAAATGGCCATAGAAATAGTTGATTTACACATAAAAAATGTTGAATTTCCATAGTTTTTTTTTGTAAACGTTTACCAGAGGGTAACCATATCAACCAACTTAACGATTCCTAACTGATGACTGATTCAGCTGTGATCAGCTGGTGCAGCACAAGATGTCCATGAACTTATCAATTCTATTTTGTTTTTGAATTTGCATATATATATATATATCTAATCACATGCATATATTATAATTACTCTATGTATATATTATTGTGCATAGATGTGCTTAAAATGTAAGGCAAAAATTCTTAAGTTGTTCTTTTCAGCCGGACGCCTCTCTATTCTTGATCATACTTTGTACTGTTTCAAGTTTCAAGGGCTAAGATTCTGTGCGCAGACTTTTGTAGTTTGCACATGCACATGGGACAAACATATGCTTAATTTGTAGAAATGTACTTAATTTAATTTTGTTTTTTTTCTCATATAATTTTCCTGTAGTATGATCTACTTATACATGTCCCATTTGAAACATGTTATCCTCCAGTGATTGTTCCGTCCCAAGTTCTCATGGCAGGTGGGAACTCTTCGGGCGCCCCTGGGGAAGTTGGCTTCACTGGAGAACGTGGTCTTGTTTCAGATGTCGCCGGACTACACGGGAAACCCCTTCTACCCGGAGGATCAACAGGTGGCGGAGTTGCCTTGGCGATCTTGGCGATCTTGGGTAAATTTAATCACAACCAAACCCTGCGACCGAACCCTGGAATTATGGTTAATAAGGGAAATCATCCCCAAATGGCCTTAATTCAGGTTAGTGAAATATTTTAATATTCAGGTTACTAAAATAATATATACATATATATATATATATGTATGAGTAACCAACAAAATTAGCGGAAGACTCCAAAAAAGTACTAGGGAGTGGACTTGGATGTTCAAATTCCGTGAAAACCTTTACAACCGACAGGGGACAACCCACTTACCGATACCCGAAAAAATGGAAATACAAACCTTCACAGCCGATAACGGACCACCCACTTTGGCCATGTCCATTGCGAGTAGTAAGTAATTTTGTCCGCCACTCATATACATATGCATATCATATATATATATATATACACATATATATATATACACATAAGTTTATTCCGTATAAGATCATATTATTATTGCTTTTATTTTTTGTTATATGTCGATTATGTGTATCTATGAATAGCTGGGATTCATGAATAAGCAAGGATTTAATTGTTTTCAGGAAAGCTAAAATTGGGATTGCCAGATCTGTAACAATATGGCAAGCCATTTGTAAAAGCCGATTGGTGTTGTTTGGTGGGCTACCACATGGCTTATTGGGGATACATCAAAATCTTCTCCATAGGGATACCCATTAACCAATCAGTAATTATAGTGAATTATAGTGGGATGGGAGTGGGGAGGCTCAATCGTAGACCATTCCCCATCAATTACAGATTTATGTTGGTTAAATCATGTTGAATCAGCATTTTGGTTGACCAACGGAGCTTTCACATTGTTCAGGTGGTCTACGACGGGCTTCCCATCTGTCCCTGTGACGCCTGTTGCTACACGTGTAGTCCCCTTTCGCGGACTGCGACTTAGCGACGGTCAGTGCGTTATCCCAGGACGCGGATGCTGAAGGTTAGGTGGTGGCCCTTAGCAAACAACTTTAAAAAGTTGTATGATAGGATGAACCTATGAAGGAGGGTGTGGTTACATCAAACATATGGGCAGAGGTTGCGGTTACATCACCACGTGGCTGGAAAAGCAGTTGCAGTTGATTTTCCATGATTTTGTCAGCTATAAACCTCCATTTAGTTTGGGGATTTTCCAGCTTGCCATGTTTGATGACACCAGAGAGTATGTGTTTAATAGTTGGTGCCCCAGGTTCAACCACTTGGCTTGCTACAAGGTGGTGGCCCTCCAAGATGTGTTGATTGGTTTATAAGCCTCATAAATTTCTTTCATATATCTTCCATGAACATCCACAAACCAACACTTAGCCTAGTTATGTTGACCAACTGAGCTCAGGGGCACTACCTTCCAAACACTACTTCAAAAGTCCCCTAGTACAACCCGGGTTTTCCATTTATAACCGATATATCAATTTGTATCACCACAAAATCCCAATAATATCTCATCATATCTCATCTACATGACCTTTTTTTTTGTGCCATGGTCAAGTTAGCTTGATTGGACCCTTGAGGCTTGGGGATTCCGGTCATCCACGGTCACCAATCCATGGTCAAGTCATGGTCATCCATGACGACTGGATGATGACTGGGGGTACCCCCATTGAAACCTCCACATATTATCATATTATCACATTATATATAATATATATATATATATTCTGGTTGGTGGTTTGGAAGCCGTGAAGGGCCCAAATCTCCTACCAGCGGGTACGGCTGTCCCCGCTAAACGAGGGTCGAATTGTTGCATCTTGGTTCGTCATGGCGTTGGATCTTCCGCCTAGCTTTGGGACATGTTTGGAAGGGCAGAGGCTGCATCTTGTGGCGAAGCTGGTTTGTTGGGATGGGGAGCATGAGTCCCACCTTATGACTTCAATCCATGATGGTTCAAGATTTTGCTTATCTGGTATGTTGGAAGGATGTGGCGAAACTTTTTCCCTGGTGAATGCTGAGTTCAGAAAGCAGTTTCCTCTTCCATGGATTGTTTTGGATGATTCCTCGGTGGTTTTTCGCCATGATAAGCCTTCTTGGGATGCTATGCACGAGGTGATCGAACTTTGTGCAGGGTTTGGAGGGATGCACCAAGGTTTCTCAGCCCTTGGGTACAGATCGGTCGCAGCCGTGGATTCCAATGAAAGGATTCTGAAGCTGTACGAATGTCAGAGTGATGCTCATTGCATTGTTGGTGATGTCTCAGATGTTTCAACCATGTACCAAGTTTGGAAGCATGCCAAAGGTGCCGGCACACTTGTGGCCGGGTTTGCATGTCAGCCGTTTTCAAAGTTGGGTGACCAACGTGGGGGATCTGATCCACGTGCATCGTGTTTGACTGGCATTTTGGCTATGGCTTTTTATTTGCAGGTTCAAACAATTGTGCTGGAATGCGTGCAGCCAGCAGCTGCCAACTCATTTGTTGTAGCTCATTTGTTGGATGCCTCAGGTTACTCATGCTCCCAATGTGAGTTGCGCTTAGATGATGTCTGGCCTGCTCGAAGACATCGTGCCTGGTGGTTGATCACAGCTCCATTTCTTGGTAAGATTCCCCTGAACTCATGGCCACGCATGCATATGGTTTCCAAAGTTCGACACTTGATTCCTGCACTGCAACCATGGGATTTGGGAGATGAACATGCCTTGGCCTTGTTGGAGGTTGAAAAACGTGCATTTGGGGTTGAGAATGATTCCTTCTTCCGGTATTTGCTGAATTTCGAGACATGTGCACCCTGTGCCTTGCATTCTTGGGGTTCTCAAGTGATTGGTTGTGAGTGTGGATGCCGACAGAATGGCCTTTCCAGCATGCGTCTCCAAGAGAAAGGCTTGTTTGGATGTTTGGTTCGATCATGCTCAACTGATTCTGCTCCTAGCATTATTCGCCATGCCCATCCCAATGAAGTGATGATGTTGTGTGGGTTCGACCCTATCGTTGACTTTGGATCCAACCCAAGACTCACTTTGGCTGCTGCAGGTCAGATGGCCTCGCCATTGCAGGTGGCATGGGTTTTCTCTGCATTGGAAGAACGACTGCTCTCCATTCGAGGTTTGCCGGTCGCATTTAATGCCGAGGCACAACTCCAAGCCTTCATGACTTGGTTGCTCATGCGGGGTCGACATGTTTGGCCTGCCCAGGAAGAACCAATCCAAGATCACAATACTCTTGCTTTGATGAACTTTTGGGGGAAGGTTTCTGATCTCTCCATGCCTGAACTTGTCAGTCCTTTGAGATGGCCTGAGTTGCATTCGTGTACAGTTTCGGTTGCTGCAGTGATTGATTTGCTCATCCGGAAATATCAAGCCAGCCTGCCGATTCCTGTACAGCCAGTGCATGATGATGTCCCCATGACAGCCATTGATGAAGATGTGCCTGACCTTGAACCAACGCCTTGGTATGATCCACCCTTGCATGTGAATGTCCCGGTCATGCAGTCACCTAATGGATGTGTGGTTGTTTTTCAACATGAATTTGCTAATCCTGTTGAAACGAAGGTCTCTGAGGGTGAAACCATTCAAAGACTCATCCATGCCCATTCTCAATTGGTTGGCAATTTTTGTGTGACCAAGGTCTGTGATCAGGAAGGGCACGAGATTTCGTTGTCTCATGCGTTGCAGGTTGGTCAGGTGGTGTACATTTCCTGTGAAGCCGAACAGGTTGTGAGTCAGCCGACATCATCCCCTGTCTGCCCTGCTGCAGTGTTTGAGCCTATCCCCACTGCCCAGGTTGCATCCGAGGGTTGTGTGGTGCCGGAAGTTCCTCTTCCTACCATTAGTCCCACTGCTCAGTGGTCGCATCCGGTAGTTGAGAGTGGCAATCAGTTTCAGGCCTCCTCGTTTGGACCATTTGATGCAGGTCAATGTGAGACTCCCTCGGCCAAGTTGCCGGACTGTGAATCTTGGATTTCTGCGGCCCCTCTCTTGGGCTTGAAAGGTGAGCAATTTCTCAGGCTAATGGTTCCCATCGTGCAGAGCACCAAGCATCTGTGGGCATTGAGACATCAATTTTTAAAGGCAGAGGACAGAGGAGCCATCTTGGAAGCACAGGAGGAAATCTGGTCTGATGATGAAATACGTCACCACATTGGACTTTTGCTTGAGATGCGCAATGCCAAACGATTTGATGGAATCATTGGTCATGACCGCGAGTGTATGATGCTTGATCCTTTGCTGCTCACTGGGTGGGTCCAACATGGAACACAGTTGTGCCATATTTGGGCGCGTGATCATCCGGAGATCTTGCAAAAAGGGGTGATTTTGCTTTCTGCTTGTGTCGTCGATGGCCATTGGATTCCTGTCGTCCTGACGCCGAATGGTAAGTCTCTCTTGTTTTCCACTTGGGATGCTCCTGCTAACTCTCATGGGCAGTTGCCAGAAGTGATTGAGATGCTTGGCCAACTGTTGGGATTTGAGCAAGTCACCCTGATGAGACACCAGCGAATGTTTTTCACGTCAACCAAATGTGGAGCTTTGGCTGTTTCCTTTCTGCATCACTCTGTGTTCACCTCCATGCTACCCACCAACAATGATGAAGCTGACATGGTTCATGAGCGGTTGAGAGCAGTTTACTTGCAAGCTGTGAAGTCTTGTCAGATTGCGCGACGTCCTTGGATTTGGGGCGCTGGTGACAATGCATGGAATGACTGGAATGCCTTTTCGAATGAACCTGGTGTTGGCTCCTCTGATGCACCGACACACGTGTCCACCCTACCTGCCAGCTGCATTTCCCATCAATGCATTCCCAAAGAGGATCGTATGGAGTTGTTGCGAAGTAAAGGTAAGATGTGGGCTGACGATGAAATTCGATTTCAACTGCAGCACATGATTAATCATCCCTGCAATGTCTCGAAGGCACCATTTGCTGTGATTCCTGGGTTTGTGATGCTTGATCCCTTGATTCTCACCACCTGGGATACTCTGGGTAAGCCGATGTGTGAGGCCTGGTGCCGCAGGAACATGTGTGTTGCTGAAAGGGGGTATCATGTTGTCACTATCTTGCTGCATGAGGAGCACTGGTTTCCGGTGTGGATTGTTCCCCATGGACAAACCATTGTTGCCCATGTTGTTCGCGATGAGGTGATTGATTTTGTGGTCTTGGTGCCTCTCCTGGAAGTGCTGAGGGAACAATTTGGATTTCATGAAATGGTTTTGAATACTCACCCAAGCCTTTTGCCCCCGCATTCCTTGTGTGGTGCTGCCGCCGTTGCTTTCTTGGGGCATATCATGGTTTCTGCTGATCTGCCGCAAGACATGGATGCTTTGAGGGACTTGCACTCCAACATGAAAGCTGGTTTTGTTCATGCCCTGCATGCTGACAAGTGTTGTATTTGTCCTGTAGCGTGGGGATATGGCAGCCAACAGACGCTGCTTAAAGAACTTGCTACTGAGCTTTTGCAGCACGGGGTGGCCGAAGATTTGGGTGAACAGCGAGCACAACTTGCAATCAAAGCCATTGGTGCAGACCAGATCCAGCAGGCTTTGGCCTCTCGGAATCCATGGAGATCGTTGAAGGTCCTGGGTAACCATGCGAAGTTTCAATTCGTTTTGCCGACTGAACTTGCTGCCATTGCTGCCAACAACAAAGGTGTGCCTGTGGGGAAGAGATCCAAAGCTCAGACCCCTATGAACCGTCCAGGTTTGCCAGAGTGTGTTGACCCTTCCAAGCTTTCATTGCCAGATGGAGCGTTTCATGCTGGAGGAAGACCAGTTCCTCAAATCATGGTGAAGCAAATCGGACCTTTGGCTCATGGTATTGCACTGATTTCACTTGCCGAAGCTTTGCCCTACCTGAAGGCTGGCCAGAAGGTCTCCAATGACCCCCTTGCCATTGCTGTGTTTTGCCCGCAGGGATGTGACATTGAAACTGCACTGCCCCATACAAGGGTCACCATTCCATGTGTTTGTATTGCCAAC